TCAGAATAATTTTAAAGTAAGCATGGAAGTTTTGTATGTTTGCAGAACAAAATGAGAATCTCTGGTAGGGGTTGTGGCTCAGTGGTGGAGTGTTTGCCTATCACGTGCAAGACCCTGGGTTTGATCCTCAGCACCACGTAAAAATAAAGGTATTGTGTCCAACTACAACTAAAAAATAAATAAGAATCTCAGTCTTCTTTTATTATGTACTGTTGGTGCACAGGGACAGCGATGAGGCATGGACGTAATTTAGGGAAGATAAAATGCAGTCCCCAGGATTGTCATGTGTTGCTAGATCTAGGACTGCCTCAGTATAAAGCATTATCACCACTTTGTACTGTAGAAAATGGAAACAATAGTAGTTTGTCCAGGGCCATATTCATTGTGGGTGAGATTTGAATTTGACCCATTGCATGCAGCCTCTGGAATGCATCCTGAGCTCTTGCCATCAGGTCAGGTAGATCCTATGGGGTCTGAGACCTCCATCTTGTATTGCTGGATTCCCTCTGTCCCTCCCTTCCTTCCTCTTTATTCAGAAAGCTTCCCATTGTAATTTAAAGGGAGATCTTCTTGCGTTGCCGTTAGAGTGGTCTCAGGTTGGGAGTGAGGGAAGAGGGCGCACGGTGTGGGGCAAGTGGAGCATGCTGAATGCCCTGGGTCCTCTGTGGTGAATAAAGCTTTCTTCCTTGGAATTACTTTTTTTTTTTTTTTTCCCATAGAGTAGCAATGAAAAGCTGTCATCATGGGGGTTTCTGAAGGCTTGCTATGTTTTTCCTGCTTCCCTATATATTTTTGAGGGTGTGAAGTTTGTGTCTGAGGTGTATGAGGCCATGATGGAGTTTTCTTAGGTGTGAAATGAACCATAATATGACAGTATGTTCTGAACTGGAATAGCTCTAACTTTTGATCAAGATATACGTAAAGAAAAATTTACCCGTCATAACAGTAAAGTGAATTTTCACAGACTGAACACACCCACATACATGGCACCTAGCTGAGAAATACAACAGAGGGAGCACCTCCAGAGTCCCCTCGTGTCCCTTCTGTTGACTGGAATATTTTTAAATTTTCCTGCATAAAGCTCACCTCATTCCTATCTCTTAAATGTCTTCCTGATTTGGGCTAGCATTATTTTAGATGTCTTTGAAAAAAGAAAAAAAGAACCTTCACTGAAACTTGGCTCTTCCTCCTCTCGTAATCTCATCTCTTGATCAATCTGCTTCCGTTAAACCCGAGTGTTCTGTGTGGCTTCCGAGTCATAACTCAGGGAATGTGGAGGCTGGAAAGAAAATGCAGCTGTGAGGCAATGGCTAGAGATGGTCCTTGGAACTTGGTTGGGAGCTGGTAGGTTTGTGAGGAGGTGATGGATGAGCCAGCCATTCGCTGTCTTCTGTGGGGCGACAGTGGCAGAAGCAGCTTCCTGGTTCCCAGCTCTCTGGCAAGGTTTTAAGCATTGTTCGTGACAGACAGGAGCTCTCATCTAGAACCACAGACCTGTGGGCACAGGCCCACCCCCGGAGAGCTCTGCTCTCCTCCTAGTTCCACTTTAAACTCATGTTCCTGTGTCCCTTGCCTGCTCATTTGCTTAACAACTGAATAAAAATTGACTTTTCAGGGTGTCCACGTGAGAGCTAATGTGCTTTTGTAGTGCAGTCAGGTCCAGTCCCTGACTCTCAGGGTGCCCGGAGCCAGCAGCTTCACTCTTCCTCCTGCGCTTTGCCTCCAGCAGCACCAGCCTCTCCTGAAATCCTAGAGATTTAGAGCCACCAGCAGCAACACCTTGGCTGTCTGATAAAGTGATATTCGGATACTGGAACTTCCAGATGACCAAAATTGTAACCATTCACATACTCTGGCGTTCCATTAAAAAAAAAAAAACATTCCCTGGGGCTGGGGTTATGGCTCAGTGGTGGAGCGCTAGTCTAGCATGTGTGAGGCACTGAGTTCAGTCCTCAGCACCACATAAAAGTAAATGAATAAAATAAAGGCATTGTGTCCATCTACAACTAAAAATATTTTTTTAAAAAATCCCTGCCTTCTGGGGTAGAAAAGCATTCTAAACAACAACTAATAGCTTTGCCCTAAGGAAAACCATAGTTCTAAATTGGTTCCAAGTATGGGAGTTGCCTGGACTTTCATTTATTTGGCAGAGGGAGATACCTCTTAGGGAGATTCACCTCTTTCTTGGTAAAGATAACAAGAATGTGAGGCTCCGGGAGCTCCTGGGGCGTGCACAATTGCCCTTTTCGGCAAGGCCGTTGGTCACAAATCAACCAGCCTTTTCTAAGTGATTAGTTTGTTTTTTGTTGTTGTTGTTGTTAATAACAGAATCTGAGCCTTAAGCAACTTTGTAAGTAGCTCCTCTCCTCACAGGCTTTTAAGTGCTGAGCGCCCTCCTGTGCTACAGGGATAGGCAGCTGGCATGGTGGGCCCCGGAGCACTCTCCTTCCTCAACATTTGTCCTCAGTATGCCCCTCACCCCTTTTTGTGGTACTGAGGAATGAACCCAGGGGTGCTCTGTGAAGTTACATCCTTAGCTCTTTTTATTTTTTATTTTGAGACAAGCTCTTGGTAAGTTGCCCAGGCTAGCCTCAACTAGTGATCCCCCTGCCTCAGCCTCCCCAGTAACTGGGATTACAGAGGTGCTATTGTGCCTGGCTCTTCAGTGTGCCTTTATAAACAACAAAATACCTCTGCCTGCCACAGCACAGTTCAGTGTTCAAATGAAGGTTCAAAAATTATGAATTTTGTAGGGCTGGGGCTCAGAAGAAGAGTGCTTGCCTAGCATACATGAGGCACTGGGTTCCATCTTCAGCACCACATAAAAACAAATAAAGGTATTGTGTCCACCTACAACTAAACAATAAATGTTTTAAAAAATTATGAATTGTGTGTGTGTGTGTGTATGTGTGTGTGAATCCTTTTATATCCTCAAAGCTTTAGTAATTTTTTAAGGGAAAAAATAAAGATAAACTTCATCACCATACTATATGTATATGTGGGACTCTTGGGAACATTAAGACTGCCAGGTTCAGTAGTATCTAATTTTTAAAGCACTTACTGTTCACACTTCCCAGCTGTCACAGGATTTGCCATGTTATTGTATACATATGTATGCTTAAATCCAGTGAGTGACAGCTGTGGCTAGAGATTGGCCAGCATCACACTTAAGCACCGATGTGGTAAAGTTCAGGCCAGGCTTCTGTTTGGAACTGAATGAGCCTCAGTGGTCATTAATGCAGCCTGGCTGATCAGCCTTGTCTACCCTTTCTACTGTTATACGTTTCACTTCGAAATGTCAGTTAATGCACTAACCTCAAACACCTTAAAGCATTCCAGTTTTCAATTTGGCTATGGGTACAGCATTGTTCAGCATCTCAAATAAATCATTTTGTAAAAAATTTTATCAGCTTCCTTTCAGAACTTTGCAGTGTAGTGTATATTAATACCACTCCACTTAATAGTCCACATTCCCTTTGCTCACTGGTCTGGAGTTGTTGTTGTCACATCTCTTTTCTCTCTTAAAATACCTTCTGCCTTTTGCCTTGTGTAGCCAGTTTAGAGTTCCTAGGGTGTGTTTGTATTTTCAGATTAGTCTCATGGCCTGGCCTGTCTAATTCACAGGAGGCAGCATTGGAGAGAACATTCATTTGGAATCTGAAAACCTGCATGTGGTTCTTAGGTATGGGAGGTTAATAGCTTATAACCTTGGGTAGCCATTTCATCTTTTCCCCCCACTATTTTTATTGGTACATTATAGTTGTACATACTGATGGAATTTGTTTTTACATATTTGTACATGCACACAGTATGCAATATAACTATAATTTGGCCAAAATTTCAGTCCCCATCACTCCCTACCATACACACCTCCCAACCCTTGGCCCCTTTCCTCCACTGATCTTCCTTTGATTTTCATAAGATCTGCCTCCATATTTTCCTTTTTCTTCTCTAGCTTCCACATAGGAGAGAAAACATGACCCTTAATCTTCTGAGTTAGACTTATTTTGCCTAATGGTGTCTAGTTCCATTCATTTTCCTGCAAATGACATAATTTCATTTTTCTTTATGACGATTCTTTATTGACTCTCTTATGTATATACTATGTTTTCTTTACCCATTCGTCCACTGGTGGACAGCTAGGTTGGTTCCATAGTTTGGCTATTATGAATTGTGCTTCTATAAGCATGGGTATGCATGTATTACTATAGTATGATGACTTTAATTTTTGAGGATAAATACAAAGGATTAGGATAATAGTCATGGTGGTTCTGTAACTAGTCTTCTGAGGAACCTGCATACTGATTTCCTTAGTGGTACTACTAATTTGCAAACCCACCAACAGTAACCCCCTCCCATACACTTTTTTAAGTCTCCAGCATTTATTGTGCCATTTCATCTTTCTTTCTTTACTTTCTTCCCCTCTGTGTGGGTGTATGGTTTGTTGTTAGGGATATTGAACTCAGGGCCCCCTGCATGCCAGGCTGCATCCCCAGCCTGCTGTTTCATTTTTCTAGACCTGTTTTCATAGAAGGCTTAGGGATTAAATACCTTATACCTGAGTTGTGCTGGTTGGTGGGCTTGGAAGCCCACTCTCACGCCTTGACCTTCTCCTTTACATAAAAGAGCTGCCAAGTAACTGTTGAACAGGATCTCTGCTGGGTTGTTAATCACATTAGCATTATCTAACCTGGACACCACATGGGTCTTGAAGGTTGTTGAAGTGAGCAGGATTCATTCTTGGTCAATAGTCTTTCCATGCAAGGGCCTGTGATTGTGCTTTAAGCAGCAGCACTGTGGAGCTGCTTGGTAGACATCCCATCCTTGCAGAAAAGTAGAGAAGCTTTTGGGGAATCCTGTGATTGGATCCCTGTGAATTCTGGAGGTTGGCTAATACTTCAAATAAGACCTTTCACAAACTTAAAGGGTGGCACAGTTGTCTTGTGGCTACCCTTTTGAAAGTGGAAAGGGAATGATTGATTATTTTTTCTTCTTTTCAGGTTTTGAATGAAGAATGTGATCAGAACTGGTACAAGGCAGAGCTCAATGGGAAGGATGGCTTCATTCCCAAGAACTACATAGAAATGAAACCACACCCGTAAGTGGGGCTCATGATCTGCCAAGGCGGGGCCCACCTGCTTGTTTCAAATACTGTTTTTAAAACAGAGACCATCATGATGAATGTCATGCCATTTATTCTATCTGTTTGGGGAACGAGCCCAGCATGTTGACCTTGTACGTTAATCATTGTATATAATGATAGTACAATAGTAATGGTATACATTTTAGATTAATACCTATCAGTTATCTTCAAAAATAAAACAATACTTTGCAAGTCCATACCTTTTTCTTTAAAACCCTTGGGCCAGATGTGTTCCATAATTCCACACTTCTTGAGTTTCAGAGAAGGTACTTACCACATGGTTTTGTGTTGGTATGCTGGGTAACCTTGTGAGAGTACGCCAAGCTTGGTGTTGTAGGTAATAGTTCTCTGTAAGTGCTTGTTCTTCCATGTTAGTGTTCATGTTTCAGTTGGAAGGAAATGTGTTCTCCTCTAAGTTGCTGAGAGTAGTAAGAATTTTGAATTTTCTGCTTTATATAAATAATCAGCATAGTGGGACCCTGAGGATCCTTGAAGGCTGCTGACCTCCCATCTCACCCACCCCTCTTTGCCTGGCCCTGCTTCTACTTCAAAAATGATCATTTCTATTTTCTTCTTTTGTGTGATTACTAGAGACTGGATCCAGGGGCACTTTCCCACTAACCTACATCCCCAGCCCTAAAAATTGTTTTGAGACTGTATCTCACTAAATTGCTGAGGCTTGCCTCAAACTTGCCATCTTCCTGCCTCAGCTTCCTAAGTAGCTGGGATCACAGAGTAGCTAGGGTTACAGGCATATGCCACCATGCCCAGCAACATAAGCATTTTGAATCAGTCTGTTGAGAGAAGATAGGAAAGGCCACATCTTTGGTGAAGTTGTTATTACCGACCTTGATTGGAAAGTCACTCTCACGCCTTGACCTTCCCGCTTATATAAAAGAGCTGCCAAGAAACTGTTGAACAGGAACTCTACTGGGTGGTTAATCACAGACCCGCTGAAGGGCAGGCAGTGCTCCTCCACTTTATGCTCTGAAAAGGAAAACTGAAATTCAAAAGCTCTTCTTTCTCCAAGCCTACCATATTGCTAGAAAAGACCATGCTTGTGCCTGTGTGAAACTGTGACTTTACAAGCACATGCTCCCGCCCCCGTGGGACTGCCAGGTGAGTAGACATAGAGGTGGTATAATGCAGAGACAAGGACTCTCCTCTCTTCTTTCTTTATTTGTTGGCGAGGAAAAGGGAAATATAAAATGGAAGTACCACCTCTCCTGGTGTAGTGTTTGTGTTAGCACATGGAACACAGACCACGAAACAGTTGTTACAACAGTGCTGTGGCAGGAGTGGTATGGGCTGCCGTGGATCCACATTCATGCTCCTCACAGAAATTACTTATAGACAGGAGCCTGTGGCATGCTCTAAATAATTAAATTGGAAAATGAATCTCTCCTCCCCTTGGCTTTCTCCCTTGCTGTTTCTAGTTTAGTACCAATCCCATCTTTTTAAAAATTTGTAGAACATTGACTACAACATAGTTACCCATAAGTATCACCACTAACAGAAGCTTGTCATGTTTGATGTGTAGCTCAGTGGTAGAGTTTACCTAGCATGCACAAGGTCCTGGGTTCCATCCCCAGAATAGCAAATAATAAAGAAGCGAGACCTGCCTGGGCAATTTAGCTTGATGCTCATGTGCTTGCTCATGCGTGCACGCGTTTCTCTCTTGCGCGAGTGCGCTCTCTCTTTCTCTCTCTCTCTCTCTTTTTTTAAGAGAGAGAGAGAGAATTTTTTTTTTTAATATTTATTTTTTAGTTTTCGGTGGACCCATCATCTTTATTTGTATGTGGTGCTGAGGATCGAACCCGGGCCGCACGGCATGCCAGGCGAGTGCGCTACCGCTTGAGCCACATCCCCAGCCCCTATTTTTTTTTTTTTCTTGAGACAAGGTCTTGCTAAGTTGCCCAGACTGGCCATGAACTTGTAATTCTCCTGCCTCAGCCTCCTGAGTCATTGAGATGTCAGGCATGTGCCACTGTGCCCTGTGAGAACCCGTCTCCAAAAATTTTATTTATAGGGACGTAGCTCAGTTAGTAAAGTGCCCTGGGGTTCAGTTCTCGGTATTGTAAAATAATTAATAAAGACCATCAATTTTATAAATGATATAAAATGCAGTGTGGCTACAGAGTGGTGGTGGCTAGGTGTTTTAATTGATGCTAGCTCTTAATTACATGCATGATTCCCTTCTGCTGCATGGGATGTCTGTCAAAAAGGGAGTATGAGTATTTCACGAGATACACAAGAAATCTTTGTTTAGTGAAATGGTCTTCAAACTAATTTTCCAGTTTGTGATCTAGGTTTTTATAACAAAGATGTGTTTAATTATAAATCTTCAAATTTGAGTACTTTTCTGTATAGCAACTTACAGTTCACTATGATTTTCTTTTAAATTGGAGATGAAATTGAGTTCATTTTAAGTTAGGACAAGAAAACATTGTAACTTATGTGGATTTATGCCCCTGAGGAAAGGTCTAGAAATATATACAGCTGCCAGCAAGTTGCTGCTTGGGGGGATCCAGGAAGTCTTTAATTTTTTAGTTGTAGATGGACACAATACCTTTATTTTATTTATTTATTTTTATGAGTGCTGAGGATCAAATCCAGTGCCTCACACGTGCTAGGAAAGCACTCTACCACTGAGCTACAACACCAGCCCGAGGAAGTCTCTTTTTATTTGCATTCATGTATATGTAGGCCATTTTAATTCATATTCATTACTTTATTATACCTTTTAAAAAGAAAAGATGGAACCTGTAATCTCAGCGGCTTGGGAGGCTAAGGCAGGAAGATCGCAAGTTCAAAGCCAGCCTCAGCTAAGCAACTCAGTGAAATCCTGTCTCTAAATAGGGCTGGGGGTGTGGCTCAGTGGTCCAATGCCCCTGAGTTCAATCTCTGGTACCCTGAAAAAGAAGATGGCTAGGCACAGTGGCACACACCTATAACCCTAGGTACAAAGGAGGCTGAAGCAGAAGGATGGTAAGTTTGAGGCCAGCCTGGACAACTTAGCAAAACCCTGTCTCAAAAAGAATTGGGATTGTAGCTCAGTTGTAATATGTCCCTGAGTTCTAACCCTAGTACTGCAAAAATGAATGAATGAATGAATGAACGAACGAATGAACCAACCAACCAACAAACAAGTTGGGAAGATCTTGAGGTCCAAGAGGAGAAGAGAATAGTTTTTAAGGACCTCCCCTCCACCTCAGTGCATTGTGGGAGTGAAGGCAAGGCTGATGTGGGTCCTCCCAGCAGCTGTGGTTCCTCCCCTAGCAGTGGCCAGTCAGATGTACACTGCTCACAAGTATAGCCTACCCTTGAAAGCACCAGGGAACAGAAAATGTGCCTCTCTGCTGGTAGCCGTTATTACATCTTCAGAGATCATTCTTGTCTATTATTATGGAATTTCTTTTGTGTGGCCTAATTCCCAGGCACTGCAGGACTTGCCCTTGAATATTTGTAGAAGGGGTGAGGGCGTTGTACAAGCACCTGTGCAGCCTGGCATCAGAGCAGGCAAAGTGGGAAAGACATGAGTTAAGTAGATTTGGGGCAGCTTCTGACTCTCTCTCTCAGCAGCTTGCATCCTTCTGCCTGAACTTCAGAGTGATGTAGTATTTTAAAAATGCCTTGTAGTGTGGTTGCTTCTAAGTAGGATAGATAGAAGGGTTATATTTACAACTTTAATGGACTGATTGGTGCATTACAGTTTGCAAATTAAATGAATGCTAGTTACCATGTAAGGTAGGTCTTAGCTGTAAATGTTTTTGCTTTTTAAAAATAATTAAACATTGAAGATGATTGTGGAAAGAACATTGTCTTCACCATTCTTCCATCCTAATTGGTAATGGTTTTCATTTGAAATAGCCAGGCAGCCATGGCCTTGAGCTCTTTTAGAGATGTCCCCTCCTCCTGTTGAGCCACAGGCCAGTTGCTCCCATAGTTTTCCAGTAATTTAGCCACTTTTTCTTATGACCAAAGTGAATGACCATTAGGAGCAGAAAAGTCTGTAACTTGGTTCAAATGAAAAATCTGAATTTTGCAACCAGCTGCTGCGCATGTGGTAAACTTTGATGTTTTCAATGTTGTGGGGGTTTTGAGTTTTTGTTTTTTTGCAGTGCTGGGGATTGAACTCATTGCTTCAAGCTTGTTAGACAAGTGTTCTGCTACTGAGCCATGTTCTCAGCCCCTTCCAGGTGGCTTTTGAAAACTGAACACTGAGCAGTGACTCCAGAGAAAGGTCCTGAGAGGAATGCTGACTTCCATAACTGGTAGAGGCTGCCTTCTCACAGCCTGAACCTTCTCCCTTTGGACTTTTAATAGAATTAGCCCCACCACCAAGTTCTGGGCCTTCCAAATTTCCTCCCTTCCCCTGTGTCCCTCTTCCCACTGAGGCAGAGCTGCAGTTTTATCCATTGGCTGCAAGAAGTGTCATTGTTGTCTCCAACAAGCCTGGATCATTTACCCGTAGGCCTGGGACTCTCCTGGGCACCTTTCTAATGAGTGGGTCAGGAACTGGAGGACTTTGGTTTGGAAGGCCCATTTTCAAGTTTCTTCCTCTATAGAAAGAGTGACCTTTGATAGTGATAGTGCCTTGATGAGTCACTTTCTGGGAAGTGGATGGGGTGAAGCCATTTGAAAGTCCATCTCTTAGGGAGGACCCTACCCAATGTCCTCCCGTCTTGGGCACAGTGAGCCCCTTCCTCTGGCAAGAGGTGTTCTGTTACTCACATTTAAGGCTGGACATCCGTTTCTTTGTGGAGAAACAGATGCTGACTGGCTTGTCTTCCTTCCTTAGGTGGTTTTTTGGCAAAATCCCCAGAGCCAAGGCAGAAGAAATGCTTAGCAAACAGCGGCACGATGGGGCATTTCTAATCCGAGAGAGTGAGAGTGCTCCTGGGGATTTCTCCCTCTCCGTCAAGTAAGTATTTCCTGCTGTGGTTGCTGGAAGCCTGTGCCTGATTCACTAAGTCGTGAGGCCATTGGTCAGGTGTCTGGCTACATACAAACTGGTAGAGGTGTAGCCTAATCAGTATTTTTAACTTTACCTTAAAATCCTAATGTCTAGTTCCTCATAAAACTTGGTTCTAGCAACACTAGCTTAGATTCTGCAGTGGAACTGAGGAGTAGTCCTCTCAGACAGTACTTGCTGCCAGTTTTCCCTAATCACGACCACTCTCGGTTTCCCTACCCTTGCTGGGATTCCGGCCACTCCATAACAGAATAACTTGGTTGCCATTTTAGCTGCCTTTGCTTGCCTTTACCAGAGAGCCAGCTTACCTCTATCAGCCCCATCCTAGGCCTCTCTGTCTAACTTCAAAAGGTCACCATGAGAGCTGGGCGTGATGGCTCACACTTGTGTTACCAGCGGCTCAGGAGGCTGAAGCAGGAGGATTGCAAGTTCGAAGCTAGCTTCAGCAATTTAATGAGACCCTAAGCAACTTAGCAAGACCCTGTCGCAAAATAAAAAGGACTGGGGATGTGTCTCAGTGGTTAAACAGCCCTGGGCTCAATCCCTGGTACACACAGCACTGTGAGGGATTTGGGTTTACTTCCCCAGTGGAGCTGGTAATCAGGGAATGGGGAAGAAAGGAGTCTCACCTTGGGAATCTTAGTGAATAGCAGCTGGGACTTTAAGGAGTCTGTGAAAGTCACACCTCATCTGTGAAGTGAGGATTTTGAGTTACATTGTCCATAGTTTTTTACTTTTAGTCCTTTTCTAGTTCCTATATTATTATAGGAAACCCCCAAGGAATCTTACAAACTGCTTCATCATTTCCATATGGAGAAGCACTAGGTTAAACACGCAGATCACTATTTTATCATAGGTTACTCTCCTTTTTGTGGGGTGGGATTACTAGGACTTGAACCCAGGGGCACTCTTACCACTGAGCTACATCCCCAGCCCTTTTTATTTTTTATTTTGAAGTAGGGTCTCACTAAGGTGCCCAGGCTGGCCTTGAACTTTCCTGCCTCCTGCCTCAGCCTCCCATGTAACTAGGATCACAGGCATAGCCACCGCACCCAGCAGTTGTGTTATTTTTCTAAGTGAAGATAAGAGAGGTTTCAGGTGATATTTGGAATATCTCACAAATACACTTGCAATGTAGTTTTTATTTCCACCGTGTGAAAACTGTGTTACAATAATCACAGTTTTCATCTGGTAACAAAGGCTTTTTGAAGTATTTGAGCATATTTGAGTAAGATTCTAATGAGGAACATTCTGGGGTGAATCTGTGAAATCAAAATCTTTGTGTTTCTCATTAGCTCAAATCATCTGTTTTCCTTTTTTTTTTTTTTTTTTTTAAGATTGAACCCAGGGGCTGTCTGCCACTAAGTAGCATTCCCATACCCCAACCCTTTCTGTTTATTTATTTATTCATTATTATATTTGAATTTTATTTATTTATTTTTTTAATAAAGTGTTTTTATTAGTACATTATAGTTATACACCCAACCCTTTTTATTTTTGAGTCAGAGTCTCACCAAGTTGTCCAGGCTGGCCTCCAGTGTTTGATCCTTCTCTCTTGGCCTCCTGAGTAGTTGATGTTTTCCTTACATTTTATACTGACCCACATGGAAATTAAGCAGTTTAAGATGAAGGTGACAAGTAAGTAATCAGAGGGCAGCAGCCAGAGCCACCAGGCCTGTCAGTGTTGAGCTGTGACTGCCTGTTCACCAATCACTGCACACGCTCCTACTGCAAACCAAGAAGACCAAACCATTCCCTTTTATCAAAATCTTTTGAGGAGTTTTATTATTTCAGAAATAAAATATGAAGCAGATGTCATAACTGTCCTTAACACAAATATCTTTGCAAAGGGAATTCAAGAAATACCAAGTCTCTGAGATATTTCTCTAGTTTTAAGATATTCAGTCAGTAATTTAAAATACTGTGGTTGAGCAGTATTCATTATATACTGTGTTTTTTATTACAGCACCTGCTGTAATCCTAGTGACTTGGGAAGCTGAGGCAGGAGGATCAAAAGTCCAAGGCCAGCCTGGGAAACTTAGCCGAGACCTTGTCTCAAAAAATATATATATAAAGGGCTGGGATGTGGCTCAGCAGTGGAATGCTTGCCTGGCATATGCAAGATCCTGTGTTTCATCCCCTGTAAAACAAAACATACACACACACGCGCACGCAATACAGTAGTCACCCCTATTTGCAGTTTTGCCTTCCTTGCAGTCGAAAAATATTAAGTGGGAAATTCCAGAAATAAACAACTCATATGCTTTAAATAACTTATTAATTGCATCATATTGTGACTGTTGTTTTATTCTTAATCTTACTGAAAATTAAACTTTATCACAGGTGTGTATGTTTAGAGTAAACCCTGTATAGAATTTAATATTATTCATGCTTTCAGGCATCCACCCAGTGTCTTGGGACATACCCCTTAGGTTACCCGGGAACAACTGTGCGGTTTGCAGATGCTTGGCTTGAAGCTCACTGGCTTGAAGCTCAGTGCTGCCACCTGCCGGATAACCTTCAGGAAGTGTTTGGTTTATTGAAGCTCTTAAGACAAGAGGACAGCCTCCATTCATTGAATGAATGTGCATGAAGTGCCTTTTGAGGGCATGGCACCCAGCAGGATAGCAGAGTCCTCAGGCAGCTTCTGTTCTAGCCAGATGTGGCTATAACGGACCCTATGAGTCAGTACCAGTCACACACAAGCAGTTTTTAATAGTGCAAAAGGAAGTATATTATCTGGCAATGAAGAAGTTATTTTATTGTCCAGCATATCCTTTTTCTCGTGGAAAGGGGAAGGTAAACCAAAATTCTCGAATGAAAAATTTATTCCCAGTTATAAGAGAACCATTGGAAGTATTTCTGATCCCTCTTACTTTATTTCCTGTCCCATATTTTCTAGTTTTAAAATGTCATGTCACATTTTAATTATTTTTATTTCAAAGGAAGTCAGTTAAGTCTTTTATTTGGCACAGTGCAGGCCACAAGTGTGTGGTAGGTTAGAACATCCCCTTCCCTTTTGAGTTTGACTTATTTCATGTAACATAATGGTCTGAAGTTCCATCCATTTTCCTGCAAATGACTTAATTGCATTTTTTCTTTATAGCTGAATAAAACACCATTATGTATTTATACCGTGTTTTTTCTTATCCGTTCCTCCATACCAAAGAATGGTCTAACTAGAGTTCGATTCCTAGTCTATTGAGGAACCTTCAAGGATATTCTTGATTATCTTACAAGCATCATAAGTCAAACTGGTGGGTGAGGTTCTCCCTCTTCGTGTTGTTCCTGGTAACCCTCAGTCATAGAAGGTACTAGCAATGCTCAGTGACTGCCCCAACTTTCTCCATCCTGGGCCCTGTGAGAAATGTTGCCAGAAAAGGTTCTGTCCACACCGACATGGACAGACAGCCCCTGACTAGCCAGCTCAGTGCACTTTGACCTTTCACATGTGTTCTCTCTGCCTCCCCAGGTTTGGAAATGATGTGCAGCACTTCAAGGTGCTCCGGGACGGAGCTGGAAAGTATTTCCTCTGGGTGGTGAAATTCAATTCTTTGAATGAATTGGTAGATTACCACAGATCAACATCTGTGTCCAGAAACCAGCAGATATTCCTGCGAGACATAGAGCAGGTGCCACAGGTAAGACTGAGCTCCCAGGAGAGAGCTTGGGATTATGTCTGGCAGGGAGGAATAGCTCCTTAAGCCAGCAGGTACCCTCCAGAGGTACCTGCTGACGTTCATTCAGAACGTCACCCCTAGTTTATGTTGAAGATCTGTAGTTTAAAATAAGATGGTTTTGCCTTTTTCAGGGGCACTTCTTTGAGGCAGTGTTGCTAGTATGCCACCTGCCTCTCTAGGGACACAATTCTTAACATACTTTTTAGATGTTGTACTTGAAAGCAGATTGTGAAGAAGGTCAGACCTGTCGGGGAGTGTGGTCCACACTCATTCCTATTCCTTATATCCCAGCCATAAGTTATGGCTAGTTTGACTTTTATTCAAACTCTCACCCTTTTAACCCTATAAAACCTTAAGGGTATTATAAGTGATAGGAATGAAAAGATTTTAAAGTCTACCAACAAAACCCAACTTTCCCCCCATCCTCAACCCCCCTGTCGCTCCTATTTGATGATGTGACACTTTGGCTGCCCACAGTGAGATATGCCCCTGTATTCTTTGAGCATTGGTGAAAGATTACCCTAAAAACCATTTAGGGAACCTAGGAAATGTAAGAATAAGCTGGGTGTGGTGGTAGATTCCTGCAATCCCAGTAATTTGGGACTGAGGCAGGAGGATTGCAAGTTCAAAGCCAACCTCAGCTTCTTAGGCCCTAAACAACTTGGAGAGACCCTGCCTCAAAATAAAAACATAAAAAGGGCTGGGGATGTGGCTCAGTGGCTAAGCGCCCCTGGGTTCAATCTCTGGTACCAAAAAAAAGGAAGGAAAAAAAAGAAGAAAGAATAAATGAGGGAGGATGCACAGTGTAGCTACTTCAGGAAACATGAGAATTAGCGCATATTTATTCCCCCTTGTAAACGGTTGGGCTTACGGAGCTGTTAGCAGGATCAGGAATGGCGTGTGTGTTTCCCTGTTCCTCTTTTGCAGCAGCCAACATACGTCCAGGCCCTCTTTGACTTTGACCCCCAGGAGGACGGTGAGCTGGGCTTCCGCCGGGGAGACTTCATCCATGTCATGGATAACTCAGACCCCAACTGGTGGAAGGGGGCTTGCCACGGGCAGACCGGCATGTTTCCCCGCAATTATGTTACCCCTGTGAACCGGAACGTCTAAGAATCAAGAAGAGATTATTTAAAGAAATTGAAAACACAAAAGAAACATACCCACAAGCTGCCTGTAACAGCAGCCTGTGAGGGAGCTCAGAACACCTGGCTGGGTCACACTGGTGACCTTCTCACTTTGGTTGGAACTTTGGGGGGTGGGTGGGGTGTTGGATATCAAAATGCCAAAACTTACCTATTGAATTAAGAAGAGTTTTTATTACAGATTCTCACCGCTGCTCCTGTTTCCCTTCCTATGTCCTTTTTCTCATCCTTTTTCTCTGTCCTTCGGTGCATGAATTTAAGGCCTCATATAGTCCCAGCTGATGCCAATAATAAAAGAAAAGAAATCAAGTGGGCTGTATTTTCTCTATGCAAAATGTCTGTCTTAGTGAAAATGACTGAAAGGAGAACAGTGAGTCTGTCCTCCATATGCACACACAGCAGGAGCTGCAGGGCAGCTGCCTCAGCTGGGTTTCCCCCAGGTATTTCATCACATTGGAGCTAGAGTCAGGAGGGAGGCATGCTGCCCACCCTATGGCTTCCTGAGAAAGTCAGACTGCAAACCTGCGCCTCTCTCACTTCGTTCCCAGTGTCATTGACGGTGTTGTTTCTTCATAGTGCCTTTTTCCTTATTTCAAGGGTTGCTTAGGCGTGGTGGCTTCTGTTTTGTTTTAAAATAAGTTAAAAACAGTCCAGAGCTTTTCAGCCAGTTTGTCCCCTACTCTGTGTGAACAGTTTTCCTTCAGGAGAAGGGAAAGCGGGGTAAAGAAAGGAAGCAGTACAACTGAAGGTGGGTGACCTCCTGTACTGAGCCAGGAGTGTCTGCGGCTCAGCTTCAGTACTTATGAGGCCCTCGATGCTGGCTGTGAGCAGTGGAGCAGCTGCTGACCCCACAAGCCTGGTGCATCTGGCTGCAAGGGCGGCACAGTGCTTGACCTCCAGGTCTCGGGTGTGCTCTGCCCTCCTATCCCCAGAGTCTGCCAGGCACAAACTTCTGGAGCCAGCAGGTTGCAGATAAGGAAGGCAGAAAATGGCACCTAAGCCATTTTCAGTCTTCGCAAGTCCAACCTTATTATGCCTACGCTGGGGTGAGAATTCAGAGTATTCACTTTTTGTTTTTCTTGCTCTTAAATTTAGGTCCAGGCTTTCACTTATGTGTCCCCTGACCTTCAAGGGGGTAGTGGCAGGAAGCAAGACTGGCTTTCATGTCTCTTTCACAGAGGACTGTGTTTGCACCTATTCCCAACACCCCATCCTTGGAAGCCGGAGGAGTTGAGGAAGGTGAAGTGGGAAAGACAGGAAGGCCAGGCCACTCAGAGCTCTGTCTACCTTCTGCTGACTCTCGGTCCCTCGTAGCAGTATGCCTGCTAACCGCTTCTCTCCACACAGTCACCCTTCCCCTAACAAAACCAAGGTCACTTCTCTTTCTCTCCCTGGAAGTTGGCAGCCTTTGCCCTTTGTGTTCCTAGGGGTCAGTGGAATCTCCGCTGGACTCTGCTTGTGGAAATGGACTTGGCGTGGAGAGCCTTAAGGCCCAGGAGACGTTGACTCTTCTGGCCCAAGCAGTCTTCACCTCCTGGCTCCCTCTCCTTCTGCTCCTCCTTTCCCCACTTATGATAAGAGAACTCTCTGACCTTCTACCCCTGGACCATTTGATTGTTTTATTTTGAAATTGGTGTATATCATGAAGCCTTGCTGAACTAAGTTTTGTGTGTATATATTTAAAAAAAATCAGTGTTTAAATAAAAAGACCTATGTACTTAATCCTTTAACTCTGCGGATAGCATTTGGTAGGTAGTGATTAACTGTGAATAATAAACATACAATGAATTCTTCACTCTGTATCTTTTTTCCCCCCTGCTTTACTTAAAAACTTAAAACCATAAGGGTTTAGGTCAGGGAGTCAGGACTCTTAGATCCTCTCTCTTCAACTCACCTAGTTTACATTGCCCTTTGGGAGCAAGTGAGTCTCCAACCTGGTTGTTCTTCAAAATTGGGGCAGAGGGGCTTACTAATAATATAGGCTTGCAGACCCCACCCTCAGATCCTGGGACAGACATCTCGAGAGCACAAACAAGACAGCTGGATTTTTTTGTTATGTGCCAACAGCATTGATAAATATTATATGATAGTGATATCGATTAGTCTACTTATTACTCAAAACTTTAAAAACGGGCAGTTTTATAAAAGACTTGCTATGTCCTGCCTGAGAGAAAGCACCAAGAGTCTCTCAAGACTTGATTCTAGCCCATCCATAGGCAGCACTGATCTTGGGTTTCAACAGCCTTATTTTTTACTACTCCGGAATTAGAGTTTAGAAAGCATAATGGTGAGTGTGGTTGTGCACACCCGAAGTCCCAACTCAGGAGGCTGAGGCAGAAGTATTACAAGTTCCAAGACCAGTCAGGGAGAGTTAGCAAGACCTCATCTCAATAAAAAGGGCTGGGGATGTAGCTCAGTGGTAAAATATCACTGGGTTCAGTTCCCAGCACAAAATAGAAAAGCACAGCCCTTGCAGCTGCCCCTGAGTGTGACTTGACGCTTCAACAATGCCTACCTCAGAATCAAAACTGCCAGGCCTTTGCCTTAGTGCTGCTCATCATCCTGAGCTGTGCTAAGGAAGGAGAGGACCAGGAATGGCCTCTTCCTTACCTCCATGTGGGACTGTGGATGGCTCCTGATAGTAATTTTATTCCTGTGACATGCAGCATCTCTTCTGGCTCAGTAATTGGGAACATCTGCCAGTGAGAGGCCGAGGAGAGCCCTGAACACCCTTCCCAGACCAGCAGCCACCCCTCTCCACTCCTGCACTGTGGTCATCCGTGCTGTGTCATCCTGATATTAGAAGTGTTCCCACTTTGACCTTCCGTGTTTGGTACAGACGCATTCTTCAGTCCTGATTTTCATACTGACATGCAAGTTGTAGACTGAGCAAATTTCAGAGAAGAAGTGTGGACAGCTCACAACCCTAGGACAAGGACTTGGAGACAGATGGTGGGTCACATTAGCTTGACCTAGGTGTTAGGTGAAATTATTTGGATTTTTTTTTTTGGGGGGGGGTACTGGATTGAACCCAAGGGCTCTGTACCATTGAACCACATCCTCAACCCTATTTTGTATTGTATTTAGAGAGATGGGTCTCTCACTGAGTTGCTTAATGCCTCTATTTTTGCTGAGGCTGGCTTTGAACTCATGATCCTGCTGTCTCAGCCTCCCAAACCACTGGGATTACAGGTGTGCGCACTGCGCACAGCTAGGTGGGCTTTGAACTCCTGCCTCTGCTGAGATTACAGGCACATGTCACCATGCCTGGCTTCCCCCCCCCCATATAACAATAATTGAACCCAGGGGTGATTTGCCACTCATCCCCTTTTATTTTTTGATACAGGGTTTATACCAAGGCTGGCCTCCAACTTGGAATTCTCTTGCCTTGGCCTCCTGAGTTGTTGGGGTTGTAAGCATGCACCACCACGCCTGACTATTTGGGCAGTCATTAATAGGACAGTAGGGCTGGGATTCAACTCAGTGGTAGAACATATGTTTACATGCACAGGGTGCTGGATTCAATCCCCTGCACACACACACAAAAAAAAGACGGCCTACAGGGCAGGTGGGATGGTGTGGAGGGTGGGGGTGGACACAGTTCCTGGAGACAGCTCAGAAGGCACCTGAGCAGCCCTCTGCTGCTGGGTTTGTGAGGCCTTGAAAGCAGCTGCACAATGCTTACCCTCTTCTGTTCACTCCGAAGGCTTTCATTTGTCTTTCAAGGAGCACCATGGATCTCCTGACTTGCAGTAGTGCCCAGAACAGAACCTTGGAAAACCAGGAGGCCAAGTTCACATTAGCTTAGGAAGTAGGAAGCTGGGTGGAGCCTCCCAGTCACCCAGCTCGGCTTTCTCTCCTGGCCAGTCAACTGCAAAGTATGCCCAGCCTCAGTGTGTGTATGCATAGCTGTGTGCTCGATGCTGGTATGTAGTATGTAAGCGACGTGTGGTTAGCCATGTGTACCGGGGATTGAACTTGGGTGCTTAACCACTGAGCCACATCCCCAGTCCTTTCTATATTTTACTGAGACAGGATCTCACTAAGTTGCTTAGGGCCCTGCCAAGTTCTGAGGCTGGCCTTGAATTTGTGACCCTCCTGCCTCAACCTCCCAAGCTGCTGGGATTACAGGCTTGCACCACTCCTCCCAGCCTGCACAGATTCCTTACTGTCCATATGCTGCCTCCTACCCTGGCTTCCCCAATGGACGGTAAGCCCTACAGGGCAGGAATTCAGTCACTGTGGCTTCCCTAGAATAAATAGTTCCTGAAACAGATGGGCTGCTCCACAGTATTTACCATCTTGAGTTAAGAATCGTATGTCCCAGATACTACAAGGCCCATGGTGCCACATTCCCAGTCTTATGTGCAGAGAAAGCCAAGCAATGACACCTGCCATGGGGCAGCAGCTCTTGCCTGCCAGAGGTCGAGGAAGACCGGGCGGACAGGAGTGATGACTGCAGACCTGGAGCGGCGCTCTGTGGAAGGAGTATATGCCAGGTGAGCAACCGCCTCCAGAAAGGGCTGTGTGCAGAGAGGAAGAGACGAGGGGGCCCTAGAAGATGCTGGTGCACCAGGTAGAGGCCAGACCTAGTGGTCCTGGAAGCACAGGAAGGAGCTAGAAATGCACAGGCCCCTGAAACAGGTCCGTTCATTTGTTTGGGTTTGGTTTTGAGGTCTTTGTTTTGAGTTTGGTACTGGGGATTGAACCCAGGAGTGCTCTATCACTGAGCCACATCCCCAGCCCTTGTTATTTTTTTATTTCCAAACAGGGTCTCACTAAATTGTTCAGGCTGTCAGCTTGCTATCCTTCTGCCTCAGCCTCTTGAGTCACTGGGATTACAGGCATGTGTCATCGTGCCTGGCCATTTCTTTGTTTTTAAGAGCAGCTTTAGACCTTGAAGAGTTTTTTGTTTATTTGTTTTGAATATTTTTTTAGTTGTTGATGGGACTTTGTTTTGTTTATTTATTTATATGCGGTTCTGAGAATCAAACCCAGTGCCTCACACATGTGGGCAAGCGCTCTGCCACTGAGCCACAAACCCAGCCCTAGACCTTGAAGTTTTGCTTAAAGTTTCAAAACTATTTGTTACTACCATAACATATTCCCAAATCCTTTTTGCATCTCCAAGTGAGCACTCTAAGGTTTATATTCAACCTGATAAAAGACAGATAGCCAGGCTCGGTGGTGCACACCTGTAATCCCAGCGACTCATGAGACACGAGAATCGGGAGTTCAAAGCCAGCCTCAGCAATAGCGAGGCCCTATGCAACTCAGTGAGACCTTGTCTCTAAATAAAATCCAAAACAGGGCTGGGGATGTGGCTCAGTATTCGAGTGCCCCTGAGTTCAATCCTCAATACCAAAAAAAAAAAAGAAAAGACACAGATAACAACGGCAGCCCCAGATGTCCTGAGGGACCAATTCAGACCTGCACCTGCATTCTGCTGGGACTTTACAGCCCCCAAGTCCCCCTCACCATCCCAGGAATCTGAAAATGAAAATCGAGTTTTCTTCATGAAAGGGCTCATCCCTGTTTGAGAGGCAATGCTTCTATCTTCAGTTGTTCAATAAGTCATTAAGTACCCCCACCCCCCCCCACACACACACACAGTTTGAGTCAGGTTTTGTACCACAATACAGAAAGCAGAAAAAAAAAATGGGTACTATATTCATTCACACACACACCTGAAGAAACACCTCAGTATGCTAAACCCCCTCAAGGATGGAAAAATCATAAAAATCATTTCTGAGGTATGAGACTGCTGAAGATGATTTCAGCAAATTTGCCTAGCCTCTTAATGCATCAGAATGTGGAAATGTGCCTAGCCTTAAACTGCAGTCACGGGCTTCTCTCTCTTACCTGCTGATGCTAGGCTGGCTAGGTCATGGATTTTGTTTATGCCCTAATTGTAAGCATACATGAGCAGGAGATACGTCTCAGAATTTACTTCTATGCTTGCCTTTTAATTTCTTCCCATTTTTTCTTCTTAGACACTATAACTATTTATACCTCTTGAATTGCCTCCTTTGCTTACAAATTCTTTGCTTTACTATCTACTAATGCAACTTCTGTTCAATCCTGTATCACCATTTTAGGTGCACAATAAGTCATTGTGAACTGGGTTTGGAAGCTACCTGCATAATTACATCCTGTGATTTATATTGACCCCTGGGTCTTTTTTGACACCTAGCTATGAACCATTTTTGTTTTCACTGTGATCTTAGGTTCCTTTCTTACTGCTTGAATGTAGTCTTCCTCATTTTAACATGGCAATCCATAACAAAATAACATGATTCCAGAAAATAATCAACAGGGTAGGACCTTTATGTGTTGGAAAGTGTTTAAGATCAGGGTGGAACATGAAAGTCTTATGGTAAACTTTACAGTAAATGTTAGGAAATTCTTCCCAGGTTTTGTTTATTTTCTAGTCTCATTATATATTCCTTCCCATCTCAGAACATGTTTGTAAACTTTACTCTTAATTAGGACACAGTGCTTTATTTAATTTTACCCTCTGTGTATTTGCTATGTTGGATTCTGTATACAAGTTTTCTTTTAAACTTGGATTTGCAGGAAGTTAAAAAAAAAAAAAAAACAGCTTTAGCCTGGTGGCACAGGGCTATAATCCCAGTAACACGGGAGGCTGAAGCAAGAGGATCATGAGTCCAAAGCCAGCCTCAGCAATTTATTTATGTATTTATTTATTTTTGGTGGGGGGTACTAGGGATTGAATTTAAGGGCACTCAACCACTGAGCCACATCCCAGCTCTATTTTGTATTTTATTTAGAGACAAGGTCTCACTGAGTTGCTTAGGGCCTCACTATTGCTGAGGCTGGCTTTGAACTCGTGATCCTCCTCCCTCAGCCCCCCCAAGCTGCCAGGATTACAGATGTGTGTCACTGTGCCCAGCCAGCCTCAGCAATTTAGCAAGGTTCTAAGTAGCTTAGTGAGATCCTGTCTCAAAATAAAATATAAGACACTGGGTTGTGGCTCAGTGGTAGAGTGCTTGCCTTGCACATGTAAGGCCCTGGGTTAGATCCTCAGCACCACATATAAATAAACAAATAAAATAAAGATATATATATTATATATATACACACACATACATACATAAAATATATATACACATAAAAAGGGCTGGGTTTGTGGCTCAGTGTCCCTGGATTCAATCCCCAGTACCAAAAAACAACGACGACAAAAAAAAAAAAGAACAGCTTTATTCAGATACAACTAACATAACATACAAGTCACTTGTTTAAGGTGAGCCATTCAATGGTTCTTACTAATTTTTAGTTATGCAATCATGACCACAATCAATATTAGAACATTGAAAGAGTTTTGAGCAGAGGAGCACACAGGATCCTGTCCAGCAAACAGTGGGGAAGGAGCCCTGTGGAGACAATGCAGTGTCCTGTGGGAGAGGCCGGTCATGATGACTAGAGGGCTCCTTGCTTGGGCAGTGGAACTGTGGCTGCTGTTGTAGGCCTGGGGGACCTCAAGGAGGAGCCTGGGGGCAGGAGGAGAAGAAAGGTGAACTTGTGCCTGAGGATGTGCCTGGGAAGCAGGGAGGTGCATTCACCTGAAGGCCAGGAGAAAGCTGAGCAGGTGCTCCAGCTCAGGGCTGGTCCGCATGTGTGTCACCCTGAGGTCAAGGCCATGGCAAGGCCTCCTGCTCCTCAATCCATGCGGAAGCGCTGTTCCCGAGGAAGCAGGAAGCCACAACGGAGCTGGAGGCAGGAGGCGGGGCAGGAGCAGGCAGTACCCAGAAGCCCAGGCTCCAGGAAACACTGGTGCCATCACTGCCCAGGCAAGAGCCTCTTCCTGTCTTCCCCCTCCGCCCCGCCCTGTGTCTTCCCCAGAGAGTGGAGAGGACAAAGTCCAGACTCCAGGCCCACAGGAACAGGAGAGGGGAGGCCTAGACCTAGGGCTTTATTCTTGGCTGTGTGACCAGGGCCTTCAACATTCCATCCCCTGCCTTCAAAAGTCTAAAAGCTAAACCAGGCCTGGGAGTGTCGCTCAGGGTAGAGTGCTTGCCTAGCAAGAATGAGACATGAGGCCCCGGTGTCCATCTCCAGCACCTCCAAACAAAGAAAAAAAACAAACCAACTATAATGTCGCCGGGTTGGTCTGAGGGTCCACCATGATCTGTCGCTGATAAGATCAGGTGCTGACTCCGATCTTGGCATTCAGTTTGCACCTGGTCCAATTCTCCAACTCTGGCCTGCCCAGTCCTTCTGGACCTTGGCTTTAGCCAGAATCTGCTTTTCTCTCAGATCCTAGGCAAAGGCCTCTTCTGACCCCTCTTCCCCCTCCAGAGTGTCCTCTCTACCACTCTGCCCTGTCCTCTCTGTCTCTGCCCTGTCCTCTCTGCTTTTCTACTTATCCCTCACCTGTCAAGAGACCTGACTCAGGCTGGAGAAGTAGCTCAGTGACAGAGTACTCGCCCAGCATACGCAAGGCCCTGGGATCAATACCCAGTTCCAGAGAGAGAGAGAGAGAGCCGACTCCAGAAACCCCTCTCTCCTGAACAATCCCCAGACGCCCACTCCTCTGTAGTCTCAAAGCCCAAGTGCATGGCCCTCCTACAGGTTATGTGTCTCTGCTCACTGAGGAGCTGCTCTCCAACCTGTCCTGCATCGTCCTGCCCTCTAGCCTCATTACTGTGGTGCTGGTGGCCGGGAGCAATAGGGGAGTGGTCAGGACCCTAGACTCTACAGTGGCCTTGGGCAGATTGCTTCCTATGCATTTAGAACACCTGGGTAGGTAACCTTGAACACGTGCCCTTTCTAAGTCTCAGGAAACTTCTCTGATAAGAGAAACTGAGGGTGGTTGACAAGATGACACAGGGTGATGCCTGAGTCACTAGCAGGAGGCGGGCTCCTCAGTGCTAGCTCCCCTCAGCTGAAACAGGGTGGGCTCATCCCTGGGCTCGCTCCATTGCCTTGTGTACGTATTTATTTGTTATTTAAAACTTCCATCCAGGGCTGGGGATGTGGCTCAAGCGGTAGCGCGCTCGCCTGGCATGCGTGCGGCCCGGGTTCGATCCTCAGTACCACATACAAACAAAGATGTTGTGTCCGCCGAAAACTAAAAAATAAATATTAAAAAATTCTCTCTCTCTCTCTGTCTCTCTCTCTGTCTCTAAAAAATAAAATAAGGAGCTGGGGTTGTGGCTCAGCGGTAGAGTACTCACCTAGCATATGTGAGGCCCTGGGTTCGATCCTCAGCACCACATACAAATAAATAAATAAAGGTATTTTAAAAATAAAATAAAATAAAACTTCCATCCATTTGAGAGTTGTCCTGTGATCTGTGGGAGGTACGGATCCAGCTCTCTTTTCCAGATGGCTGCAGAGCTATGCAGATTGTATTTAGCGTAAGGACCAGGGGTGAGCAGAGCTCAGTGACAGAGCACTTGCCTAGTATGCATGAGGTCCTGGGTTCCAGCACCACAAGGAAAAAAAATATCCGCACTCTGATTTGAGAGGATGCAAGTCACATACCAAGTTCTGTACGTCAGGGTCCTGATCCAGGGCCTTCCGTTCTGTCCCTCTGTCCCTCTGTTCCTGGCCAGTGTGGGCAGCTATGCTAAGTCCCAAGGCAACAGGTTTGGATCTCCCATTCTTTCCTCCTTCTCCTAGATTTTCCTGGCTCTACTTGCTTGTTTAGGTTTTCAATGTAAACTTTGTCTTGTTCAAAAAAAAAGAGAGAGAGAGAAAGAAACCCTTGGTGTTTTTGTTTGGATCCTGTTCACTTTGTAAACTCCCTTCAAAAGAAGTGACGTCCGAATGATGTTGAGTCTCCCTGTCCAGGAACCCAGCAGGTCTTCCTGGTCTCCTGTCCTTTGGGAACGTCTCAAAGTCTTCCTCATAAACCTTTGGCTTGTCTTTTGTGATGTTTGTTCCCAGATATGTAGTCTTCTTTGTTGATGTTTTAAATCAGAACTTCTCTCACATCTGTTGTCTGGCTGGCTGTTTTCTGTGTGTGGAAGGGTATTGATTTCTTACTCCCCAGCTAAATTATCTGACTGTACTGGTTTGGTGGTTGATCTCACATAGACAAAATTGTAAGTAAACATCATGTTTAAGCTCTTCAACTAGATGAGCTCCAGGAAGCTTTCTCTACTGCTTGTATTTATTGGGGGGAGGGGGCGGCAGTACTGGGGATTGAACTCAGAGGCACTCAAACACTGAGCCACATCCTCAGTCCTATTTTGTATTTTATTTAGAGACAGGGTCTCACTAAGTTGCTTAGCACCCCGCCATTACTGAAGCTGGCTTTGAACTCATGATCCTCCTGTCTCAGGCTCCTGAGCAGATAGAATTACAGGCATGTGCCACCACACCCAGCTCTCCACTGCTTGTAGCCCTTCTTGTACCACCAAGATGTCATTAGGGGAGCGAATAACTGCTGCTAAGAGACAGCACTTTGTCTCAGTGTGGATGACTGCTTATTCCTATAAGTAAATCTGTTTAAATCTGTCAAAAAAGTCTTACTTGAACAAAATTTAAAGCATTTTTTTAGCTTGACACAGTAGTACACAACCAAAATCCCAGCAACTCAGGGGGCTGAGACAGGAGGATTGCAAATTCAAAGCCAGCCTCAGCAACTTAGTGAGATCCTGTCTCAAAAAATTAAAAGGAGTGGGAATGTGGCTCAGTGAGAGAGCACCCCTGGGTGCAATCCACAGTACAGACAAAACTTTTTTTTTTTTTGGAGGAAGGGCTATGAGTCTTTTGCCAACACTCTCTGACTGATGTTTATTCCTCTCAGTTCTGGAGGCTGGGAAGTCCAAGGTCAAGGTGTCAGTAGACCCAGTTCTTTTTCTTTTCCTTTCCTTTTATTTAATTTATTTGTTTGGTTTTTGGAATCCAGGTTATTCTAAGTCCTTAGGGCCTTGCTCAGTTGCTGAGGTGGATCTCAAATTTGTGATCCTCCTCTCTACATCTTCCATGTCCTTGGGATGACAACTGTGTAACATTGTGCCAGGCAAGACTCAGTTCTTGGTGAGGGCTCTCTTCCTGGCTTGCACATAGCTGCTTTCTTATCATGTCCTCACATAGCAGAGAGCAGAGGTGAGGGAGAGGAAGAGGAAATGAAGGCACTCTTCCTCTTCTAATGAGTGCACTTATCTCATTATGAAGTCCCCACCATCATGATCTCATCTAACCCCATTTAACACTCAAAGGTCCCACCTCCTAATACAATCTCATTGGGTATTAGGGCTTCATTATTAAAAAAAAATTTTTTTTTTTTTTTTGGTACTGGGATTGAACCCACGGGTGCTTTACCACTGAGCTACAACCCCAGTCTTTTATTTTTTACTTTGAGACAGGGTTTTATCAAGTTGCTTAGGGCCTTGCTAAATTGCTGGCCTCAAATTTGTAAATCCTCCAGCCTCAGTCTTCTGAGTCGCTGGGATTACAGTCATGCTTCACCACATAAATTCAGGGCAAGTTTGGCAATTTAGCAAGACCCTGTATCAAAATAAAATTTTAAAAAGAAATAAAAAATTTAAAAAGGATTGGGGATATAGCTCTATGGTAGAGTGCTCTGGGTTCACTCCCCAGTACTGCTATGTATATACATACATACATACATACATCTTATCTAGTAGCTCTGGATAAAAATCCCCCATTCTTTCTCTTGAAAGAGGTAGGATAGGAGAAATAAGAATGGGTAGAAAGGAGCCAGGTGCGGTGGAGCACGCCTGCAATCCCAGTGGCTCGGAGGCTGAGACAGGATTGAGAGTTCCAAGTCAGCTGAGCAGCTCAGGGAGACCCTGTCTCTAAATGAAATACGAAATAGCGCTGGGGATGTGGCTCAGTGGCTGAGTGCCCCTGAGTTCAAGCCCCAGTACCCCCCCCCCCAAAAAAAAGAAAGAATGGGTAGAAAAGACTAATAGGGAGGGAAGAGAAACTAACTGTAAATCTAAGAAGCTCCACGACCACCTTTGTCTTCTCCCCAGGCCTGTTTCCCACCAGACAGAAAGTCTTTAAAGAGCCCTTGAATCTGAGTCTGGAGCCTCTAGATGGTTAATGACTGCACACATTTCTGGCTTATACAACGTATTTTCTTTAGACTAAAAAAGCCAAGGGAGGGCTGGGATTTTGGCTCAGTTGGCAGAGCACTTTCCTGGCACATGTGAGGCACTAGGTTCAATCCTTGGCACCATATAAAAATAAAATAAAGGCACTGTGTCCATCTACTAGAAAAAAAAATTTTTTAAAGAAAAGCCAAGGGAAAAATACCATTAGATATTATGATGGGCATATTCCAAAGTTATCCATTGACTGGATGACATCAACCTAGAGATCTGAAAGATGACAACCAGGTCATTGTGACCCACCCTAAGCTTCATGACTAAGAACTGAGTTCACCAGGTTGATATCACCTTCCTTCCCACTCAGGTTCAGGATTCACGATTTACCAAATTTTCTTTAAAAGAAGAGCCTAGGGCTGGGGATAGAGCTCACTTGGTAGAGTGCTTGTCTCATATGCACAAGGCCCTGGGTTCAATACCCAGCACAAAGAATAAGAAAGTCATTCTGTCCATCTACAACAATGAAAAATATTGAAAGTAAGAAGAAGAAAAGAGCCTAGCCATGCACAGTAGCCCCAGAAATTTGGGAGCCTGAGGCAGGAGGATCACGAGTTCAAAGCCAACCTCAGCAATGGCAAGGTGCTAAACAACTCAGTGAGACCCTGTCTCTAAATAGAAAATACAAAATAGGGCTGAGGATGTGGCTCAGTGCAAATGCCCCTGAATTCAATCCCTGGTACCAAAATAAATAAATAAATAAATAAGAGTCTAGCCAAGCATGGTGTTGCTCACCTGTAATCCCAGCCATTTGGGAGGCTATAGCAGGAGGATTGCCAAGTCCAAGGCCAGCCTCAGCAATTTAATGAGACCCTAAGCAACTTACGGAGACCCCATCTCAAAATAAAAAATAAAAGGGCTGAGGATGTGGCTCAGTGGTTAAGCGTCCCTGGGTTCAATCTCTGATAGCACAACAAATACATAAATAAGAGTCTGAGAGCCACAAGCACACCATGCTCTAGCCCCTGCACTCCTTCTCCCTTGAAGTACATATTCTGCTCTATTGTTTGCTTTCCTGAATAAATTTCCCTACTTTCTTGAATAAATATTTGTGCCTTTTTTGACATGTCCTGAAATTTCTTTCAGTGGCTTAAGAACCTGCCAGGACTGGGCTGAGGTCCTTCTTCTGCCTTCGGGGGTTTCTCTCAGGCCTCTATCAGGTGATATTTCCATCCTTCCTCCCTCTGGAGCTCCTGCTGCTTTGGACAGCTAACAACTCTTTTTGGCAGGGGAGTGGGGGTACCAGAGTACTGAGGGTTTAACCCAGGGGTGCTTAACCACTGAGTCTCATCCTTTTTCTTTTTTATTTCGAGACAGGGTCTTGCTTAATTGGTTAGGGCCTTGCTAAGTTGCTGAAGCTGACCTCAAACTTGCGATCCTCCTGCCTCAGTTTCTTGAGTTGCTGAGATTACAGGTGTGCCCAACTGTGCCTGCCCTGTCTTGGACTTGGATGAATTTAAACCAATATTACTGTGGAACTCTGCTACATTTTTGGCAGCTCAATCTAATCCTGATATACTGTCATTCATGCCTGTCCCCCAAGAGGTCAATGCCCACATCACTTTTGTCTCTGAAATCCAAGGTCCTCTTCAGCATGTGTATCCCCACCTCAGAGGTGAACAAAGGAAAAACATCCAAGGATGCCCCCGCAGTTTTTCTCTGTTCAACTCTCCTATGCACAGAATTCTTTCTACTCCCACATTCCCTTGCCTATAAATACCTCCATGGGCAGAGGCAGATGCAGAAAAGCAAGTCATGTCACTCTGAGCCATGTGGGGTACTGTGTCACCCATCCGTGCCTTCCCAGTGTCTACTGAACATTTTCAGTATTGCCTGCCTTAGGTGCTGGAAACAGAAATATGAATAAGGAAGTTACAAAATACCAACCTTCAGGAACTCCCGAGTCAGGGGTGGGTCAAGGTGAGCAGAGGAGACCTCATACTTGGACAGTTCAGAAGAGGTTTCAAAGAAAGGGTGACTTCAGAGCTAAGGTGCTAAGAAAGAAGGTAAAGTAGTACATGAAAAGTACATGGGCATCCAAAAAAATAGAAAATGACGCACATTGACAAGGACGTGCAGGAATCAGAAGCCTGTGCAGGGCTGGGGGAATGTGAAACGTTGCAGCTACTTTGGAAAACAATTTGGTGGTTCCTCTACATGCTAAACAGAATTCCCACTAACCCAACATTCCACTCCCCAGTATCTACTGAAATAACTGAAATAGGGTGTGGTGATGCACATTTATTATCCCAACTCCTCCTCGGGAGGCCAAGGCAGGAGGATTGCAAGTTTGAGGCCATGGAAATGTGGTTCAGTGGTAGAACAATTGCCTGGAAAGTTGAAGGCCAGCCTGGGCAACTTTTTGAAAACTTCAGCAACTTGGCCAGACCATGTCTTTTTTTTTTTTTTTAATTGTTGATAGATCTTTATTTTATTTATTTACACGTGATGCTGAGAATCGAACCCAGTGCCTCACACATACCAGGTAAGTGTGCTATGGCTGAGGTTGAGCCCCAGCCACCAGACCATGTCTTAAAGCAAAAAATTAAAAAAAAAAAAAAAAAAAGGGACTGGGGATGTAGTTCAGTGGTAGAGTACTTGACTAGCATGCACAAGGCCCTGGATTCAATTCCCTATACTGCAAAAGAGAAAGAAGGAAGAAAGAGAGAGAGAGAGATAAAGAAAGAAAAAGGAAGGATAAATGTTGTATGATTGCAATTTACATGAAATATCTAGAATAGGTAAATCTATAGAGACCAAAAGTAGGTGAAAGGTTAGGAGAGAACGGAGGAAGGAGAGAATGGGAAGTTATTGCTTAATGGGTAGTTTCTATTTGGGGTCATGAAAAAGTCTAATAGTGGTTTAAAAAAATATTGGGCTAGGGTCATACTCAGTGGTAGAGTGCTTACCTGGCATGTGTGAGGCACTGGGTTCAATTCTCAGCACCACATATAAATAAATAAAGGTCCATAAACAACTAAAAAAAATATTTAAAAAATAGTGGTGTTCATTGCACCATTATGAATGGAATTAATGCCACTGGATTGTAATTTTGATTTCATGGATTGATTTATTTGCAGTACTAGAGATTAAACCAGGGGCATTTTTCCATTGAGCTATATATCCCCACATCGGAAGCCCTTTTTAAAAATATATATATTTAATTTTTTTATTTGTTTATGTATATATGTGTTTTGGTACTAAACATTGACTCCAGGAGTTACATCCCCAGCATTTTTATTTTTTATTTTGAGACAGGATCTCACTAAATTGCTAAGGATCTTGCTAAATTGCTGAGACTGGTCTCAAATTTGTGCTCCTCCTACCCAACCTTCCGAGTCGATGGCATTACAGTTCTGCACCATCACACCAGTTTTTGCAATTTTTTTTTTTTTTGTGTGTGTGTGTGCCAGGGATAAAACTCTGGGGGCTAATCACTGAGCAGCATTCCCAGTCCTTTTTATATTTTATTTATTTTAAAAAAAATTTTTTTAGTTGTAGGTAGACACGATTTATCTATCTATCTATCTATCTATCTATCTATCTATTTATTATGTGGTGTTGAGGATAGAACCCAGTGCTCAATGAATGCTAGGCAAGCGGTCTGCCACTGAGCCACAACCCCAGTCCCTCTTTTTATATTTTCTTAGAGACAGGATCTCACTAAGTTGCTTAGGAGTCGATAAATTGCTGGGACTGGCTTTGAACCCCCAACCATTCTGCCTCAGGCTCCTAAGCCTACGTGCCTGACTATACAAACATTTTTGTAGAGATGTTTTCATTTCTTGTGGATAAATACGTAGAAGTAGAATTATTGGATCATAGATGTACATATTATTAACTGCATAAGAAATTGCCTGACCTTTGCCCAAACTGTGTCATATTATATTCCCTAGCTGCTCAATATTCTTGCTAGGGTAGACATGGTGGCACACGCCTCTAATCCCAGTGACGCAGGAGGCCAAGGCAAGAGGATCACAAAGATTGGATTTGAGACCCCTCCACCTGCTGCATCTTTTATCTTGAAGTAGAGTTGATTTAGCTGGTCCCATTCCCTAAGTTTTCTTTCTGAAGAATGAAACTTTCTCAGATTGAAGAATCTGGATTGCTCAAAACTATAGAGGAGGCTGGACGTGGTGGTGCACACCTGTCATCCCAGCAGCTCAGGAGGCTGAGGCAGGAGGGCTGGGGATGTGGTAAAGCACCAGGGATTCAATCCCCCAGTACCAATAAATAAAACAAAGCAAAAGTCAATTAAAAAAGACTATAGAGCAATTGCCCTAGAACTTTCTTATTGTAGACAGTTTAATTACAGTTGTAGGGAGGTTTATGCTGGGGATGTGCTCAGGGGTGGAACCACTGTGCCTCTTCTGCCACCCACACTCAGCTCCCACTGCAGCTCTTTCCCTTACTCATCTCTCCCAGGGACTTCTGGCCTCTGTGGCTAGCTTGGGATGACACTTCATATGCACTGTGGCACCCAGATAATTTGATTCTGCCTGCTTTTTCATTTCCAGTAGAAAGCAAATTCTTTCTTTGAATTGGTTTATTTTCTTGATGCACTTACAGTAATTTGTCTCTTTGGTTGACTTTAGATCAAAACTAAAAATATTTATCTAGAGTATGAATTTAGGGGCTGGGGTTGTGGCTCAGTGGTAGAGCACTTGCCTAGCTTGCCATGTATGAAGCACAGGGTTCAATTCTCAGCACCACATATAAATAAATAATTTTTTTTCTTTTTTTTTTTTTTAAAGAGAGAGAGAGAGAGAGAGAGAGAGAATTTTAATATTTATTTTTTAGTTTTTCGCGGACACAATATCTTTGTTTGTATGTGGTGCTGAGGATCGAACCCGGGCCACACGCATGCCAGGCAAGCGCGCTACCGCTTGAGCCACATCCCCAGCCCATGAATAATTTTTAAAAAGTGTGAATTCAGCCAGATACAGTGGTGCACACCTGGAATCCCAGTGGTTTGAGAGGCTGAGGCAGGAGGATGATGAGTTCAAAGCCAGCCTCAGCAATTTAGCGAGACCTGTCTCAAAAAAATTTAAAAAAGGACTGGGGATGTAACTTGGTCCCTGGTGTTGAACTCTGGGTTCAATCCCTGGTTACTGACCCATCCCCAAGAAAAAGAGTGTAAATTACATGTATGGGTTAATAGGAACCAGAGAAATGCTACCTGCAAGAGTGCTGGGACTTCCTTTCCATCTTTATTACCACCATCCTTATTATATCATAGTTAGAATTTCATAAGAGAGAGTGGGGCACAGTATCGGCCCCCAAAATGTCTTTATTAATTAGACCCAATTATTTCACTTTTGTTAATACCCTCCTTTTATACTTTGTCCAAAGTATAAAAAATTACATGTACAAAGATTTTCCAAATGGTATTCCTTTTATTCCTTTTTATTTTTTCTGTACCAAGGATTGAACCCAGGGATACTTACTCACTGAGCCCCAGCCCCAGCCTTTTTTTAGCCGGGGGTGAGGGGAATACCAGGGATTGAACTCAGGGGCACTCAACCTCTGGGCCACATCCCCAGCCCTATTTTATATTTTATTTACAGACAGGGTCTCACTGAGTTGCTTAGTGCCTTGCTTTTGCTGAAGCTGTCTTTAAACTCTCCATCCTCTTGTCTCAGACTCCCAAGCTACTGGGATTCCAGATGTGCACTACAACGCCCAGCAGCCCTAGCCTTTTTTCATTGTTTTAGTTTGAGACAGGGTCTCTCTAAGTTGTTGAGGCTGGTTTTGAACTTGCAATCCTCCTGCCTTAGCCTCCTGAGCTGCTGACATTACAGGCTTACACCATGGCACCCTGTCTAAATGGTATTGCTTTTATAGCCCAAATGCTGAACCACTTAAAGTTTAGGGCAGGAGTCAGTCACACAGAAAGTAAATACTTTAGGCTTTGCAGGCCATACTGTCTCTGTCACAGCTTTTCAACACTGGAGTTTTGTACCATGAAAGCAGCCATATGTAAGCAAACGGGCATGGCTATGTTCCAGTAAAACTATATGTACAAATGCAGAGCTATAGTTTGTCATACCCTGGTCTAGGTAAATAGTCAATAAACAGATCGATGAAGAGTGCATTATGTACTCATTAAAAATTAGTAATCAATATTGTGAAAAACACGAGAAAGTATTATAGTAAGCAAAAAATTGTGAGAATGCAAAAGTATATGAATGAATGTGATCATGGGGGCAAATAACACACTAAGCATATAATAAAAAGTTGACAAAGTGTCTGGGTGCAGGGTCACACGCCTATAATCCCAGCAGCTTGGGAGGCTGAGGCAAAAAAAAGGGCTGGCGCTGGGGCTCAGTGGATAAGTACCCCTGGCTTCAATCTCTGGTACAGGGATTCTGAGTTCAAAGCCAGCTTCAGTAACTTAGCAAGGCCCTAAGCAACTCAGTGAGACCCTGTCTCTAAATAGAATAACAAAAAGGGCTGGGGGGCTGGAGATGTGGCTCCAGTGGTAACGCGCTCGCCTGGCATGCGTGGGGTGCTTTGTTCGATCCTCAGCACCACATAAAATAAAATAAAATTGTTGTGTCCACCGAAAACTGAAAAATAAATATTAAAAAATATTCTCTCTCTCTCTCCCCCTCTCTCTCCCCTCCCTCCTCTCTCTCTTTAAAAAAAAAGGGGGGGGGGGGGCTGGGATGTGACTCAGTGGTTAAGCACCACTAGTTTCAATCCCTGCTACAAAAAAAAAAAACAAAGTAAATCAAATTACTAACAGTGGTTATAGTAAGATGGCAGAGCAATAAATGGACGGCTTTATGTTTCCTCCAAATTTCAGTTCAATCCCAGGGGCATTTAACCACTGAGTCACGTTTCTAGCCCTTTTTACTTTTTATTTTGGGACAGCATCTTGCTAAGTTTCTTAGGCCCTTGCTAAATTGCTGAGTCTTTGAACTTGTGATCCTCCTGCCTGAGCTTCCCCACCTGCTGGGGTTACAGGCATGTGCCATTGTGCCCAGGTACTGTACCTTTATTTCATTTATTTATATGTGGTGCTGAGGATCGAACCCAGGGTCTCGCACGTACTAGGCGAGCGCTGTAACACTGAGCCACAACCCCAGCCCCAACTTGTGTTACTTTTATAATAAAATAATTTTTAAAATTAAAATATCTCAGGGCTGCGTTGTGGCTCAGTAGAAGCACATGCGTTTGGCATGTGTGAGGCCCTGGGTTCAATCTCCAGCACCACATAAAAATAAATAAATTGTGTTCATCTACAATTTAAAAAATTAAAAAAAAAAATGCCTCAAGGGGGCTGGGGTTGTAGCGAGCTTGCCTAGCATGCATAAGGCACTGGGTTCGATTCTCAGCACCATATACAAATAAATAAAAATAAAAGTTCATCAACAACTAAAAAAATATTTTTAAAAAACCCCTCAAAATCTGAAAAAAAAAAAAAAGAAGAAGAAGAACGAATAAAAAATAGTTATTAACTCAGGGTACCTCTGAGTCACAGGTTTTAAAAATCTTTATCCTTAGCTGGGCATGGTAGTGCATGCCTATAACTCCAGCAGCTTGGGCCGCTGAGGCAGGAGGATCTCGAGCTTGAAGCCAACCTCAGCAACTTTAGGGAAGCCCTATGCAACTCAGTGAGACCCTGTCTCTAAATAAAATATTAAAAAGGGCTGGGGATGTGGCTCAATGGTTAAATGCCCCTGGGTTCAATTCTTGGTACCAACAAAACAAAACAAAACTTTATCATCCAAGTTTCCACCATGAGATTCTTAAAATAAAAACAAGTTGTTTGTTTCAAATATTGGAAAAACTAGTCAGGTATGCTGGCTCAAGTCTGTAATCCCAGTAACTCACAAGCTGAGGCAGGTGGATCACAAGTTCAAGGCTAGCCTCAGCAATTTAGTGAGACCCTGCCTCAAAATAAAAATTTTTAAAAAGGACAAGGGGTGTAATTCAATGGTGGAGTACTTTCCTCGCATGTGTAAGGCCTTGGGTACAATCCCCAGTACTGTCAAACAACAACAACAACAACAAAAAACCCTAATGGCAAAAGTCCACGTGGAGTGGATTGAGCCAAGAACCATTACCTTAAACTCCAAGTGAAGGAGGCTGCACTGTTTATTTCAGAGTCTGGCTGCGCCTTCATTTATCCACCGGACTCTCCTGGAGTGTCTTACCAGATGGCACTAGAGAGGCAGAAGATGTGTTCCCTGCTCACTCTCCAGGAGCTCCCAGACGCTAAGAACTGGGCAACTCGTGCTCACTGGCACAAGGTCCTAAGTGCTCCTGTAAGGTGTGTGCAGAGAACTGGGGAGCCACAGAAGGCTGCAGGCCCTCCCAGAGGTTAGAACTGGAGAGGGTCTGATACCTGGGGACCGTGGTCTCTCAGATGGGCCTTGGGGGACTGATGAGGGGAGAGTGCCAGTGACAGGAAGAGGGAAGGACCTCTCAGGGAGAAAATCCCTGTGTCTGGAGAGTGATGAAATGACCTCCTGACCTGCTTTGGATTCTAGGAACCCCCCAGGCCCATTTTCTCTGTAAGTCCAGAAATGCCCCTTAGCCACGGATACACTGAGCCCTTGAGCCCTGACAGATGCCTGAAGCCGTAAGACAGCAGAGAACCTGCTTCTTAGATTTGGAACTCCCAGAAGTACCCTGAGTCAGGCAGAAGCATAAGTCATGGGTCTGTGGAAGAAGACAGTTTGTGGTTGACCTGGACACGCCAACCCTTCCGCCAGGCCCAGACACTTCCATCTTGAAGACAGGGCTGCACCCACTCTCTTCCTCTGTGAAACTGGGTGCAGGGTGGAGAAGGGTTTCCCACAGACAGAGCAGAAAAGACCTTCTCAGGGAACCTCAGAAACGGGTGAAGAGTAACATGCTGATAATCTGGTCAGAGATAACCAAATACTGAAAACCAGAAAGCTTGCCCTTGCCAGCAATCTCAAGATCCCTCCCTTTGGGGCTGAATCCACCCTCCCAACAGGCCCCTGACACTGGGGTCTGCTGAGAAGAGTAACACAAGAGGTTGAAATGCTTAAAGAAATCAACTCTTAAAAGTCACTGGACAGTGAATAGTTTTTGGTTAGTTTACTGGTGTTTGAGTCATTTGCTGAGTGAATCTGAAAGACCAAAAAAAGGAACTACCAGAAACACTCCTATCTTTGGCCTCCACAGCCTGTCAGAACTTCCTCTATAATCCTCCAACAGTGGTTGTTTTTTTTTTTTTTCATGATTTTCTCAGCATTATGGCCCTAAAGTTTAAAACAAAATAATAACTAAAATGATGGAAATTTACAGCCACGAAAAAACCTGCACATGCGATTTATTAGCAACTTCATTTATAAATGTTAAAACTTGGAAGCTTGGCTGGGATTGTGGCTCAGCGGTAGAGCACTCACCTAGCACCGGTGGGACCCGGGGTTCAATCCTCAGACTCAGCACCACATTAAAAAAAAAAAAAAAGGCATTGTGTTGTGTCCATCTACACCTAAAAAATAAATTAAAAAAAAAAAAAAACTTGGAAGCCACCAAGATGCCCTTCAATAAGTGAGTGGACTAAAACTGCTGCATCCTGACGGGGCTTTTCTTTTTTGGTGCTGGGAATCAAACTCAGAGCCTCACAACTGCACTCTGTCACTGAGCTCCACCCCCAGCCACACACAATAGAACGTTATTTGGCACAAGAAGACATAGAAGGACCTTAGAAGCCATTGGTAAGGAAAGAAAGCAAGCTCCAAATGGGCAGGATTCCTAAGTGTTCACTGGCATCCCCAGCATCTAAAACAGTGTCTGGCCAAAGCAGATCCTTAATAAATATAACAACAACAACAACAAAAAAAAGATGGAAAAGAGGCGCTTCATCTCATCCTAAGTCATGAGGAAGCAGAAAGAAACAAGGGCAGCCTTGGACATCAGCTGGGGGGTGGATCTCCAGTTCAGCATCAATCCAGGTGTAGACCGGCTGCCAGAATGCTCATTCCCAGGCTCATGCTTGGCTGCTTGAGTAGGATGAGTGTCCTGAGGAAGAAGTCATCTACATTTTAAAATAAGCCTCCTAGATGATTTATTTTTTCCCTCCTTTCCCTCCTTCATTTCTTTTTTATGGTGCTTTTTTTAAGGGCCTTACACATGCTAGGCAAGGCAGGGGCTCTACCACTGAGCTACTTCCCAGACCCTCCCAGATGGTTCCTGTATCAGCTGAAGCTGAGAACCACTTGGGATGCCTTCTAAAAATGAAGATTTTTTTTTAATATTTATTTTTTAGTTGGACACAATATCTTTATTTATTTATTTTTGTGTGGTGCTGAGGATCAAACCCAGGGTCTCCCATCCCAGCCTGCAGATTTGTTTTTTTACACCTGAGGTGGTACAGGAGCAGCAAGGTTTGGACACCTTGAAGTTCAGCTTCTTCATCTTCTTTTTTTTTTTTAATATTTATTTTTTAGTTGTAGTTGGACACAATATCTTTATTTTATTTATTTATATGTGGTGCTGTGGATGGAACCCAGGGCCTTGCATATGCCAGGCAAATGCTTTACCACTGAGCCACAACCCCAGCCCCTAACTCTGGTCTTATGGACAGTCACAGCAGAGCTAATCTCATTCAACAATGAGGCCCATTCACCTCCACATCAGCCCCAGCAGCTGTTAAATACCAACTCCATTTAGTCAAGGCCAAAGAGAAATTTCCTCCTTCTGAGGAGGCGGGGGAAGTCCAGGAACTTTTAGCAGGTCTGTTTAGGGTAAGTGTTGATGAAGTCACAGAAGGTTCACTTCCCCAAACTGACGGGAATCTATTATTTTCCGGTTTCTCTTTATGCATGACATGATTTACTAAATATATGTAATTTAAAATGAAATGACCAGATTTCAAAAGGTCAAAAACTAGAACCAGGGCATAAACCCAGGAAAACTGGTACCTGCCCCTAATCCCATTGGAACTCAGCTACAAATTTGCCATCTGATTGTAACAGACCTTGGATATATCACCCAGCCCCTCTGGGCTCCAACTGGACTAAGTGACCTCTGTGATCTTTCCAGTTCTGATGATCTGTGGTTCCCTGAGTCCAGTTCAGTTTACAATTAGTCTGTGGTCAAAGTCTTTAATGACTTTTCTGTTGGATGAACACTGGGGAAGTCTTTGTAAATGTGAGCTTGGTGGAGAGTAGTAGCACATACCTGTAATCCCAGTGGCTAGGGAGGCTGAGGCAGGAGGATCACAAGTTTGAGGGGCCATTTAGTGAGACCCTCAGCAACTTAGTGAGACCCTGTCTCAAAAAAAAAAAAAAAAAGACAAATCACAAAGTCAGGCATGTCTGGGATTCCATCAACTCAGGAGGCTGAGTCAGGGATGCAAGTTCAAACCAAGCCTCAGCAGTTTAGCAAGACTCTATCTCAAAATTAGAAAAAAAAAAAAAAAAAAAAAAAAAGGGGGGGGGTGGGGGGTGTGGGGGGGGTGCTGGGGATGTGACTCAGTGGTAAAGCACCCCTGGATTTAATTCCCAGTGTCAAAAGGGGTAAAATAAACTTTTCAGCAAAAAAACAGTTTTCCAGGGGCTGGGGATACAGCTGAGTTGGTAGAGTACTTGCCTCGCATGCACAAGGCTCTGGGTTCGATCCCCCGCACTAAAAAAAACAACAATAAAAACAAAACAAACAGTGTTCCACATGTTGGGATAATTAATATCTACATACAGGGGGAAAAATAACTTTAATCCCTATCTCACACCAAACACAAAAAGTAACACAAAATGGATCAGACTCCAAATTGTAAAAAAAAAAACAAAAAAAAAAACAACCAACATTTATATTAGAAAATATACGAGAAAATCTTTATGACCTTTTGCAAAGCAAAGATTTCTTAGGTATGATACCAAAAAGCATGATACACAGAAGAAAAAAAAATCAATAAACTGGATTACATTAAAATTAAAAACGTCTCTAACCCGGTGCAGGGAAGCACACCTGTAATCTTGGCCACTTGGAGGCTGAGGCAGTAGGACCACAAGTTTAAGGCCAGCCTGGACAACTTAGACCCTATGTCAAAAAAATTGACATACACACAAACTTTGGGAGTAAAACCCCCGCGTATAGGTTCTGAGCTTAAGAATCCAACTGTTGTCTCTCCCTCTCCTCCAAGGTTTTTGATGATCGGGGCTCTGATAAAAAGAGGGTTTTGAGGAATGCGGGGCAAGTTCAGGTCGCCCTAACTTCCCACACCCTGCCCGCTGACTTTCCAAACTTCAGGATCCCAGCGACCTCTAACGTCTCAGTACGCCTTCTTGACCCGCCTTCTAGCGATGCATCAGGATCATGCGCGCGCACGCTCAGTAGGACTACATTTCCCAGGAGGCTCTGCGTCTCGCGGGTCGGGTAGGAAGCCCTTGAGAGTGGAAGACTACATTACCCAGTGAATCCTTGCGGGAGGCGCTGGCTGAGTCTCAAACGAACAACCATTGGTCCAGCCTCTGCCGGGCGCTGCGCGGTGATTGGCGTAGAGGCCCGTCAGTTTGTACCAAGCGCTTTACAGTTTTGCTGTTAGACTGCGTGAGCAGGGCGGGAGTGCCGAGCGCGGGGAGTCTGGCAGCGCCCGCTGAGTAGGTGAGTGACCTCTACCACCTCCCTCCTCGCGGTCCTGTCGGGGACCTGCACACTCGCTCTCCCGGGCGGACCGCGGGCAGCACACACAAGCTGGTACTCACGGGGAGGCGGGGACTGGGACTGTACTCAAGGGCACACCTGACTCTAGAGGCATCTTCAGGGGACGCTGGAGGTAAAACTCCTTACCCCTCCTCCCCCGCACTTGCGTACGCGGATCCCACATCGAAGGCGAGCTCTCTGACTTGGGGAAACAAGACACCTTGAGGCACACCTGGACACTGGTATCCCACGTGGGGGACCTCTGCAGAGTCCCTCAGCTGAGCACATGAGCGCCCGGGCACTCACCATGGTCACCTGTGTCCTGGAGAACTGGGGTCTTCCGCGGAAAAGAAGCAGGGTGGAGAAGGCAGCTGTCAGAGTCCCACCCCACCCACTCTGCCACGCTCACCAGCAGTCTCCGGTCTCTGGGTGCTACCTTATATCATGCATATTAATCATGTTTTTATTCTTGGTTTTTGATACTGGGCATTTAACCCAGGTGTACTTTACCGCTGAGCTACATCCCCAGTCCTTTTTATTTTTTGAGACAGTTTCTCACTAAGTTGCCCAGGCTGTCCTCTTGCCTCAGCGTCCTGAGGTTACTGGGATTACAGGCTTGCACCACCTTGCCCAATGATAGCTCTAATTTCTTGAGCTCAGGTCTATATTATATCCAGCTATACAGAACTGCTTATTAATAAAAATCTCCACACACCCTAGCCTTCCCATCACCTTTCACCGTGCTTGTGAATCATGCAGTTATATCCTGAGCTTCCAGAGGAAAGAGCCTGATATCCTCCCGGTGACTCCTGAGACTAAGCCAGAACACCTGCCACTTGGGCTTACCCCTGATTCTCTCCAAGAATGCAGGAAACTGATACTTTTCCGGGTGACCTGAGCAGTCCCAGGGAAATACTGGGAGAGGTTTAACCATTAGGTCAGGTCACCAGCCTCTCACAGGTGCTTGGGAGGGGGTTCAGGGTGGGTGACAGGAGAAAAAAAAAATCAATGATGGGTTGGGGAAGTGGAGGGTCACTATGTAGGCAGTGACCTCCCCATTACTACAAGTATTCAAGAACTAGGTTAATTCTGAAGCCCATTCTCAAGTCATTACATATTTAGTTTTAGTTTAGTTTTGTTTTAATGCCAAATTAAAACAATATAGAACTGCAAAGAGAGAGAGAGAGAGGTATCTTCCCTCTGCCCTTCTCCCAGGGCTAACTTACCAACCACCTGTCCTGTGTGTGCATCGTTACAGATTTTGTTTCTATATTTTATGCAACTATATGGAGCAGATTTAGATCTTGCTGCTTTTCTTTAATTAAAAAAAACATATTTCAGGGCTGGGGATGTGGCTCAAGCGGTAGCGTGCTCGCCTGGCATGCGTGCGGCCCGGGTTGGATCCTCAGCACCACATACAAACAAAGATGTTGTGTCTGCCAATAACTAAAAAAAATAAATAAATAAATATTTAAAAATTCTAAAAAAAAACCATATTTCAGGCATACTGTACTGAAACCTGTTTTGTTTTGTTTTTGGTACTGGGGATTGAACTTAGGGGTGCTCCACCACTGAGCCACACCCCAGCTCTTATTTATTTATTTATTTATTTGGAGGGGTAACAGGGAATGAACTCAAGGGCACTCAACCACTGAGCCACATCCCCAGCAATATTTTGTATTTTATTTAGAGACAGGGTCTCATTGAGTTGCTGGGCTGGCTTTGAATTCGTTATCTTCCTGTCTCAGCTTCTCGAGCTGCTAGGATTACAGGTGTGTGCCACCGTGCCCAACTGGACGTAATCTTTTAAATATTTCAGTTACCAACTTTAATCTCACACCCAGCACCCTCCCCAGTCCTTTTAATTTTTTATTTTGAGACAGGGTCTAGTTCAGTTTCTGAGGGCCTTGCTAAGTTGCTGAGACTGACCTGGAACTTACTATCCTCATACCTTAGCCTCCTGAGTCACTGGGATTATAGGCATGCACCACCACACCTGGTTTGGTGAAATTCTTATAACAACATAAAAATATGCTTATGACATTCACATTCTGTAAGCCAGAATATGGAGACAAAATCCCAAAAAGGAATATACGAAGTTAAAAATATTAAGATGGCAGGTTCTTTTTCTATTATCTCTTCTAAACTTTCTGTAAAGTTATAACTTCCATAATCTACAAATTCTTTGGGTTTGTTGGTTTTTTTCAGACCTCTGCTAATCTCTGTGGTTCCAATATTAGTATATGTGCTGCTGAAACAAGCAGTAGAAATTCTTTGGTTTTTAATCATTTATTCACTGACAGTTTTCTAAGCCTTTGCTGTGTGCCAGGCACTATGCTTGTCTCCGGGGATGTAGATGTAGATAGGTGGCTGGGTCTTGCCCCTGTGGGTCCTCCTTCCTGTGGGCAGAGGTGGAGAACACATACTAGCAGTTGCTGGTGCTAGAGGAAAACAATGGCATCTCCAGGAGGGGATGCTCTGTAGTTAGAGCTGGTGGACCAGAGGAGCTGCCCTAGGGAAGAGAAGGGGCGGGAGTGGGGCTGCCATTCGGACACTAGGAACTATGCCAAGAGGTAAGGCTTGCAGTTAGGTGTCCCTGCAGCATTTTGTGGAAACTGGTCAGAAGCACTGAGACCTCCCTGGTTAGGTTCGGAAGGGAAAATGGTCTGGGGTGAGGCTGAAGGGGTCAGTAGGTCTGGCCCAGGTGGGGCTGGAACATTGTTTCATAGCATAGTACAGCTCCACTGTGCCGGGTGAGTCTAAGGTGTGTGTAAAGAATGGGAAACAGCCAGGTGCAGTGGCACACACCTGTAATCCCAGTGGCTCAGGAAGCTAAGGCAAGAGGATCACTAGTTCAAAGCCAGCCTCAGCAACAGTGAGGTGCTAAGCAACTCAGTGAAACCCTGTGTCTAATAAAATACAAAACAGGGCTGGGGATGTGGCTCAGTGGTCGAGTGCCCCTGAGTTCAATCCCTGATACCACCCTGGGGGTGGGGGGAAAGAATGGAAGGCAGAGTGAGCCATTTACCTCAGTGATAGAGCACTTTTCTGGCACATGTGACCCTGGGTTCAATCCCTAGCATTGAAAAAATTGTCAAAAAAAAAAAAAAAAAAAAAGAAGAAGAAGAAGAAGGGAAATACCAAGGGGCTCAGGAGTCACTTGGCTTCTCCTTTGGATAGTGGGGTGCTTGTAGATAATCCTTGGTCTCTGACACCATATGACTGACAGCCTCCCTGGGTGGGGGGCACATTACCTCAGGCAGGGTTTACCATTCAGTTGTCAGAGGTCATTGGAAAACCACCTGATCTCTGGACATGAATGATTTCTTATCAAGCCTGTTCATTCATTCAGTCCCCAGATATTGAGCACTTACTATGGTGGGCTCTAATCTAGTGCTAGAAGGGCAGGGGTGAACAGATGAGATCATGGGTTTTGCATGGGGTGGGGGACAAGAAACAAATGTACAATTATCAATATCTCATAGTTATAAGGCTTCAAAGAAAAAGACTGGTGCTATTTTAGAAGGGTTGGGTAGGGAGGGCTGCTTTGAGGAGGTGATGTTTGAAAGACCTTAAGAAACTTTCCTTCATATTTATTCCTTGTTTCTTGCACGTAGCTTGATACTGATGGACGTTGGATGGACCAGAAGCAGGGATGGTGGGCTATGACCCCAAAGAAGATGGTAGGAGTAACTCCAAGTTTGAGGTGGCAGTGGCAGGGTCTGTGTCTGGACTTATCACTCGGGCACTGATCAGCCCCTTGGATGTCATCAAGATCCGTTTCCAGGTACCCTTTCCCCTTTTGCCTTGTGAGGGATTGGAAGACAAGTTCAGTTTTTCTTGCAAAAGCAGTTTCTGAAACACAATTTTGTCAAGGTGAAGTGATTTGTTGCCCTCAAATTTTTATGAAATTTCCCCTTCTCACCCCACCCCCTCTGCCACCATCCTGACCTGTTCACTTTTGATCCCCAGCTTCAGATTGAGCGCCTGTCTCGCAGTGACCCCAATGCAAAATACTATGGGATCCTACAGGCTGGGAGGCAGATTTTGCAGGAAGAAGGCCCAACAGCATTCTGGAAAGGACACATCCCAGCCCAACTTCTGTCCATTGGCTATGGAGCTGTCCAAGTAGGTGGCAAGGACCTGACCAGGCCCCTGGGGTCATGTTGCTCAGTGGAGGAGCAGAGGGAGGGTGAGGAGAGGCAGCTCCCATGCTACTCGCTTGAGGAATGTGACATCAGACTGAACTATACCTTGGCATTCCCTTCTCTATATCCCCAGGTCCATCCCAGTGACAAGTGTTGTACCTAGGAGATTGACATTCTGCCCCAGACAGCTTGGCAAAGGGTGATACTAATGCCTTTCATTTTTCAAAATACCATCATCACGCATGTGCTTCATTTGAATTTCACAGGGGCATTGAGAGGAAGGTAGAGAGGTGTTGTGTGGACCACAGGGAGGTTACGTGAGCTGACGAGGCCATGTGGCCTACCCATGGTGGGCTCGGAGTAGAACCCAGGCTTCTTGACTTCTGGTCATTTGTTCCCTCAGCTGATGTCAGTTTGTGTCATGGCATACAGTATGTAGTTGTATGGTGGTTGTGGTGGTAATAGGCAGCCCTTGCAATCTGTGGGCCTGGCCCCTATTTTAAGCATTTATATATACTATCTCATAGCTCTCCTGTGAGGCAGGTTCTGATGTCACTCCTAGTTTTCATATGAGAGGACTGAGACAGAGCTTTCTTAATCAATCCAACCAAAGTCACTCATGAGAAAGTGGCAGAGATAGGGCTAGAGATCTAGCTCAGTTGGTAGAGTGCTTGCCTCACATGTACAAGGCCCTGGGTTCAATCCTCAGCACCACAAAAACAAAAACAGAAACAAAAAAAAAACAAAGGTGGCAGAGATAGGATCCTCACCCAGGCAGTCAGTGCCAGAGTAATCCCTGCCTCCTCTTTGAATGACATCACAGTCATGGCTCAAGTCTGGTGCTTACCGGGCTGACACACGCCCTGTCATTCCATCTCCCCAGCTGGTACACAAGGAGGCATTGCAGTGTGGTCAATGAAGACTGTGCCCTGATGACATAGGGAAGCTGGAGTGGCTGGGGGAAGATCTGAGTGTGAGGGTGTCACCCTGTGGAACACTCTCCTGATAACAGTCTGAGGAGAGTGGTTCTCAGACATTGCTGGTGCCAGCTGTTAGGGGGTCCTTTGCCAAGAATTACATGATGGCCATCTTTCCTAGTTGTCAGAAAACTAAGTAAACAAGTGGAGTTTTCTGATATAAAATTTTCTCCCTGTTCTCTGTGTGTGTGTGTGTGTGTGTGTGTGTGTGTGACAGAGAGAGAGAGAGAGAGAGAATGAGAATGAGTTAGTTGGTTGATAGGATAGAACCCAGGGCCTCACAAGTGCTAGGCAAGGCTCTAATGCTGAGCTACACCCCCAGCAATCTCTGAATGCTTTCTTCTTCTTTTTTTTTAATATTTATTGTTTAGCTATAGGTGGACACGATATCTTTATTTTATTTTTATGTGGTGCTGAGGATTGAACCCAGTGCTTCATGCATACTAGGCAGGTGCTCTACCTCTTGAGCCACAACCCCAGCCCCTCTGTCTGCTTTCTTAATTCTTTGGTGTCTGACTCTACTTTAATGATTTATGAGTTTGTTTGTTTGTTTTTTTCTTTTTTACATGCACTGTGCTTAGAGATAAGGCATTTGAGTTTTACATAATTATAAAAGTATTTCTTGTGTTTGGTCACTGCTCAAGGAGTGTATTTCCTCAGCCCTTTCCCCCTCCCTGGGGAAAGGGAAGCACTTGCCTGGCATGTGTGAGGCACTGGGTTTTATCCTTAGCACTACATAAAAAAATAAATAAAATAAAGGCATGTTGTCCATCTACAACTACAAAAAAAAAATGCTTCCCAAAAATGCTTCCCAATATACCACCTGCCACCCCTGGGTGGCAGGAGGTATATTGGGAAGCATTTGGTCTGAACCCTCACTCATCTTTTGGGCCATCAGTGACTTTCACTCTCTCTTGCAGTTTTTATCCTTTGAGCTGTTGACTGAGCTGGTCCACAGAGCCAGCCTGTACGACGCCCGTGAATTCTCGGTGCACTTTGTGTGTGGCGGTCTGTCTGCCTGTGCAGCCACCCTCACTGTGCACCCTGTGGATGTTCTGCGCACCCGCTTTGCAGCTCAGGGTGAGCCCAGGGTAAGTGGTCAGGGCCAGGCATGGACCTGGATGAGGAAGGTGATGCAAAAGTTGGGAGTTTTGATTTTGGAGGAGGCCGAACTGGGGCAAACCTGGGTTCTCAGTGCAGTGGCCAATTTGTCAAATCTGTAACTGGTCAGCACCATGCAGATGCTCCGTCCTGAAGGAGCTCATGGATTCCCTGGGGAGACAGAAACTAGGGATGTGAAACAGAACAAATATGTGCCCAGTAGTGGGTTGGATGAAGATAGGCATCTGGAAAAGTAGGACTTGAAAACTTCTGCGTCTATTATTGTAAGGATCTCCTTTGTTTCTACAAAGAATGGGTTGGAGGGAATGGGGTAGTTGAGTCAAGCTCAAGGAAGGACTTGCTGACAGACCAGGGGGTTAAACCCTGAAATAGTTTCTAGCATAATGTCTGTTTCCTGGTCATATTTAAGAATAGCTCTGTGTGTTGGGGCTGGGGTTGTGGCTCAGTGGTAGAGCACTCGCCTAGCTTGTGTGAGGCTCTGGGTTCCATCCTCAGCACCACATAAAAGTAAATAAAATAAAGATATTGTGTCCATCTACACCTAAAATATTTATATTAAAATACAACTCTCTGTGTGTGTGTTGTTCTCAACAAAGAAAGAATTTCCCACTGTCTCCCTTCTGCATCAGGGCACCACTGAGGGGTTGAAGAAAAAAATAAGTAGTGACAGTGCCTAGTTCCTCTCCTGGCACTTTCTGACTTTTTATAAAAGTCCATGAGGCCATGTGCTGTGGCACACACTTGTAATCCCAGTGACTGAGGACATAGAGACGGGAGGATTGCAAGTTCGAGGCCACCTTCAGCAACTCAGTAAGACCCTGTTTCAAAATAAAGAATAAAAAGAGCCGGGGATGTAGCTCAGGGTAGTGTACCTGGGTTTATTCCCCAGTACTAGACAGACAGACAGACACACACACACACAGTCTATGAGAAGGGAAAAGTGGAGAGTGTATTAGGAGAATATCATTTTACCTCTACTAAATAAAAATTGCAGGAGGCCATTGTTTTGGATTAAGCTCCTGCCCAGGGCCCCAACAGACCAGACTAAAAATCTAAGTGGAGTCACTCACATTGAAGTTCTAAGTCATGAAGCTGAAACTAAGCATATTATTGACCTTCCAAGAAATCAGGATTAGAGAGAGAACAGCGAAAGTTTCCAAACAGGCCAGCTTCAGTTAGTGGGATAATGAAGTTCCCTCTACCTAATTGTATTATTATTTTTAAAAATATTTTTTAGTTGTAAACGGATCTTTTATTTCATTTATTTATTTATATGCGGTGCTGAGGATCAAACCCAGTGCCTCACACATGCCAGGCAAGTGATCTAGCACTGAGCCACAACCCCAGCCCCTCTACCTAATCTTTTGATCAAAAAGTTAATGTAGTGGTGCTGGGGTTGTGCTCAGTGGTTCGAACGCTTGCCTAGCACATGTGAGGCACTGGGTTTGATCCCCAGCACCACATAAAAAAAATAAACAAAATAAAGGTATTGTATCCATCTACAATTAAAAATATATTTTTAAAAAAGTTGATGTAGGGGCTGGGTCTATAGCTCAGTGGCAGAGCACTTGCCTGGCATGTGTGAGGCACTGGGTTTGATCCTTAGCACCAATAAAAAAATAAATAAAATAAAGGCATGTTGTCCATCTACAACTACAAAAAAAAATTTTTTTAAGTTAAATGTAAAGTGACATGATGTTAACCAGTTGATTTTCTATTGTTTTGTCTCCTATCCCCACCTTCCAAGGAAAGTACCTTGAAATGACCCATCCAGTCTGACTTTTGTTTCTGCATTCTTCAGAAAAGCAGAGTGGGAACTCCAGGCAGCATCTTTGCGGTTGCTAGTGGACTTCCCTTACAGCTTGACACTTTCACAGAGCTCCCCAGGGTGGAATCCTTCAGCGTGACCACCAGCAATTTTGGAGCCACTCAGTGAGAGGGGCAAGTCTTCCCTCAGCCCCCACTTTCAACAAGATGCCATGCCGTACCCCAGCTTGGCTGAGTCAGAGCCCCTCAGGCCACTTCAAATATCCTGGGGGTGCAGGAGGGAGACAAGGAATTGAACCCAGACAGGCTTAACCACTGAGCCACATCCCAGCCCTTTTTATTTTTTGTTTTGAGACAGGGTCTTGCTAAGTTGCTGAGGCTGGCTTTGAACCTATGATCCTCCTGCCTCAGCTTCCTGAGTTTATTCCCTTACTGGGATTATAGGCATGCACCACCATGCCCAGCTCAAATATGTCTTAATAGAAAGGAACTAAGAAGCAAATGAACTGTAGTTTTTCTGCATAGATATCACACTTTACCTATGGAAAAAGCTCTAAACAGCATAAAATGGTATTTGGGGAACGTTCTTCTTCCCCTGGCCCCTAGAGACACTGCACAGCTTCCTTCCCTCCATGGAGGCAGTTGCTGTTCCTGGCTTTTGTGTATCCTTGGGGGTGGGGGGGCATAATCTCTGTATATAGTTCATTTCTCTACAAATTCTGCCCCATTCTTGTGTATCCTGCTGTGTTTGTTTATCTGTTGGGGGATTATTCCACATCAGTCATGTGGATCTCCTCAACCTGTTTTTTTGGTTGGTTGGTTTTGGGATTGGGATTTGAACCCAGGGCACTTTACCACTGAGCCACATCTGTAGCCCTTTTTATTTATTTATTTACTTATTTTTGAGACAGGTCTTCAGCATATTGATAAGTTGCTTAGGACCTCACTAAATTGCTGAGGCTGGCTTTAAACTTGGGATCCTCATGCCTTAGCCTCCTGAGTTGCTGGGATTACAGGCATGTGCCATTTTGCCCGGCTTATCATCCTGTTTTTTTTTTTTTTTTTTTTTTAATATTTTTTCTTTAGTTGTCAGTGGACCTTTATTTTTTTTACTTATATGTGGTGCTGAGAATCCAACCCAGTGCCTCACACATGCGAGGCAAGTGCTCCACCACTGAGCTACAGTCCCAGCCCCTCATTATCCTGCTACACTGTGTTCTCTTGAACCAGTGGATCATTATTTATGTAATCATCACCCACAGATGAACACTATTTTTTGCTGTTCTGCAGGATGCTCTGGTGTGGCCCTTTGGACACGTGCTTTTGTGCACACACACATGTGGATATAAATTTTTAGAAAGGGAGTTGTTAGAAAACTCTACCCCTGGCTCTTTGTCCAGAGTTTTCCTGGAGCTGGGCTGGGGATGTGGTAGAGTGCTTGCCTAGCATGCATGAAGCCCTGGGTTCAATTCCTAGTACCATACACACACACACACACACACACAAAAACTTTACTCCAGAGTTTTCCTGGACTGTCCTCTTGGCAGGAAAAATTATGTTCCTGGGGGCAGGATCTTTAGAATAAAGGGGAGAGAGATGATGAGCTTGGTTGTAGGGCAAAAAATAACTCACTGAACTTGCTTAAATTGCATCTGTGCTTTTCAGGTCTACAAGACTTTACAAGATGCTGTCGTGACTATGTATAGAACTGAGGGACCCTTGGTCTTCTACAAAGGATTGACCCCCACCTTGATCGCCATCTTCCCATATGCTGGGTTGCAGTTCTCTTGTTACAGCTCCTTGAAGCATGTCTATGAGTGGGTCATGCCGGCCGATAGAAAGCACAGCGGTGAGACGTTCCACAAGTGAATCGCCCTAGCCCAGCCTGCGCCATGTGTCTCTTTCTGAATCAAGAAGGAAATAGTTTTCTCATCAGAAGCTAAGGCATCCCTGTTTCCTGTACCGGGCTGTATAGTGTAACCAACAAAATGAGTAAACCCAGCAGCTTAGAAACAACTTTATTTCTTCTATCTCTTGCCACACCAATCACTGGCATCAATGAGATTTATTTCTAGTGATCAGTCCTAGTTTTCCCCCATTTTTTTTTTTTTTTTTTTTGGTACCCAGGAGTGCTTTACCATACCTGCCCAGTCCTTTTTATTTTTTTGAACCCAGGGGAACTCAACCACTGAGCCACATCCCCAGCCCTATTTTGTATTTTATTTAGAGACAGGGTCTCCCTCAGTTGCTTAGCACCTCACCATTGCTGAGGCTGGCTTGGAACTCGAGATCCTGCTGTCTTAGCCTCCAGAACCACTGGGATTACAGGCGTGCGCCACCATGCCCAGCCTATTATTTTTATTTTGAGGCAGGGTCTCACTAAGTTTCTGAAGGTCTCAATGAATTGCTCAGTCTGAGTGACTCTGCTGCCTCAGCCTCCAGAGTTGCTGGTATTACAGGCATGTGCTGCCACTGTACCCGGCCTGAATTTTTTGTTTTGAATCCAAGTTACAAATTCACTTTTTTTTGTTGTTGTTTTCTGGAAGGGACATTCTGTTCTCTCTACAGCCTGGAGCCATGTCCATTGCCTAGCCTACTGTCCTTTATAGCCTCCAGTGGGAGACTGCTACATAAAGGCTCACGCCCTGTTGGCCTCGCCTGTCCAGCCTGCAGTCTGTTATCATTCTTGTTGAGAGTGACTCTTTCTGGTTTTGGCTCCTAGATTAAATTCCCTTTGGCATCCAAGGATGCTTGTGGGGCCTGTGTTTGTGGTGAAGATTAGACCTGATGGCATTTAAGTTTCCACTAGGGATTGCACTTCTCCTCACCTCTCCCCTCAATCTCATTTCTCTGGTGCAGAGAACCTCAAAAACCTGCTTTGTGGCTGTGGGGCCGGAGTCATCAGTAAGACCCTCACCTATCCCCTGGACCTCTTCAAGAAACGGCTGCAGGTTGGAGGATTTGAGCAGGCCCGAGCTACCTTTGGACAGGTGAGCTATCCCTGTGCAGAAAGCTGGGACTCTAGCACTCACATGAAGAAGCCAGAATTCAACTCCTGCCCATTGGGCAGCACTGGTCCCTCTACCCCCAGCCTGACCCCTGTAGTTTAATTTCTTTGCATAAATAAACACACATATACTTTTCAACAAAATGGGGTCATACACTGAATGTAAGGTTTTGTAACCTATTTCCATTAACCAACCTGTCTTGTAGAGACTGTTTGAATTTGGAATGGGAGAGGTGGAAGAGCCCAGGACAGAGGAGGAAGGTCTTACTCCTAACAGAGACAATTCTGTTTTGGCCATAATTGGGGGATGGCTCTTGGGAGGACCAGTGGGAACCAAGGTCAGGGAGGGAAGCCAGCCTCAGAGCTTGGGCTTGACTCTTTATGATGTTGAAAGGGAGGGCTGTCCTGCCTTGAGGACACAGATCTAGCAGCAGTTTGTGGTGTCAGCTAGAGGCAAAGAGATCAGGCTGGAGGGGTGGCACTGGTCAGGCTAAGAGCTAGCAAGGGCCAGATTTAGATTTGTAGCCCAAGGAGAACCAGGTGGAATGGGGTGAAGGATTTGAGACATTTCTCGGTAGAGGGTCCAGAACTGTCAGTGGATCCCCAGAGCCACAGTCAGCCCATGCCTCCTCTGCAGGAAGGAGCTCTGTCCAGCTGCTGGCTTCAGGCACTTCATCTGTGAAGTCTCACTTAGCCTACTTGGAGTGGAAAGAATGAAAGTAACTTACTTGCTGTTTTTGCTTTCATTCCTTCATCTGGCAAGCATTTATTGGGAATGTGATGTCCTAGGTGCATCTCTGTTTTACTCACTTCATCTCTGCTCAACCTGAACCTTTCTCTCCCCAGGTGCGGAGATACAGGGGCCTCTTGGATTGCACCAAGCAGATTCTGCAAGAGGAAGGTGCCCAAGGCTTCTTCAAGGGCCTGTCCCCCAGCCTGCTGAAGGCTGCCCTCTCCACAGGGTTAGTGTTCTTCTGGTATGAGCTTGTCTGTAACTTCTTCCACTGCCTGAAAAGGACAGACAGCTAGCTGTGGAGGCAGGAAGAGACTGAGGTCTTTCCTGGAGGGCACCTCCTGAGAGAAGCAAAACCTGATCTCATGTGGCACTGAAGGCTCTTGTCCCGCCTGCCCTCCTGGCCAGCCTTCCCAAGCATGAACAGTTACTGGGAGCAGGGTGGCAACCCTGACCCATCCGGATGGGATACCATCAGAAGGGCCAGGACTTTCTCCATGATGGAACACAGGTCTGGGGCTGTGGGATGAGCAACACCGGTGAGAAGGAGCTCCCACTCGTTTCTTCTCAGTGCAGTGCAGAAACAAAGGAATCAGACACTGCCTTCCAACTCATGGCTGCATCCATTGGGGAACTCTTGCTTCTGGAAGGGGCTGCAGCTTGAGTGCAGAGAGCAAGGAATGGGCTCTTTGCAGGAGTTTGGTCCCCATCCTTGGGCTATTTTCCCCAACAACTTTTTAAATAGATATTAAAGCAAAAAAACACATTCCTTACCTTGTTCCTCCACCTTCCCTTACAAACTGCATCTTTGCTCACCCAGGATAAGGGAAGGGACTCTAACTTCCTCAAATTCCACTTTATCAGTTACAGCTGCTCCTAATAAACCTAAGGATAAAGTCCCAGGTGAGTCAGTCATTTTCAAAGCCTCCAGACCTAGACTTTATGTCTACAAAGGCACTAGCACCAGACCATGCTCTCCCAACAAGGCACTGGCTTCCAGGGAAGACATACCAGTGACCCTACAGGAAGTGGAGGGAATGTGCTGATGGACAAGATCTGGTAAAGGCACAGCCCTTCCCCCACTCTACCTTGGTTGGCTCCCCTTTCGCAGGCCCTGGGTTAGCCTTGTTGGGTGAGGAGCTTACAGCCAGGCCAGCTGGCATCAGGGCCTGCTCAGGATGTTCCTTCTCAGCTCAGCACTGTGTGTGTGTCCTCTGGAGCCCCAGAAGGGTCATGGCCTCAAAGCTGTCCAGTGAGCAGAGGGGGATGGAAGGGGCTGGGCAGACAGCCTGGTGATGGCACAGTTGGCACTCAGGGAAGTTACCAGAGCCCAGGTACCCACAGAGGTGTGTGTCCAGATGTGGAGGAAGAACTTCAGTTACAGGGGTATGACTGCCACCCTTTCCATCTGCCAGCTCTGCTGTGGGGTTAGGCTCTGAGGAGGGAGGAGCAGCACCTTCACCTTGGCCTCACTTGGTACTCAGGCTATGATGCTGCAGCCCCTGCACCAAACTGGAGACACCTTCAGGGAGTGGCCACAGTTTGAGGGTGCTGGGGCCTTCCCGGGTACCTTGTGATCCCTGAGTTCTTTCTCACCATCATGCTTCTTTCCTTGGACCTGGCTCTTTGTGGTCTGTTCAGACCTTCTGCTGATGAAGGTCCAGGCTACCGACTCTCCGAGGCCTGAGGCCTGGGCCTGCTGCAGGCAGCTGCATCATTGTATTTAATGAAATTCCATTGGAGTAAAGTTTATGCTCATCTCTCCTGCTCACAAGAGAATTTTTGCTGCAGCTCAGAATTCTCCATTTCCAGAGAGACTTTGGCAACACTCTTGACCGGGCTGTGGGGGGTGGGGCGGCAACTACGAAGCTCACCCAGTCCCTGCCAAGAAAGGCCAAGGGCACAGCGACATGGGCCGCATGTTGCCAATTGGGACCCTTCTCTTCGACTGCCCCTTTGACTTGAAACTTATTTTGTTAGTTTCGTTGGAGTAGGAGAGGGAGTTGGTGGGGTTTGACCCAGCTCTTACACCTGCCCTCCGCCTTCTCTACCTTGGTGGGTGGAAAAGGGGACACTGCACGACCCTGGAAGACACTGCTCCTGCAGCCCGCTGCCCCTGGACCAAGCCACGCCCTCAACGGACTCCTCCCACCCGCACAGCTGGTCGGAGTCTCTTGAGCCAGTTCACCTAAGTCCCCCGAGGGTCAGAATGACAGGGTTGAGGTGGGGACGCCACCACTCCAGTCCGAGGACTTCGTGCGGATGGAGGAGTAGGTTCGGCCCAGCGGCACGAGCGGCTGCGGTCCTGAACAGGGCCGCAGCGCACCGGCTGAGAGGCGAGGCAGGGTGAGCTCTCCAGGCGCGACGGAGGCAGCTTGGCAGACGTCCCGCGCAGCCCCACCGGGGATCCGGCCGGGGTGGTGCGGGGACCGGCAGGTGGCGCTGGCGAGCCGCCTCGCACCGCGCCGGGAGATGAGCTCAGCGGCGGCCGCGCAGCACTTTGGACGGGCGCGCGCTCCGTGGCCGCCGGAGTCCCCGGGCACGCGGGCGCGGCGCCGGCCCGGCAGGTGGGTCGCGAGGTCACGCAGCCGTTCCCGCTCGCGGGACACGCATGGCTGGCTCCGCCGCCCGCCCTGCGCGGCGCGGAAGGGCGCTGCGGGCTGGGGGAGGCTGCCGACGTCTGCAGACCCCTAAGGTCGTTTCCTCTGGACAGAGGGAGGCACAGAGTCCAGAGAGGGACGCCTCACTCCGCTCCCGCTCTAAGAAGGATCCGGATTGCAGCACAGAAATAGGAGTCCCGATGGGTAGGGCCAGGTTTCTGCCACTCCGGAGGCCAGCTTAACCAGTCGGTTCCGGGCGGAAGCTGGCCGGGACAGTGGGAGCTGGGGCTCCGAGTGGCAGGGGCGGCCGATGAGGATCCTGCACCCACCCAAGCGGTCGACGCTTGCGGGTGGGTTTTGAGGACTGAGGACGACCCTGGCGAAAGCTGAGGGAGAAGGTTGGGAGAGGGCCTTGGATCCCGCTGTACGGAGCCGGCTGCAGCTCAGAGCCCTCATTCTGGTCACTCGCAATGGAGCTGAGCCAGCAGGCCGGTTTATATGGGCAAGTCTAGCCTCCACCTACCCACGCCCCCAGCTCAGCGAACCCTTCCCCCAAATCTTCCCTGATATCGACTGAGAACAACCTGCCTCCTGCTGGGACTGGAGGGTAGGTGCATTCACCCTTCATCTCTCCTCTTGGGTAATCCCAGAAGTCTAGGGTTTCCTAAGCTGAGCAGCAGGTGCTTGGCTGGTACCCAGTCTCCGCCAGAAGCAGGCTTGGCGGGCTCTCAGTCAACCACTGAGTGCCATGGACCGCTCAGTTGCACCTGTCACAAGCACTGTTTGACCCGCCCAGGGCTGGAAGGATTAGAACCCTGGGCTCGGGTCTCCACGCCTGAGTCCTCTCCCTATGCCTCTTCTCTCAGGTGCTGTCATTAATCCCAGACCATTAAAGAGCTGCTGGGTCTGAATGGTCATGGGGGAGGCCAGTAGAGAGGAGTATAAAATCCAATCTTTTGATGCTGAGACCCAACAGCTTCTGAAGACAGCACTCAAAGGTGAGCACGAGATTCCACCTGAGCTGGGGCAGGAGCTGCAGAGAAGGGGCTGAGCCCTAGGGCCAGGGAATGTTCATCCCTCTCCCTTCACTTTCTGAGGAGTCACAATTTAACTCTTGAACTGGAAGATAAGCTACATTAAAGCTAATATTTGGGAGAATGGTTCAGAACCCTCTCTCAGACTGTAATGCTTTATTCATTCATTCATTTATTTATTTTGAAATACCCATGAAAGAGGAGAGCAGTTCCTGTCTTTTAAACCTTTGTATTTGTTTGCTGGGTTCAGCATTGCTGAAGCCCACTCTTGGTTATATGGGGCTACCTGACTTGGATAGAGGATGGAAAACATTGATTTGCAGAGGAGATATTTACTGTGTCCCAAAACTTTCCTTCTATAGCAATCAGGACAAAATTGTGACCCAACTTCCAATTAGCAGTGCCCATCACATGCCAGGCTAAGCCTGTGGAAAAGCCCTGCATACCTACTTATCAGGAGCTGTGTGTGAATCATAGAACTTCCCCCCGACCCACCCAGTACTGATTAACCCAAGGGCACCCTACCACTGAGCTACATCCCCAGCCCTATTCTTAGTTAAGACAGGTGCTAAGTTGCCCAGGATCAAATGTATGATCCTCCTGCCTTACCTCCGAGTAGCTGGGATTACAGTGTGCATCACTGCTACATCTGGCTAAAAGAAAATTTCTTCTGTGAAACTGATGTAGACAGCTTAGTATAAGTGTTCCTTTCTCAACCTAGTGCCAGGAAGATATGTGTCCTAAGAAGTTTTGGTTTTGTTTGGTCTCTACCAGCCATGTAACTCCCTATTTTCTCTCTTTGGGCAACCAGGGGTCTTACAGCTGGAGCTGCTTCTATGAGTGGTTACTTACCCCCTTCTGTAGGTATTCTCCTTTGTGGTGCTTGGGGTCAAAGCTAAGGCCTTATGCATACTAGGGAAGTTCTATATAACTGAGCTTCCCCTCAGCCTCTTCTTCATCTCTCTAAATTTAAGCATATAATGTGAATACCCTAAATATCTCAAATTCCTCTTGGGAGCAGATGAAGGCAAATGTGATCAGCAGGCAGCTCTAGACTCCCCTCCTATCTTTACCTAGATCCAGGCGCTGTGGACTTGGAGAAAGTGGCCAATGTGATTGTGGACCATTCTCTGCAGGACTGTGTGTTCAGCAAGGAAGCAGGACGCATGTGCTACGCCATCATTCAGGTTGGGGGGTTGGCAGAGGAAAGGGAGCTGCTTTGAGGAAGACTACTCAGTAGTGGGAAGAGGCTGCCAGCAGGACAGAGATACGAAGAGCGTTAGCTCAATGGCAGGGAGAAGTATAGGATAGGTGGGGTGACCACATCACTGCCCCTGCCCCTCACCAGCCTCTCCCTGGCTCACAGGCAGAGAGTAAACAAGCAGGCCAGAGTGTCTTCCGTCGTGGACTCCTCAACCGGCTGCAGCAGGAGTACCAAGCCCGGGAGCAGCTGAGGGCACGCTCCCTGCAGGGCTGGGTCTGCTATGTCACCTTTATCTGCAACATCTTTGACTACCTGAGGGTGAGGCCCCAGCCACCCTGTGAGGCAGACATGACCATTTCTCAAGTTTGAAATGCTCCCCATGGAGCATTTCAAACTTGAGAGATGGCTGCCACTCTGTCCCCTCCTTTTCCTCCACAGGTGAACAATATGCCCATGATGGCCCTGGTGAACCCTGTCTATGACTGCCTCTTCCGGCTGGCCCAGCCTGACAGTCTGAGCAAAGAGGAAGAGGTGGGTAGCCCTGGCACAGAAGGCTATAGAGGGCTTGGAGGGCATCACTTCTGGGTAGCAGCCTGGTGGGGACATTTAAAGTATGTTATAGTTACATGACAAGCTGCTGGGTCTGGAATTTATCCAGGACAGACAGCAGCCAAGACTGACTGGCTCAGCAGCTTCTCCCCAGCAGGAAAACCAAGCTATGATAGGAATGGTGGCAGCCACAGCCAGCTGTGGGCACAGATGGCCTAGAAACCAAACCAGGTCAGGCAGTCAGTGGGAAGCAGGAAAGTGGAGTTCAGAAGCAGTTTGGAGAACAGGTGAGGCCTGCCTGGCCAGATGTTCTAGGCAAGGTTCTGAACTCATTTTTTTTTTTTTTTTTTTTGAGGAGGAGGGTATTGGGGAGTGCAGTTACCAGGGATTGAACTCAGGGGTACTTGTCCACTGAGCCACATCCCCAGCCCTATTTTGTATTTTATTTAGAGACAGGATATCTCACTGAATTGCTTGGTGCCTCGATGTTGCTGAGGCTGGCTTTGAATTTGCAATCCTCCTGCCTTAGCCTCCCGAACCACTGGGACTATAGGCATGTGCCACTGTACCCAGCCACTTGTTTCCTTCCTTACATGTGGGTAACACGGTGGGAGGTGTGAAAATGAAAAACTAGAATAAAGGACCAGGCATGGGGGCCTGACACTCAGCAAGCAATACTACTCCTGTGAGAGGCAGGTCCTACCCAGACTGACGAGGTATTTCCTGCTACCTCTGCAGGTGGACTGCTTGGTGCTCCAGCTGCACCGTGTTGGGGAACAGCTGGAGAAGATGAATGGGCAGCGCATGGATGAGCTCTTTGTCCTGATCCGGGATGGCTTCCTGCTCCCAACAGGCCTCAGCTCCCTGGCCCAGCTGCTGCTGCTAGAGATCATTGAATTCCGGGCGGCTGGCTGGAAGACCACGCCGGCTGCCCACAAGTATTACTACAGTGAGGTTTCTGACTAGGTTTGGCTCAGTGATTGCTCACTGTAGCACTGGTCTTTACTCCACCCTCCTCCTAAGATGGCAAGACAGCTGCCTTTTCCAAAGGCTTTCCCTTTCTAGACTTCCACATCTCCCCATTTATGCCACAGTCCTCTCATTCCCTTCCCCCACTCAGAGGTTGGCGGGGACACCAAACAGATCTGCTCCCTGGGCTCAAGACTGATCCCCTTTCCCCACAGCTCAATCAGCCTCTCTCCTACCACCTTTCCCCTAGGCCAGTCAGAGAAGGGCAATTTCTAACCACTGCACCCTATAATAATTGGTGCAACATTACCTTGGTGCCTCAGTTTCCCCATATGTAAAATGGGTAATCACAGTCATCCATAGGATGCTTTGGGATTTTGAGGAGCACAGAGCACAGCTCGCACCAGAAACTGCTTTTTATACATTTTGTATAAAAACCACTGTGGAAACCAGCCTATATCCTCTAGCCAGTTTTAATGAATGGTAGTTCTTACATAATGTGTTACACTAGTTCAGATTAAAGATTTTCTAATAATCATTTCTGATACAAAAATTTCTTCCTTTCATAGTATCCGAAGGCCCACTCTGAGGTGAGAGAAGCCTGGGCCCTGAATTTCTTGGAGAAAATCAATACGTTGACTTGTTCTCTTTATAAAGAGATGGGACAGGGAGAGCTATTCTAGCCCCAAAGGAAGAGGATTGATAGGCAACAAACATGCTGCTCCATTCTTCTCAAAAGGAACTATATCCTTAACCCACAGGTATTTTTCAAGAACAGTGGCTCATAAGGTTTGTTTTTAAATGGCAGAAGCCCTGGGGCTCTGATGGGAACCTTTCCTCCCCCTCTACCACCAACGGTAGTGGGCCAGGGCTCGGTTGGCCTCAGCCATCTTGTGCATATCGTGCTTCCTCTTGATCACGGGGCCTTGGTTGTGAAAGGCCTGCAACAGCTCACGTGACAGCTTCTCTGGCATCAATGTCCGCCGGTGCTTATTCTTTCGGCATTCAGTGATCATCCACTTCATGGCTAAGAAGCGGCGACGTCGATCAGCTAGGGGCACAGGGACCTGGGTGAGGGGACAGGACAGGTAAGCGGGTCCAGGGGCTTGCCATGGCTGGGGACCCCTGACTCCCAAAGCTGTAAGGAATGGCTCTGTATTTTCTCTAGCACAGTAAGGTTCCTGAAGAGAGGCCTGTCTTTTTTTCTTTGAGCTTCCCTCATCTTTGGATAACCTCAGGGTAGCAGACATAAGTGGCTTTGCAAACCTCACCAAGTATTGGCCTTTTCCCCTCTAATGGAAGCTTTGCCACAAAAAGCTTTGATACAAGCACGGATTGGAAAAAGCCCTGTTTCTGGGTGACGTAGCTACTCTGGGTGACCAAGAGTGCCTAAAAACATGACCCTGTGTACAAGAATCATTTGCAAGGCTCTATGTGTCAGATACTAAAGGTGCAGTGAGAAACTTCGTACCATAATGGAGTTTATACTGATAAGGCAAGAAACCCTTCTAATACCAAAGATTATTACAACCTATGCTAGAGATACCAAGTTCAATACCACTAAAAGTGATGAACTATCAGTTATGGGTCAAGCACTATGCTAGATACTGGCATATAACTTTGGGATATAAGCGTAGTCCCTTCGACAAAAGAAATATATGGTTTAGGACAAACAGGATGCTAAACAGAAGGTGGGAGGGATGGGCTACCAGAAGATGTCATTTAGCTACTTCTTTGCTCTCTTCCTTTTCCGTCTTCTGCTTACACAACTAAAGTGAGTAGATCCTGATGGTCTCTAGTCTAGAGAGCTAACAATCTCTTGGCCCAGCTCTGAGCCCTCCCACCATTTTTTTTTTTTTTTTGTGGGGGAGGGCCTTTACTAGGTATGGAACCCCGGGCTTTATGAATGCTAATAAGCAAGTGCTCTGCCACCGAGCTACACTCCTAGCCTTCCATTCCCATTGTTTTCCACGTGGGCATCCCTGCTTTCTTGCCAGACCACTCACCTGGTAGAAATGGCCACCCCTGAGGATGGGTACCAGCCCAATCACAGGCTCACAGTTTTTCAGTGCTTGGTGGAAGATGGTGTAGGGGTTGCGTTCAATGGTTGCCTGTTCCTCTCCAGAAGCAGCATGGTACTTCTCAAACTGCTTCCTTTTCACAGATTCCAGAGTCTGCAAAGGGAGACAGTGGAAGAGGTTGCACCAGGCTTCATATAGAGTTGACCCATCCAGCTAGTACCTTGCCCTTTACTCCCACCACTCAGTTCTTCGGCAGTACAGTTGAACCCTCATCATGTACAATACAAAGTTCTTAAGTGCCTCCTTCTTTTGCTAGACTAGGACAGAAAGAGTGGGCAGAGATTTGTGACATGGCAGGGAATGGCAGTTGTTGACTCCTGCAGGACCTCATTGAAGCCCCAAACCCTATACATTACAGGGGAGTTAATTTTTTAAAAAAGGCATATGAATTGATTTTAATTTTTTTGGGGGGTGCTGGGGATTAAACCCAAAGAGCTTAATCAGTGAGCCACAGCCCCATCTTTTTTTTTTTTTAATGTTGAGACAGGGTCTGGCTAAATTGCCTAGAGTCTCCAACTCTCCTCCCTCAACTTCCTGAGTTGTTGGGGTTTAAGGTATGTGTCATCATGCCTGGCCCATTCTTCATGAGGAGAAAGATAACAGGAGGAACTCTTTACCTGGTTCATGAGAGATCTGGCCAGTACTTTGTTTCCTCCTTTCATCATCATGTTCGTGAATTTACTTCAAGGAGAAAAGCAACAGGTTTAGCTTTCTAAGGCTGTATTATGGTATCCTTGCTGCAGACCCTCCCTGGGATAATCCCAGTCCGTGGAACAAGTGTTTCCATCTAACCTGATCACCGGGTCTGCAAACACGGAGCTTGTTTTCGTCGCTGGGGCAGCTTTGATGAGCTGAGTTTTCTTGAGCTCCTGGTCATATTTCTCCTCCTCGGTGAGCTCTGCCACAGACTTGCGGTAATGTTCCTTGTCAATTAGGGGATCTCTGAATTCAGCACCATAGCGGCTCCACCTCACCTGGGTTTGCCTGGGAGCGAGAAGCAAAGGAGGCAGGCACAAGCTGACTCCACAAGTGAACAAGCTTGACTTAACAATAGGTATGTGTGCAACCCGCCAACGAGGGAGAGCAGCACGGAAGCCGCGAGCTTTACCTGAACAGTAATAATTTTGGCTCTGTCCCAAGAGGTAGAAGGACCTCCCCCAAACAGGTCAGGAAAGCTTCCTCCTAGTCAAATGCTAACGGTAAGAACAGGCTCCCGCCAGCTCACCTCTCCACCCACCTCCAGGCATCTCAGCTCTAAACTCTTAACAGGGCTGCACTTCCAGCTCGAGTTACACCCCGACATAGCCCGACCTCCCAGCCAAGGGGCAGTCACTAAATCTTCAGATTGGCCCAAGGTTACGCAGCTAGTTAAGAGGCTTGAACTTAGGTATTTCGACCCCTAGAGCAGCGCTCGCTCCAAGGTCCAGCGTGAGTCGGCCTGTGGTTCCTTTCTTTCCCCGCAGGTCCCTCCGTGAAGACCCAGGCGGTGCTCCCAGCTGCCCGCTGCCCTCTTACCCTAGAAGCGGACTGACAGTACGCAGCAAGCCCGGCGCCAAGCCTGACCAGCCTAGCAGAGCCTTCAGTGCGGTGGCAGCCATCTTGGCCGGCCACGAGGACCCCACAAGGACTGTCCTCGGCGCGCCTGAGCTAGGGACGGGAGACGGGATAAAGACGTCAGAGGATCCTAAAACTTCATTTCATTCTCATTGATCTGCACATTAGAATCTCTCACTCCAAGGGCCAAAAGGAAGAACCAAAAAGAAACACTCGCGGTCCCAATATCCGTCGCAATCTGGCGGACCCTCAATAACAGCGCTCACTCCTCTCAGGCCCCCATGCAGGCCCCGCCCTGGTTCAGCTCGTACGGACTCTCGCGAGGGTTGAGGCCGCGGGGTCGACCCGGGCGGCTGCAATATGGCGGAGGCGGAAGGGGAGAGCCTGGAGTCTTGGCTGAGTGAGTAACCGCGGCCGCTTCTGCCTGTCCTCGAGCCACCGAGCGGTCCCTCTCCTCACCCCCCCGTCCCCTCCCGGGCTCCGCGGCGGCGCCGCCTGGCGGCTCGCGCCCGGGCGACCCCTTGGCAAGCATCCCGCGATCACGCCCCTTCGCGAGCAGAGGGCCCTTCTCTGCAGCGCGTCCTCCCGCTCCCGCGCGAGGCGGCCGCAGCTTTGGGTCCTGTCGTGGCCAGACAGGCCTGGGGAGAGTGGCAAGGAAGTTCTCAGGGCTGACGGTCATTGGCGCTTTGGAGCTGGTGGTAGGGCCGCTCCCGAGTGTGACTCCGGAATTCCTGCACCCCAGTCCCCGAGGAAGGGAAAAAGCTCCGGATTTGGGCTGAAGCTCGGGGGAGAGGTGGGTGCTGCCACCGGTACACAGCCTGGCAGCTTCAAAATCTTGACCATGGAGGACTGACAGCTTTGCTCAGGCAGAAAGCTTGAAGTGCGAGTAATTTTCCAAAGAGAGCGACGATAGACAACTGGTTTGTTAAGTCGACTTTGGGACTCCCTCACACGCACACACTTGATCTTCGCGACATAACACACTCTGAGTAAAGCGGAGAAGCAGTTGGAAGCTGTAACCAAAGCGATGTATTGCTGTAATTGTTAATTCACATTACTCTGAAAGAATGAGGGTTAACCTTAGCAGGCAGTATTTTGCTAAAGGGTTAATAAGTGAACTTTCCTAAGGGCTAGACCCTCTGGGGGTCTCTTTCAGTAGAACAGATACTGGACAGGATAAGATAGAAAGATGTGGACATCCTGCCTTGTGCAGTATGCCTTACTGAGTAGTCTCCAAGTTCTTGAGGGTGATGGCTGTGCCTCGAATTGCCTGACCTTTCTTAAGAAACCCATTTCAAGAGGTAGAACCTAGGCTTTAACAGAGCACATTCCAAAAGGGAGAAAAGTAAAATTACATTTGCAAAGCCTGCTGTTGAAGGTAGGTCACAAAGTCTTTAGTATATGTGGAACTAACTGTTCTCCATGGAGCTCAAAATGCTATATAGATATTCATTGAAATTGTTTACAAGTATCCTAGCAAAGAAGGTTCTACTGTCAAAAGTTTCTCAAAAAGATAACACCCTGACTGCAATCAAACTACCTGCCTAGAATCATATGTAGGATTTCACAGTGGAATTGGTTTGATTCAGATTTGGGGAGAGGGGATTTGGGAATTTGATTGGCAAATGATCCAGCAAGGAGACAGAATTTAAGCTAAGTCTTAAAAAATCAGAAAAATTGGCTAAGAAAACACTGGGTGATTCTGAGTGTGTAGTGCACTCAGGAGGCTGAGGCAGGAGGATCATATGTTTGAAGCCAACCTGAACTACTTAAGGAGACCCTGTCTCATTAAAAAGAAGAAGAAGAACATGGTGGCACACACCTGTAATCCCAGCAACTCAGGAGGCTGAGGCAGGAGAATTGAAAGTCTGAGGCTCAAGAACTTAATGAAAAAGCCCTAAACAACTTAGACCCTGTCTTGATATTTAAAAAAAGGACTAGGGATGTAGCTCAGTGGTAAGACACCTCTAGCTTCAATCCCCAGTACCAAAAGCAGAAAAAGGGGGAAAAAAAACCACTGCATGGTGAAATGGAGGGAGCCAGTCTGTTTGTGGGCACAGAGAGAGCTGGAGTCACCCAGCATTGAACACAGTAATGTAGGTGTTTGGCTGGCTCAGGCAGTAAGCTCTTAGAGGGTCTGGTGAGAGATCAAGCTGGGAAGTTAGGGCCAGATTCTGGAAGAGTGGGTATTTTAGACCCAGAAGTTTAAATTTCTACAGTTATCAGGTCCCCACTCCTCTGGTACCATCAGTGTGTTAGGAGGATTGATATAGGAGCTTTACATAGGATGTATTAGAAGTTAAGTAAACAATCGAGAATTAAGAAGGCAGGAATACAAAACAAATTTAAACAGATATTAGGCCAGGTACAGTGGCGCCACGTGTAACCCCACCAGCTCGGAAGGCTGAGGTGGGCAGGTTGCAAATTTGAGGGCAGATTCAGCAATTGAGCAGGACCCTGTCTCAAAAAATAAAAAAGGCTATGGATGTAGCTCCATGGTAGAGCATCTGAGTTCAGTCCCCAATACCACAAAAAATGACATTGAGAAAGAAGGGACCTCAAGACTGGTGGGAATGGGTGAAGAAAGGCAAGGAATCATAAATGGGATTTCAAGCCTGGTTGTGTGGGAATAGGGGCCAAAACATATCCCCACCCCCTGAACTGATGATTGAACCCAGGGACTTGTACCGGCTAGTCAAGGAATCTACCTCTGAACTATGCTCCCAGACTCCCTTCCATTTTTCTTGGTGGTGGGTATTGGGGACAGAATTCAGAGGCACTTGCCCACTGAGCCACATCCCCCGGCCTATTTTGTATTTTATTTAGAGACCTGAGTTGCTTAGCACCTTGCTTTTGCTGAGGCTGGCTTTGAACTCATTATCCTCCTGCCTCAGCCTTCCAAGCCACCGGGATTGTAGGCGTGCACCACCATGCCCAGCTTTCTTTTTTTTTCTTTTAATGGTGGTACTGGGGATTGAACCCAGGGGTTCTCTATAATTGAGCTACATTCCTAGTCCTTATTTTTAAAAGTTTTTTAAAATTTTTGAGATGGTCTCGATAAGTTGCTTAGGTTCTTGCTAAATTGCCAAGGCTGGCCTAGAGCATTCTGTTCTGCCTCAGTCTCCTGAGTGGCTGAGAGTACAGGCCTGTGCCAACAAACAAGCTTTTGAATATGGCACCAGTTAGAGAAAATAAGTCAGAAAGAATGAGTTTGCTTTTAGAGTCATATTTGTACCAAATTGGCGTTTGTAATTGTGTACGGTTTTGTCCAAATTTCCCCTTTTCCCATATATTAAGCCCAAAGAGCACAACTTCCTCAAGAGTGGCTCTTTGTCTTGAACTTCTGTAGTCCCTCCTGTCTAAAATGCTGCTCATTCATTTTCTCTGAACATCTCAGAAAGTTTCACCTGTGTTTCAAGACCCAACACTGCAGTTCATCCGTGATCCCTTTCCATCCTCTCTTATTTCTAAGTCACTGCTGTATGGAACTTGGCTTCCTTGGATTATCCGAGCCATGTTGGAATGGGGTACTCTGTGCTGCTGTCTTCATCCCTATTTGACCTTTGAGTTCCCGTGAGAGTCAAGACTAACAATGGAATTAAGCTGAAAATGAGAGCAGGAAATCTAAAGGCACAGAGACAGAAGAGAATGAGACAGGCTTTTACCAGAGATCTGAAAATAGAAACCATGAGTCAGAACAGAGCCCCAGAGGGGCGGTTCTAGAAGGCAGGGTCTGCATGGGAGTCTTCACTGTCTCCCCTGCCAGATGAAAGAGAATGTTAGGTGGGTGGAAGGGCATGTTCCTCTGTTGGAGGAGCAGTAGGCTCATAGAGAGTCACCCAGCATCATCCCCAGCTATTTCTCCCAGCTCCAGTGGTGACAGATATATCTTCTAAGCTGCTGGGAGTCTGTTGCAGACACTGGAAAGTGGCACTGACCATGGCTCCAACTAGGGCTTTTTATGCCATGTGCAGGCAGAATGTTCCCTGTGGCAGTAGGAATGTCTTTAGGGAAGTGAGATTCTTAGAGGAGTGAACACAGTGAAAAGTAGGTGGGAATGTTTCAGGAGGCAGGGATGCTGTAGGGAGTGGAGCAGGCCTGGGAAGAGTGCATTGTTTGGTGATTGTCCATTGTTTATGGGATGGAGAAATCCACATTTTACTGTTTGGGAGATACTTTTCTCTTTGTGAACAGTGCAAACAGGTGGGCTAATATTCTACCATGAGGTTTGTGACTTTTACCAAAATGATAAAAGGGTGGGGGGGGGGAGTTGACTCCTTAGACAATCTTATTTTGTCCAGCTTCTTGGTGTTATGTGAAGTGATAGCAATTAATAAGAAAATCATGCTAATGCTTGAGAAGATTTCGGAGAAGTGGTGGGGAGTCAGGCTTTTTTGGGAAGGTGATAGCTAGGGGTTGACTGTGGCAGTCTGTGCAGGATTGCTAGGCATTTCTTTCCAAATGACTGCCTTCGATTAAATTAATTTTCCTTCAGCTGGATGTGGTCTTGGTGCACACCTGCAATTCCAGCGACTCTGGAGGCTGAGGCAAGAGGATGGCAAGATCCAGGTCAGCCTCAGCAATTTAGTAAGGCCCTAAGCAATTTAGCAAGACCCTGTCTCAAAATAAAAAAGGACTGGCCAGGCACGGTGGTGCTTGCCTATTATTCCAGTGGCTCGGGAGCGGGAAGCTGAGGCAGGAGGATCACAAATTCAAAGCCAGCCTCAGCAATTTGGCAAGACCTTGTCTCAAAAAAGGGCTGGGGATGTGGCTTCATGATTAAGTGCCTCTGGAATTAATCCCTGGTACCAAAAAATAAAAAGGACTAGAGGTGTTCAATTTCCAGTGACCCCCCTCACCCTTCAAGCTTGACATTTTGAAGGGCTTGCTAATTTTCTTTCAAGTTTGAGAGCAAACCACCTTCTTTTCCTCTAAAACACAAACTTTATTTGCCTATTTATTTATTTATTTATTTATTTTGCAATGCTGGAATTTGAATCCAGGGCTTCCAGTCTGCCCTACCTCTCTTTTTGACTATTTATTTATTTATTTATTTATTTTAGTTTTGAGACAGGGTCCAATCAATTGCCCAGGCTGATTTCCAACTTGAGATCCTCCTGGCTTAGTTCGGGGGTTTTTTATTTAAGAAAATACTCACAAACTGACATGGTAATCCCAACTACTCAGGAGAGGAGGCAGGAGGATCACAAGTTTGTGGCCAGCCTGCACAATTTAGCAAGAGCTGGGATGTACCTTAGTGGGTCAGTCCCTAGTATAAAACAAACAAAAACAATAAAGACCGCAGTCATGAGAAGTCAGAATGCAGAAATTTCTAACAGCATCCCTAGTTGGGAGGGCTGTCACTAGGTACAGGAGGAACATGGATGTTTAAGAGCTTGTACCTCTCCGTCTTCCATTTGTCTTCTGAGCTTAGAGGCCTAAATTTAGCAAACAGCTTGAGAATTCTTTCTGGAAAAAAGCAGACTCCAGATCTGAGTCAGAGACAGGAATCCATTTTGAAGCACCCTCAACTGGGCCATCCTCTATAAGCACAGATCCCAAGGATAAAGAGGAGGAGGACCCAAACCAAATATTACCAAATTTTGTACTTAGCACTGGGATTTTCAACCCTCAGTGACCCTCCCTCAGAGACTCTCTAGCATTTGTCTTTGTGTATAATTGTGGCAGGCTCTTTAAACCTGAGGGTGCTGTATACTCAAGCTAAGATTTTGTTTGTGTGGTCCCAGGGATAGACTGCACAGTGGTTAGTGTTTACTAGAGGCTCAATATGTATTGCTGGCCTGACAGTAATGAGAATTGTGTGCAATGTAAAAAGCATTTAAACTGGGCTAGGGATGTAGTTCAGTGGTAGAGTGTTTGCCTAGCATGCTTGAGGCCCTGGGTTTGATCCACCCCCCCTAAAAAAAAAAAGTTTAAACTATTAAGGAAGGTTAGTTTTGAAAATATTTTTGCGTGTTGTGGCATGGGTACTGGAGATTGAACCCAAGGGTGTGGCTTCAAAAGTGTTTTTGAAGGATCTATAGAAAATACTTACATTTTGAGTTGGGTATGGTTGCACACACCTGTAATCCCAGTAGCTGGGGAGGCTGAGGCAGGAAAATTACAACTCAAATTTGAGGCCATCCTTAGCAATTTAACAAGAATATAAAAAACTTAGAGAGACCCTGCCTCAAAATAAAAAGGCCAAGGATGTAGCTCAGTGGTAAAGTGCCCTTGGGTTCGATTCCCAGTACCAAAATCAGAAAACTCAAATTTTTTAATGTAGTCTAGCCTGACTTTAGTTTCTCCAGGAAACACTTCTTGGCATCCCTACTTAATGGACATTTAGCTCATTTTTGTGTAGCTGGAATTAATCTATATTTGTTATATTTGCCTATTTTACAAAAGTATTATTTATTTGTGAATATTTTAATCATTCATGTTTATCCTTTGGATCCTGATAAACTCTGTGAAGCTGAGGGTTTTTTTCTCTTTCATGTGTGATTTCCAAAATACTCAGCAGAAAGCAGGGTTTATATTTGCTGCTTAATTGAACTATTGAGGCTTCTCTATGAGACAAGAAATTTGGAAGCAAACTCTTCTTGGTGCCTAAAATTGTGAAGAAAATCTGTCATGTCCTCCTTGCTCTTCATAACTGTTGTCCTTTGTTCTGTCCCAAGATAAAGCTACCAATCCTTCCAACCGCCAAGAGGACTGGGAATACATAATTGGCTTCTGTGATCAAATCAACAAAGAGCTTGAAGGGTAAGTCTCAGCACTGCTAGGGGGCAGGTGGAAAAGCTAACAGGAAAAACCCAAAACTAGCCAAGGAGGGCTGGCCAGGTAGGCCTGGGTCAGTGCATTAACTATGGTCTACTTGTCCCCCAGGCCCCAGATTGCCGTCCGACTACTAGCCCACAAGATCCAGTCTCCACAGGAATGGGAAGCAGTACAGGCCCTGACGGTAGGTGTTCACTCTGAGTTGACAGCAGCGGCTCCTCACTTGCATGGGCCTTTCCTCATGTACCCATTGGGCCTTCCTCGGTGGTTCTCAGGGCTCATACCGAAAGGCCAGCAGAAAATTCTTGATACAGAATAGATGTGTCTAGAACATTTTCAGTCAGCCAATCCACAAGTGTGCATGCCACTGGGCCAGGCCCTGAGGCTTTAAAGATGACCGAGGTGCCACCTCTAGCAGCATGACTACACGGTTAGTGTAAGAGGTAGAGCTGCCAAGGGAGGGAACCCAGACCCAGAGCCTTGGGCCCAGCATGGGGCTTGGAAAGTCTTCTGGAAGTCTTGACAGTTAAGAGTTGGCCAGCTGAAGAAAAATGAGGTGAGCATAGTGTGTTTTGTAGCTGAAAATACTGCCTGTGCCAGTGGAGGTATTACCTTGTCAGGTGAGAGCTCTGGGTGATCTTTATTGAGATTAAGGGATTCAGGACGAGGTACTGCATGTCACTCCATTACCTCTCACTCCTCCCTAAACCAGAAAGCGGTGAATTCAGGGGAACCCAGGATCCCCCTTGACTTCATTCATGTCCTGAAGAGGCAGAAGCTCCAGAGGGTGCTTAGAGGCCCATGTGCACCTGTCTACCGCAATCACTTAAGATAGTGATTCTTGCTGAATGTGGCACATGCCTATAATCCTATCAACTCAGGAGGCTGAAGCAGAAGGATTGCAAGTTTGAGGCCAGCCTCACCAACTTAATGAGATCCTAAGCAACCAAGTGAGACCCTGTGGCTCAGTGGTTAAGCAACACTGAGTTCAATATCTAGTACCACCCGCCCCCCCCCCCCCCCCCCCCAAAAAAAAAGGTGATTTGCAAGATGGGCACTTTTGCCCCACAAGGAACCTTTGGCAGTGTCTGGAAATGTTTTTAGTTGTTGGGGGTTTGGGGATGCTATTGGCATCTAGTAGGTAGAGGTCAGGAGTGCTGCTAAACATCCTAGAATGCACTGGACAGTCCCCATAGCAGAGCAGAGTGACCAGTCCAAAACATCAGCCTATATTTGAGAAATCCTGCTTTAAAGAAACAAGCCAAGACGGGGGGCTATGGATTGTGGCTCAGCAGTAGAGCGCTCAACTCGCACATGCAAGGTCCTGGGTTCAATCCTTACCACCCATAAAAATAAATAAGTAAAATTAAGTTATTAAAAAAGAAAGAAAAAGAAATAAGCCAAGAAAAGGAGCCCCAGGCTACATGGGGCACAATCCTCCATAATAAACTGCAGGTACTGGTGGCCATGGGCAGCACAAGAATGCGTAAATGGAGGGCAGGGGGAGGGAAATCATTTTGTCATCTTATTGGAAATAACATTATCTCCGCTGCACCCCCCCCACCCCCCCCAAAATATTGGTTGCCTTGTGGAAAGAACTTTGGGCCCTGAAAGAACTATTACTGTACCTGAACCTGTTTTCCTCATCTTTAACACACGAGAACAGTGTGTTTGAGGAAGGCATCTTCCAGGTCTGGCAGCTAGGCGGTCTTGGTGTCTGGGTCTCAGTGTTTCTTACTGTAGCCCCTGTGTAGCATCCCTAGCATAGGTGCTGTTTGAGGGCTGTGTAGTGGTAAGTGATCCCGGGGCTTGATTTGCACAGTTCCCCAAGGCAGAGTGCCCACTTCTTAAGATGAGCTCCTTCACCTAGAAGTATTTCCTCAGACAGTCTGGGTGCCAGCAGTCCAGGTGGTGCCTGAGCCCAGAGCCGCCACACCGAGCGCCTATCCTCTTCGTGGCTACAGGTATTGGAGGCGTGTATGAAGAACTGTGGGAGGAGATTTCATAACGAAGTGGGAAAGTTCCGGTTTTTAAATGAGTTAATCAAAGTCGTCTCTCCAAAGGTCAGTTGATAGTAGTTCCTCCCTTATAAGGACTTTTTTTCTGTTTCTCCCCATATCCCATCTTACTTTCTCTGTTCAGCAAACATCTCCGTGGAGCTAATCCTTCATGCCCTGTCCTTGCAGAGGTAGGCCCTGTAGATAGTGGAATGACTGAACAAGCCACATGGCTGGCAATCTCCTCTGACAGGCTCCCAGTCTAAATGTGGCAGGTGGTGTGGCAGCAGCTGTGCATATGCCCAAGAACATGGTCCTGGCAGTGAGGAACTCCATACTCTGAACACACAGCAGTTGTGGCTCTTCTGACTTATCTTAGGGCTAGGAGGAGCTGGCTGCCCTCATTGCTCAGCTGTCCAGGTTCTGTTGCCTACCTCCCACTTAAAGCAAAGGGAACAATTTTCATGCAGTGACATTCTTGTCCTTTAAGATAAAATTAGGGCTGGGGATGTGGCTCAAGCGGTAGCGTGCTCGCCTGGCATGCGTGCGGCCCAGGTTCGATCCTCAGCACTACATACAAACAAAGATGTTGTGTCTGCCGAAAACTAAAAAATAAATATTAAAAAATTCTCTTTATCTCTTTCACTGTCACTTTCTCTTAAAAAAAAAAAAAAAAAAGATAAAATTAAATTAGCTAGGTGTGGTGTACATACTTTAATCCCAGCAATTTAGGATGCTGAAGTCCTAGGCCAGCCTCAGCAGTTTAGAGAGACCCTGTCTCAAAATAAAAAACAAAAAGGGCTAGTGATGTAACTCAGTGGTAAAGCACCCCTGGGTTCAATCCCTAGTACTGCAGAAAACAAGATAAAATGCAATTGTGTTTCAGGTAGCTTATGTGTGAGGCTACAGTGATAAGCTCCTGGCTTCCCAACTAGCTACACAGTTATGCCATAGGGAGGTCTCTCCCCTCCCCTGTTCTGTCATACATCTTCACACCTGCTGGGCTTAAGTAGGCTTGGGAACTATTAAGAGAGCCTAACTCTTTGCTTCCAAACTACAATTACTAGGTTTTCCCATTTTCTTTTGCCTCCTAGTACCTGGGGGACAGAGTGTCTGAGAAAGTGAAGACCAAGGTCATTGAGTTGCTTTACAGCTGGACAATGGCCCTGCCAGAAGAAGCAAAAATCAAAGATGCCTACCATATGTTGAAGAGACAAGGTACATATCTACCTTCTCTCAGTCTCAAGGTGGTCCTGGAAGACTGGGAAGAGGAAGAAAGCACGAGAATGTTGAGGTCCCCAGACTCACTTTCTTCCTCCTGAAGAGAGTAGGGCTTTTGTTAACAGAGCAGGGCTTAGCTGGGGTTATGGTGGGCTTAGGTATGAGAAACTGCCCTATCTCCTGATCTTAATCATTTGATATGGCCTTGATGTGTGAGGAGTAGGGACAACATGACTACATCCTAGTGCATGCTCTGCTGCTTGTGTCTCCTTTCAGGCATTGTGCAGTCTGACCCACCAATCCCCATGGACAGGACGCTGATCCCTTCTCCACCACCTCGTCCCAAAAACCCTGTTTTTGATGATGAGGAGAAATCTAAGGTAAAGTACAATTCTGGACCTTGGGATCTCTCAGTGAGCAGGTGGCAGCCAGGAGAAACATTTGGCTTGGTGCTGTGGGGAGCTCCGGGTTCTCCCTGGTGGTGGTGAGTGGGGGGTGTTTACGCAGTGCCGATTCTGCCTTCACTTTAGTATTCTTCTCTTCCAGCTTTTAGCCAAACTGCTGAAAAGCAAAAACCCAGATGACCTGCAAGAGGCAAATAAGCTCATCAAGTCCATGGTGAAGGAAGTGAGTGGTCCCTGGTCCTCTGGGTATAGGTTGGAGGAGTGGGTGGCTACAGAGCAGAAGTCTTCCCATGGGACAGTTAGGCCATTTTCTCACTGCCACCAGCCTTCACCTGGAGCCACTGGAAGGAGAAGTGTTGTAGCTCCCTGGAGGAGAATGGAGTAGAAGAGTGGAAAGACAGAGGGTGGTGATGTTGGGAGTGGGGGTTGTCACTGTAAAAATATGACTGTACGGTGGGTCCCGAGGCCTGTGGTCCCAGGAACCATGCACTGGGTATGGCCTTTTGTGCCATGGGGTAAGCAGTTAGCCTCCCCTCACGGGAGTGGGAAGATGGGTCGTGTGAGCCTACTCTCTCCTGGACCCTCTTGGTTGAGGCAGGATGAGGCTCGCATCCAAAAGGTGACCAAGCGCCTGCATACACTGGAGGAGGTCCACAACAGCGTGAAGCTGCTCCATGAGATGCTGCTTCACTATAGCCAGGAGCACTCATCAGAGGCAGACCGAGAGCTCATGAAGGTAGGCCGCCATCCGCTGGAACTGTCCTGTCAAGGGCACACTTACTGTTGATGGGCCTGTTTATCTGCATGACAGCAGGAAACTGGAGGGTGGTGCCCTGCCTTACACATGACATTAGCTAAAGTGCCCTAAATGGAAGAGCTGGGTGTGAACCTGAGTCTGTGCCTCTAGAGATGGCAGCATTAGGGATGCTGATGCTAATGTTGTTGCCCAGGCTGTAACTGGGTAGACCCTGAGTTCTGAGACGCATGCCAGCCTGGGAGGCAGGAAGGGGCTTGCTTCAGTAGCCAGTGTGTAAGCTAGCTACACGAGGGTGTGCACTCTGGTCCCAGCTCTGTAACTGTCCCTGATTCTTTGGGGAACCCTGCTTCATTCTGGGTATAGCCTCTGAAGCAGAGGATTCCAAAGGGCTTCTATACTTGTAACTTTGTCCAAATCTCTCTAGGAGTTGTTTGATCGGTGTGAGAATAAGAGACGGACATTATTTAAATTAGCCAGCGAGACGGAGGACAATGACAATAGTTTGGGTGAGTGAAAAGGAAAACAATTGGCAATAATGAGCCAAGAATTTTAATAAGTGTGTGGGAGTTGTCATTGCCAGGAGTGACAACTCCTCTCTCTTCTGCTCTAGGGGACATCCTGCAGGCCAGTGACAACCTCTCCCGGGTCATCAACTCTTATAAAACAATTATTGAAGGGCAGGTCATCAATGGTGAGGTGACCACCTCAACCATGCCTGACTCTGAAGGTAAAATGTTATGGTTCCTCATTCTGGGCACCCTCCAGATAGCCTCAACTCCCTTCCAAGGAGCCCTGGGTACAGGTTGAACGTATGCAACCCATAGCATCTGAGGGGATTCTAAGCCACTCCAGTGGTCCTCCAGCTTCCTAGAGGTCTGGAGAGATGAGTGGGGATTCCCTACCTGCTTTATCCAGAATGTTCCCTGGAAGAAATGCCATTGAATTAGGCCCAAGGCTAGAGTGTCAGCTGTTATGCCCAGGGTCCTGCTCCTGCTGTTGCACAGCCATTAGATGATTCGATTATTCTTATTCCCCTCCTTTTGACCCATCCAGGAAACAGCCAAGGCACTCTCATCGATCTTGCTGAGTTGGAGACACCTAACAACTCATCCCCAATGTTGGCCCCCGCACCTGCCCCGCTCCCCTCAGGCATCCCTGTCCTCCCTCCACCCCCTCAGACCTCTGGACCTTCACGCAGTCGCTCATCCAGCCAGGCTGAAGCTCCCACAGGGCCCAGCAGCACAAGCAATGCCCTTTCCTTGCTGGATGAGGAGCTGCTTTGCTTGGGTATGTCCTGGAGGGCAGCTATATGGGACTCCTCCTGGTGGGTCCCTTAAAGAAAGAAAGGCATGTGAAATGAAGAGGCCCAGAGCCTCTGGTGTGTTTATTCGTCAAGTTCAGTGTCCCTCAAAGGCACCAGGGCTATCTCCCAGGGGATTTTGGGGTGGACATGGTGCACTCAAATCTTGCTCTGCTGCTCTTTTCCTGGGCGACCTCTCATATCTGCATGTGAGAAAGGAAAGGGATCCCTACCCCTGGAGCTGGTGCTGGGCCCAGAGCCTCTTCTCATCCTATTCTTCTATATCCTCAGGCCTTACCGACCCAGCCTCTACTGCTCCCCCCAAAGAATCAGCTGGAAACAGCCAGTGGCACATGTTCCAGGTAGGGGCCTATTCCTGAGGATATCACTGAAGTACCCAGGGACCCTCACTTAGCAGTATCCTCTCTCCTGACCTGTGCTCAGCTGCATTTAGTTGGAGCCTGGCTGTCCTTGCCCTCCAGAGCACTACCCTCTGCAGCTGGAAACATGTTTCTTCCAAGTACTTGTCTCTGGCCCTGTCCTTGGAGGGCACCTGGTCCAGCAGGCTGTGTAATAGGGTATGGGGGGATAAAGTGTCCCTGGTATTGGCAACAGGCCCTCCCAGCCCTTTGCTTACCTGTCATTTTTCTTGCACAGAATGAACAGTCCAACCTGGACTTCTTCTGCCCCAGGCCAGGGCCTGCTGTCTGCAGCTCCTCAGATGGGACCCTGCTCCCATCCTCAGCCCCTGCCTCAAGTACCTCCCAAGCTTCACTGCCACGTCCCTTCCCAGCTCCCATGGTCCCTTCCAGTGTACCTGCCCCCAGTGCAGCCTCCTTCATGTTCTCTTCTGGACTCACCCCAGCTTTGACTCCAAAGGCTGAACCTGTGGCCCCAGAAAGCCATGGCTCAGCACTGGGTGACAGCACCCTACACCACCTGGATGCCCTTGATCAGCTTCTGGAAGAGGCCAAAGTGTAACAAGTGGGAAAAGAGGTGGGGTGGCTGAGGGTTGGGCCTAGTGTACAGAGCCAGCAGAATGGGGATCCTTTTGGGTTCTATCAGTCAGGACTGGAAGCTGGAGTTTGGGGTGGCTAAAGGCCATTGCTGTCCTGGAGATCTTTAGTGAGGGGTTGACCCAGCAGCTCTGGCCCACTCTAATTTACTTTCTCTCCTGCTTCCCAGGACTTCAGGCTTAGTGAAACCTGTCTCCTCTTGCTTTTCGCCCGGAACCACCACCTCCCCACTGCTCCCCACTTCCACCCCAGCCAAGCCTCTTCTGACCTTCTCCACTGGGCCCGGCAGCCCTCTCTTCCAGCCACCAGCCTTCCAGTCCCAGGGCAGCCCCATGAAAGGGCCTGAGCTCTCCCTGACCAGTGTCCATGTGCCCCTGGAATCAATCAAGCCTAGTAGGTGTTGGAGATGGGAGGTGGGGCCCACAGCCAAGGTGTTAGAGGGTGTGGTGTGGTGTTTGCATGTGCATGCTCAAATGTCCTTGGAGCTGAGTGTCTGCTTTCCTCCTGTTTCAGCTTGTTTGTTGCAGCTGTATGACCTTAGGCCCCTCTCAACAGAGGGCCTTTCCCTGACTCCATAAGGGAGCACTGTACTTAAAGGCCATACTGTAGCCTTTTTGCCACCCACTTGACTACAGCAGGCACCACCGGGCTCCAGAATGACTTTGGCACTTGCTTTTATCACACTTAATATGCCTCTTCTTACAGGCAGTGCCCTTCCTGTGACAGCCTATGATAAAAATGGCTTCCGCATCCTCTTCCACTTTGCCAAGGAGTGCCCACCTGGACGGCCTGATGTGCTGGTGGTGGTGGTGTCCATGCTGAATACAGCTCCCTTGCCTGTCAAGAGCATTGTGTTGCAGGCTGCAGTGCCCAAGGTACTCATGGACCCCTGGGTCTTCCAGACACCAAAATTGCCTTTGTCTTGAACGCAGCTGTACCTTGAGGGCCTCTTGGTAGCCAGCAGATGGCAGTATGTGTGTATCTACTGGGACCAAACTGAGTTCTATCTTGGGTACCTGCAAACTCTGAAGAGAGTTCTGGAAGAAGCTTCTCTTTATTTTCAGTCAATGAAAGTGAAGTTGCAACCACCTTCTGGGACAGAACTCTCTCCATTTAGTCCCATCCAGCCACCTGCAGCCATCACCCAGGTCATGCTGCTAGCCAATCCAATGAAGGTGAGCAATGGGAGAACCCAAAGTCTCAGCTACCCCAAATTAGGATCTTGAGACAACCTCCCAGCCTGCAGTGTGTCACCTACAACATAACATAAACCCCTCCCTTTGCTGCCCCAGCAATAAGTGCCTGAGTGTGGGTGGACATGGTGGGTAGCAGGGAAGAAGGCATCCTGCTGAGGGACTCCCTGGCCTGGATCTCACCTGCTGCCCTCTGTCACAGGAGAAGGTGCGGCTTCGGTATAGGCTGACCTTCGCCCTGGGGGAGCAGCTCAGCACAGAGGTGGGCGAGGTGGACCAGTTCCCTCCTGTGGAGCAGTGGGGGAGCCTATGACCTCAGAGGACGCTGTGATCTCTACTTTGAAGCCAGGCAGGCTGCTTTGAGACGGAGAGGGCTCCAGTCCACTTATTGACGGCAATGCTTGTAGCTTTGACATGGAACAGGGGCGTTTCTACTGGGAGCCAAGCTGCAGCTGTGATAATCTCTCCTCCTTGGGCCCCTAAAAGGACCTGTTTCTATCTACCTGTGTGACTTGAAGTGGCCATATACTGTCAGGGGTGGGGAGTGGCCCCTGGCTTTACTGCTATTCTGGGAACATGGGCTCCAGGCATGGAGTAGGTTTTTCCTTTCTACTGGCATTTCCTGGTGCCCAGGGGTGGGCTTGAAAGAGAGGTTTCTGGGCCACCTCAAGAACTAGAGGCATGGTGTGAGAGGCTGCTGCCTCTATTGCTTCCCCTGCCATTAGGCTCTGCTGCCACCCTCAATGAGGTGGGCAAGGCCAGTGGCCCAATGAGGAGCTGGAACACTCCAGGTTCTCCACCCTGTCCTTTGTAAGCAGCGGCAACCTGCAGTGGCCCCTGAATGAGTTTTATGCTCATCCCTGGCAGTGGCAGACTGTCCTATGAACATCTCAGCAGGACATGGAACCCAGCCTAGCAGAAACAGAACTTGGCCTCATCACAGCCTCAACTAGGGATAGGAAGGAAAATGGAAGAGAACCAGCTTCCCCTTCAAAAGCAGGTACTGGAGCTTTCTGGGAAGAGTAAATCTCCTGCCATACAGACAGGCCATCCTACTCACTACCTCTTGCTTGGCATGAAATAAACTGCTATCCTTCCCTTAGAATCTCTGAAGGGGAGGACAATTCGTCCCAACCCCCTGCGTCATCCTGCTTTGGCCTTCCCCTCTTCCTACCAGATGGCGTGTGGTGTGGCACTCATGGGTGGACCCAAGAGGCCTCAGGGTCAGGCATATTGCACTAGATTTATGTCCTGTGTGTGGTACAGAAGCCCCAATGTTCCCCAGCTATGAAGGGGTACTGTCAGCAAAATGTTGGGTCTGGAGGTGATGAGATGAGAGCCATGCTTGAACCAAGTCACCAGACCCTATTGCTTCAACAGTGCTCAGTCCCAACTGTTCCTGGGCCAGGGACACTAAGCCTCACAAGGCAACAGGAAACTGCCACCAGTTGCCACAGAAGCTGGGAAAGGTCAAACAGCTCAGTTGGACAGGCTCAGCTATCCAGCATCTGTGGGGAATGGAAGGTGGCACGAACTGCATCCCCTGGTCCCTCTGCCCCCACCAGGCTTCCTTGCTATATATCCAGAGGTCATCTCACCTGTCCGTCCCCTGACTGTAGCAAGCAGGTTCCACTGCTTCATCAGGACAGGTCAAAGTGAATTCTTTTCATAACTTAAGGAATAAATCCAAGAGCTTTTCAGAGACTGGCTGCTATAGCCCTGGGAATGTCCATGGGATTACTATGTGGACATGTACATTTATAATATGCTTTAGACATTATATGAGTGCTACCAGTTACCATTGAGGTCACTACTTCATGGCAAAAAGCTGTACTGAATGTACCAACTCCACTGCCCTTGTTTTGCTGCATGTTAAATAAAACCATTTTCACCCTACATGGAATCCTTCTAATACAGACACCAAACTCACAGGAAGGTGCCAACAGCGAATCCCAAACATAGGTAGTTGCATAGCCTATGTGAAATTGTGTTAAAAGTATAGGTTTCTGAAGCCATAAAGGGGAAAAAGAAAAAGTTGGATGATGGAGTTTTCCAGATGATTTGAAGTAAGGCAAGGTGTCTGAACCACAAGTAAAACACTAAGGGCTCTTGTTTGAATTTCCAGTTACAAGCAGAAAGACACTACACTCATCGTCCCTAAATTGGGGTGGCTTCTTTAAGGAGATAAAGGAAGACAGTTCTGTGTCAAAGAGAACACAAGCCAGGCACAGTGGCACACACCTGTGGTCCCAACTACGTGGGAGGGTAAGGCGGGAAGATCCTTTGAGTCAAGAAATTTGGGGCCACCCTGGGCAACATAGCAAGACCCACCTAAAGAATGAAAAAACATAAAACCACCATTTTCTTCATTTTTGTCACCTCAGGTTCAGAGTAGACATGAACAGAAACTCACTGGTGGATTATAAGAATTTGCCTTGTACTTGCAAAAAAAAAAGTTTAATTATTTTTAAAAATCTATATATACATTGCCATATAGTTGCAGCAGCTCTCAGCTGACGTCAAGAACCTTCCAATGAGCCTTCTCTTATAATTGCCCGAGCAAGATTCCGGGCCAGAGCGAGTCTCAGCATTTCCACCTTAGTGGTTTCTATATCGTCGTCCTGAAAAGCAGAGAGCCAACATGTGTTACAGAAAATCTTCAAAGATACACAGAGTAAGAGTATGCAGATGGCCACAATACAGCTGATCAACAGGGGGAAAACATGGACCACTGCCCCCTAAAATGCGGCACGTCGACTATAGGCTAAGCACAAACCAAGAGGCACATGGGCTAGACCAGTGTTTTAGGGGGTACAGAGCAGGGGAAAGAAAGCCAGACAGCCATTTCCTGTCTTCACTGTGGAAGCATCAAACTGGAAGCTAAACTGACCTGTAGTCGCTGGGCATCAGGCTCTGCACGCTCTGGCTTCCCTGAGGTCAAGTCCTCCAGACATCGCATCAGCTCGTATGTTTGTTCTGCTGAGAAAATCACCTGGGAGAGAGAAGCTGCTTCACTTAGCTGTTCTCCAGCCAAGGCCAGAGAAAGTCGGCCCTCTGTGCCCTTAAGAGAAGTACTTTGTATGTGGTGCCACGGAGGATGGAGCAGCTTCAGAGTCTTGACATTCAGCCCTCTAAGCCCTCTACTCAGGCCCTCGACAGAGGACTGTTAATGGACAGCTGCTGTCAAAATTGATTTTTTTTTTTTTTTTTTGGAGTGACTACTGGATTTGTAGCATGGATGCTTGGGGAGAATACACAGGCAAACAACTACTTAAGAGAAAACATGAATATGGGCCATGACTACAGAACTAAGCTGTCAGGAATTACAAAAGGCAGAAAAGAAAATCCCCAGAAACTTAAGCCTTACCTGTTTCTGTTCCAAAAGGGGCAGGGCATCTGTGAGCAGAGTCATCCAGAAAGAGCGGGGCGCAATCTGGGAAGTCATCAGAGACAACAGGAGAGATGCAGCATCCCCAAAGCGCTTCTCTCCATATAATCGGTGGAACTCACGGTATTTTCCTGTCAAGAGGAGGGAAAACCAGGTCACCTGCAAGCTCCCAGGTGACATGTAGATCACCCAGGACCCAGACAAAAGGAAAGGGATCCTAGATCAGCCACTCCACAGAGCAGGGAGAAGTTTCCAGAGCTGTCTCTAAATTCACAGATCAATGATAAACAAATTCAGAAGTTCCAAAATACTGGCTTTGAAGAGCTCCCAGAGCCAAATGTGGGAAACTACCAGCATCAAAAGAAGTCAAGAGTCCTGGATTATAACAGACTGATGATATTCCACAAATCCCCAATCCTACAAGTCAGATAATAAAGAAGGGAACACTTCCTTACAGTAAGACACCAGCTAATACACAGGAGCAACGATCTAGAGGCAGAAGTATAGTGAGGAAAAAGACATTCAAATCACCCAAAACATCTCCCCACCAATCACTAAATTATAGGGGAAAAGAGTGCATCACAGGAGCCACCCAGCCTACTCTACTCTAGCTACATGCTCAGAATACCACCAACAGCAGTAAGGGGACAGACAGCTCACCAATTCCATTCACAACATCTCAGTGGAATTCCTGCCTCAAACAGCATTGAATCTAATCAGGAAAAATCTGATAAACCCAAACTGAGAACATTCTACAAGGGGTGGGTCTGTGCCTTCAAAAATATTAAGATGAAGCTGGGGGCTGGGGATACAGCTCAGTTGGTAGAGTGTTTGCCTCACAAGCACAAGACCCTGGGTTCAATTCCCAGCACCAAACACATGGGGAAAAAAAATTTAAAAAAAGATTAAGATGGGCAAAGTGACACAGCAGAATTACAAGTCAGAGATCAGCCTCAGCAACTCAGCAAGACCCTGTCCCCCAAAAACATTTTTTAGGGGCTGTGGCTATGGCGCAGTGGCAGAGCACTTGCCTAGCACATGTGAGGCACTGGTTCAATCCTTAGCACCACATAAAAATATAGGCATACTCTACATCTACAACTACAAAAAAAAAAAAATTTTTTTTTTTTTTTAAGGACTGAGAATGTAGTTCAGTGTTAAGCGCTCATGCATTCAATACCCAGTGTACCCCACCAGAAAAAAAAAAAGGAAGATGAAGAAGCACAAAGAGGCTGGGTGTGGTGGCACATGTCTGTAATCCCAGAGACTTGGGAGGCAGATCAGAAGTTCAAGGCTGGCCTGGGCAGCTTAGTGAGACCCTGACTCAAAAAATAAAAACAGGTTTAGCATTGTGGCTCAGTGGTAGAACACTTCCTAGCTCATGTGAGGCACTGGATTTGATCCTCATCACCACGTAAAAATAAATAAAGGTAGTATGTCCATCTACAGCATTAAAAAAAAAAAAAGGCTGGGGTTGTAGCTCAGTAACTTGTATGGCAGTTGTGAGGCACTGAGTTCGATTCTCAGCTAGGGATGTAGCTCAGTGATACAGCACTGGTCTATCATGTGCAAGGACCTGAGTGCAATCCCCAATACCACACACACAAAAAAGCACATAGAGATGGGGCATAATGGAGTACTCCTGTAATCCCAGCTACTCGGGGCTGAGACAGGAGAATCACTTGAGCCCAGGAGTTTCAGGCCAGCCTGAACAAAATAGCAAAACCCATGTCTTACCAAACAGTAAAAAAAGAAAGAAGCACTAAGGGTTTTGGGGTGTAGCTCAGTGTTCAAATTTTTAAAGTGCCTGCTTAGCTAGCATTCATGTCACTTGTGGTTCAATCCCCCTGCCAAAAAAAAAGGCATAAAAAAAGAGGCACTAAAGAAACATGGCAGCTAAATTTGTGATCCTGGATACAACTAAGAAAATTAATGGGGCAACTGAATACAATCGGAATGTGGATTATGGATTAGATCAGAATACTGTATCAAAAATGGATCTCCTGCCCCCACCTTTTTTAATGGTACTAGGGTACAGGGGTGCTTTACCACTGAGCCACATCCCAATTTATTTTTTATTTTGAGACAGGCTGTTGCTAACTGCCCAGGCTGGCCTCAAACTTGCCATCTTCCTAAGGAACTAGGATTACAGGTATGTATCACCATGCCTGGGAGGGTTTCCTGTTTGTGATAACTATTATTCTTACACACTGAGGAATTTATGGAGAAAGGGGAATAGTATCTTCAACTTACTCTCAAACTGGTCCCAAAAGAATTGATCAAGCAAGAAAGAATGATAAATGAGGCAAAAAATAGGTAATTGCTGAATCTGGAAAACCTGTACATGGAAGGTACTCATTTCTCATACTAATTTTGCAACTTTTCTGTTTGAAATTGCTGGAAAGTAAAATGGTACTACAAACTGCAGAATCTAGCACACAGAATTCTATGTGGTTTGCTGTATGGGCTTACCAAGAGAAAAAACACCTGGACAAATGTAGAACATTCCCTCCAATCTGCACAAGTGTCCACAATTTTTTTTTGGTACCAGGGATTGAACTCAAGGACACTCAACCACTGAGCCACATCCCCAGCCCTAGTTTGTATTTTATCAGAGACAAGGTCTCACTGAGTTGCTTAGCGCCTCACTAAATTGCTGAGGCTGGCTTTGAACTTTCGATCCTCCTGCCTCCACCTCCTGAGCCACTGGGATTACAGACATGCACCACCGCGCCCCGCCTGTCCCTTTTTTTTTTTTTTTTTTAAATATATTTTTTAGTTGTAGTTTGACGCAATACCTTTATTTATTTTTATATGGTGCTGGGGATCAAACCCAGCGCCTTGCACGTGCTAGGTGAGAGATCTACCTCTGAGCCACAACCCCAGCCCCACAAGTGTCCACTTTTAACCAGTGGACATAACACAGAAGACTCACCCAGGAATGTTAGCCGATCACTAAGCATCATGGCTGGCCCCAAGTTGTCAATGAGATCCAAGTCGGAAAAGCAACCTTGCTCACAGTAATCCCTGAGGAATCTGCAGCACCAACCAGAGAAAATCAGAGCAGCAGTCCTGGCCCCACCTCCTTAACCTTCAGCCTCCCAAACAATTCCTGGGAGCCAGCACCAGCTGCACCCACCTGTCTGACACAAGTGTGGCAAAGGCGGCATCTTTGGCACGGATGCTCCAAGAGAGGGCAGAGCCCAGGCGGTTGTTGCGGACAGCCTTCATAGCCAAGATCTTACAGATGCTGCGGACTTTGCAGGGTAAAAGAAAAACGTGAAGCCTTGCAGCCCTTAATCCATTCAGGAGCTCTGCAGGGCCAGGTTTTCCCACAACATCACTATAACCCAAAGCCTATGAGCTCCAAACACAGGCAGGTCATTAGAACAAAATGCTCCTGTGTTTATTAACAGTGTCCTTGCTTTGTTAACAGCATACTGAAAGACATACCCTGTGGGATTTGCTTTATGAGTGGCTATGCTTTCAGTGGTGGCAAAAAGATGTTTGCTCCTCCCCACATGCCAACCCCTCCATTATCTGTCCATATGCTTAAAAACCTATCTTCCTTTGGGTCTTCAACACCATGTGCTTTCAGAGATGGTCATAAATGTGCGAGTTCCTTTGAGAAGAGGAGTAAAGCAGGTTTTTATCACTCAGAGTGGGGGAGGAGGGCAGATCTGCTCACAGATCTGCCGAGCTGTGAAAGGCCTCTGTACCATTTCCCCAGCTGGGCTTGGCCTAGCTGGCAGCAACCTAGACAGGAAAAAGCGTTGACCCTAGGCCTGAGCTCCTAGACTGAGAAGTGGGACAAGGTCTTTACTAAAAAAATGAATGCTAGTTTTCTTCCCGTCCCAGGTGTGACTGGTGAGAAAGCTGGTGTGATGTCAGCAGAGTTTGGCTTCAGGGTACCCAAACATCCCAGAGGGTAAGCTAGGAGCATGGCCAACTCACCCTGTTCAGTCATCTGCCGCTGCTCACAAATTCGCAGCACCTTGAGGGCTTTCTGCTCTGTGTTGAGAGGGATTCTCTCAATGTGCAGCTCCAAAGAAACTCGGCCCAGTTCAGGACAGTAGTCAAAGTAATCTACCCCTAGCTGCCAAAGGCTGCAAAGATCCAAAGAGAAAATGTGGTTAGCTCAGGGGCTGCCCTGTAGATGTGAGGTCTGAAGGCAAAACCTCACTTCCCCAAAACTCTACAACCCCCAAGAAGTCAGAAAGAATAATCCAAGAGTCACTGGCACTGATGTACTGGAAAGCAGCCTCCCTGTGGGGCCTTACCTGTGATGAGCAAACAGTCCTGAGGCATATTCCAATAGGAGGAATTCTCTCATGTTGGAACCAAAACTGGAATAAGACATAACACAAGACCAGACTCCAAGCTTGCTCCATTTGGACCCCATTAGTAGCCCAACCTCCCTTCCAGGCATTCAGCCTGTACTACCCTTGAAAACCTGGTGGTGGCAAGAAGAGGTTTGCAGTGTCAAGTTTACTTACTAGAGGTTGTGTGCCTGGAGAAGCCTGCAGTGATCCAGCAGGTCTGTCAGGTGGGCCACAAACCACCAGTTGCTCAAGGCAATGCTGCAGATTCAGACATCAAAGCAAAAAGGATATCAGAAAGAAGCCACATCCCCCGTGAGTGGGGTATGAGCAGAACTCCACATCCTGCACTTCAGAAAGATGGGGGGCTATCACTCCCACATGTTAGGATGGCTGTTATCAAAAAGTCAAAAGATACAGCAGGTACAATGTCACCAGCCTGTAATCCTAGCAACTCGAGAGGCTGAGGCAGGAGGATCATGAATTCAAGGCCAGCTTCAACAACTTAGGAAGACATCAAAATAAAAAGGACTGGAGATGTAGCACCTAGCCTCAATCCCCAGTAGGAATTGGGAAAAAGGAGAAAAGGGAATCCTGGCACACTACTGGTAGAAGTGGAAACTGGTACAGCCTTTATGAAAGACATTGCGGAGATTCCTCAAAAAATTAGTAAAACAACCAAATCACGTGGCTCAGTGGTTAAACACCCCTGGGTTCAATCCATGGTAACAAACTACCAAATGATCCAGCAATTCCACATGTGGAAATACATCCAAAGGAACTCACTATCTCAAAAGAGCATATTCAACAGTCAAGACACAGAAACACATCCACTGATGGATGAATGGATAAAGGAGATGTAAGAGACAGACAGATTGACTGATAGACAGATTTCCATATATGCATATACAAATATCATTTAGCCTTAAAAAAAGAAGGAACTCCTATCACTTGTGACAACATGGATGAACCTGAAGACACTGTGGTAAGTGAAATAGGCCAGACACAGAATGACAAATACTACATGATCTCACTTATATGTACAATCTAAAAATAGGACAGAGTAGAATGATTACCAAGGGTTCCAGAGGATGTGGGAAATGTGGAGATGTTAGTCAAACTTTGTTAAAAGGTGAATATGTACTGAAAACCTAATGTACAACTTGGTGACGATAGTTAATAAAGTATTGAATACTAAAAGCTGTTGATCCATGTACAGTGGCAATGCCTATAATCCCAGTAGCTCAGGAACCTGAGGCAGAAGGATGGCAAGTCAAAGCCAACCTCAGTAACTTAGTAAAACCCTGTCTCAAAATTCAAAAATAGCCATGCACAGTGGCGTACACTGGTAAACCCAGCAGCTTGGGAGGCTGAGGCAGGAGGATTGCAAGTTCAAAGCCAGCCTCAGTGAAAGTGAGGCACTAAGCAACTCAGGGAGACCTTGTCTCTAAATAAAATACAAAATAGGGCTGGGGATGTGGCTCAGTGGTCAAGTGCCCAAGTTCAATCCCCGGTACCTTCCCCCAACCCCAAAGAAATTAAAGATTAAATAAAAGGGCTAGGGATGTGGCTCAATGGTAAAGAACCCCTGGGTTCAATCCCCAGTACGCATAAACAAATAAAATATGTTGAGAGATCTCAAGTCTTCTTAACACACACACACACACACACCCCCCCAAAGGACAACTATATGAGATGATGGATATGCTAATTAATTTGACTGCCATAAACACTTCACATTGCAAATACCATAAAGATCAAAACATCATGTCTCAGGGCTGAGGATGTAGCCCAGTGGTAGAGCATTGACCTAACATGTGGAAGATCTTGGGTTGGATCACCAGCATTACAAAAAACCATAACAAAACAAAAAACATGTCTGGCTTCTTGTGATGGTGGTAGGGCAAACTATAATTTCAGCTACTTGGCAGACTGAGGCAGGAGGATCTCAAGTTCAAGACTACCCTGGGCACTTAGCAAGAACCTGTCTCAAAATAAAAAGGACTGACAATGTAGCTTGGTGGTAGAACACTTACCTAGCATGTGTGAGGCACGGGGTTCAATCCCCAGTACCATACACATACACAAAAAATTCTTTTTTATTTTTAGGTTTTATTTGTACTATGGATTTAACCCAGGGGCACTTAACTACTGAGCCACATTCCTAGCCTGAATTTTGAAAAAATTGTTTGTTTTTTTTTTTTTTTAGTTGTTGATGGACCTTTATTTTATTTGCTTATTTATATGTGGTGCTGGGAATCAAACACAGTGCCTCACACATATGAGGCAAGCACTCTACTGCTGAGCGACAGCTCCAGCCCACCAGCCTGATTGATTTTTTGAGACAAGGTCTAAGTTGTTTAGGGCCTTAAACTTGTAATCTTCCTGCCTCAGCCTCCCAAACAGCTGGGATTATAGGCATATGCCACCCTGCCCAGCATAAAAATCCTAATTCTAAAGATATGTTCAACCAGCATTCCTCATACTTGGATATACATATGAATTAGCTGGGGATTTCTGTGTTTGTTAAAATGCAGATTCAAGCTGCTCAGGAGGCTGAGGCAGGAGGACTATGAATTTGAGACCAGCTTGGGCAACACAGAAAGACCTGTACTCAACAAAGCAAACAAACAAAAAAAGCAGGTTGGGGGTATAGTTCTGTGGTAGATTTCGTGGCTATATGCATAAATTCCTTGGTTCCCCAACACCAAATTTTAAAAAGGCAGCAGGGGAGTGGAGGTGACTAGGCAACAAGAGGAAAGGTCCCCTAGCCTCCAGGAACAGCAGCTGCTGCCCAGACTTTTGGTTGACAATTATGTCCAGAGGCCAGGAAGTGGTTATGGGGGGAACCCCAGACTGAGAAGTCACCAGACATGCTCTAGTCTGCTCAAATGCCACCTAAAAATGGAACAAAGGGCTGCATGGTGTTTCCTGAAGGATCACAGCAGCCACCAATGCAGTTGATCAGTGACTACTGAAGGCCTCAGGCAAACTAACAGCAGGGTTAAAGTGACTGATTCCAAACTAAGAGCTGACCAAGGCCACCCCATCTCCCTGAAGGGTCAGGCAACCTCAGAGCTACATTTGAGATCTCCTCATACAAACACTGGCTATTTCTAAGACGGCAGCTTATATGCAGAGCAGGTGGAGAGCTTGGTGTCCAGATGGGCAAGACTTAAGGAAAAGCTCCAGAATAGTTGCTGGAAAACAGAAGAACTGTGGAGGAAGGAAGAACACCTACAGTGAAGGTGAGGACCCTGTGGAGGGACCCACACTGAGGCCAATATCACCTGACTCCAACTCACCTTGCTTTCTGGTGGCTTTATAGTAATCATGGTTGTCACTCCCTTTACCTGACCCAGCCCTACTCTTCTGGAAATGAGTGAGGTCTGCATTTACTGCTGCACCCAGCAAGGTTACAAACTGGGCCAAAACAAAAGAATCTAGATTCAGCAGACTTTAAACTGCACATCTTGCTTTTTGAAGGAAGTCCTATTGCCTTTTAGTTCAATATTTCTGGAGAACCTGAAGGGCAGTAAGAAACTATGAACACCTTGGCTAACTCACTTAAGTGCATGCCAGTCCTGCTTCCTTTGGCAAGTCTCCCAAGGCAGGCAGGGAGGAAGCTAAACTTCAGAGGACCCCTGACATGGCTTTCCAACTCTGGGTTAACAGGCAAGCATGGCTACACAGTGCCGACCACAAACTCATGGCCCTCAAGCAGGGCCTGAGAAACCAGGGCCTCTGATTCAGGACCTCTGGCTACTCTTTCTGCCCCTGAGGATCTTGCAGTTTTTGTGGGGGTTAATCAGATGCACATAGGAAACCTCCCTTCTCGCACCTTTAAAAAGGATTCCTCTCATCCACCTATAATGGAGCAGTCACGAACCAGCTGACATAGTACCCCAAGCATAAAGGCTTCCCACACCACCAGCCACATTCCATGAAGACACTTTCTAGGAAACTGTTCCTGAATCTGAACAATTGAAGCCATGGGAAACCAAGTGCTCATAGGACCCTGACTCAATCATTGCCCATCCAGGAGGGCATGGTTTCTAAAACTCCACTACTGCTCTGAAGACACTATATCCTAAAAGTTCTGAGGAGTTCTTTTCAATTCCTTGTCCACAGTGAACAGGAGTTAGCTTCTTGCTAAGTCACAGGCAAATACTGAGATGTACACCAGCAAACCGCAGATCCTGTACTGCTTCTGAGGCAGAGGCGCCTCGACAGGGCTACAAGCCTAACACCACCTTCAACACAACTGCTGTGACTATGTGATTCAGAAAATCCTTATTCTACTGCCACTTCCCTCTCTTTCTTCTGTCACTAGGAATAGCAGGGTGGTCTCCCTATTTACTGTCCCTGCACCTAAGACAGTTGGTTTGCTCAAATCTGTTTTGTTCCTAAAATTCCAGATCTGGCTTATGATGGAAGTCCTGGTGGGACTCACCGCTGAAAGGGAGAGCAGATGCAGGAAGACCTATGGCTTAGAACTGCTGGAACAGACACCAGTGAGGCCAGATGATGAGGTGTATGCCTCCATGAATACATGTGTGTGTTTTGAAGTTATTCTAACTACATAAACATTCCCTACCCCAGTATTACCTATTTACAGGCTTGTGAAAACAACATTGACATGAAATTTATACACCTGTAATCCCAGCAACTCTGGAGGCTAAACTTAGAAAGATCTTGTCCCAAATCTAGTATCATTTTTGTGAAGCTCTTGGCTTTCTTTTGGCCAAAACAAGAAAAGCATGTGACAAAAGGAAACCCTTCCCACATCTACTAAAACAGATCCAGTCGAGGTCAGTGAGCTTGCTACTAAACAAAGCCTACTGATACCACTTCCAACCTCATCCCTTCCCAGTAAGCTTCAATACAACACCCACCGTGCAGGAAAGGTAGATGCTTATTGACTTACTATATATGATACTTCTGGAAAGCCTTCCTTCAATTCATTATGTTTGACCCTCCCTTTCCTGCCTTACCAGAGGCTTTCCAATGATGGGACAGCCTTTGGGGAAAAGGCTAGAAATCTCAGCCCTCAGCCCATTGGTTTGATTCCCCTGATAAAACTAGAATGAGACTGCTGGGAAACACTGTCCTGTAACAGGGTAATATGCTCAGTTGGTGCCAAGAACCAGGTTTGTTTTATCTAGATTTTAAATATCAAAGTAATTTCCTGCAATGTTATTTTAAATAAACATCCCCAAAATAGAAAGAACAGGACTGGGATACAACTCAATTGGTAGAGTGCTTGCCTCATCTGCACAAGGCCCTGGGTTCAATCCCCAGCACCCCCCCAAAAATAAAATAAAATAAAAAGGAAATAGTTACAAACACTATAGCCCTCAAGCCTCAGGGAAGCTCCCAAATTCATCCCGAGAGAAGCTATTATCTGCCTGCATCTGGACAAGAAGGGGAGCTGGACACATGTCTCTTCCAAATTTCGGGCACTGCCAATGTGAGAATCTTATTAAGGCATGCACCTGTAATCCCGGCAACTCTGGAGGCTAAACTTAGAAAGACCTTGTCTCAAAATTTAAAAAAAAAAAGGATGTAGCTCAGAGTTAACACACACCTAGGTTCAATCCTCAGTATGTAAAAAAAAAAGTTGGGGCATTCAATAGGTGATTAGGCCATGAATTTACAAAGGGGCTTGCTGGAGGAAGTTTATTCCCTTCCACTTTTCACCATGTAAAGGACACAATGCTTCTCCTCCCTCCACAGCATTCAAGGTGCCACTATGCAAACAAGAGCATCCCTCATAAGACACCAAATCTGACAGTGCCTTTATTTTAGTCTCCAAAACTGTGAGAAAATAATTTCTATTCTATATAAATTACCCAGTCTCAGGTATTCTGTTATAGCAGCACAAACTAAAGCAGCTGTTCTATAAGAGAAAGGATAAAAAAACCCAGAATGTTCTAGAGATGAATGGTGGTGACAAAATACAACACTATTAATACACATAATGCCACTGAAGTATACATCTAAAAATGGTTAAAGTGGCTGGCTCTGGTGGCACATGCCTGAAATTCTAGCTACTTGGAAGGCTGGGGCAAGAGATCTTAAGTTTGAAACCAGTCTAGGCAATCCATTAAGACCCTGTTACAGCACACATTTGTAATCCTAGCTACAGAAGAAGATGAGGCAGTGGAAGCCCAAGTTTGAGGCCAGCCTCACAACTTAGCTAGACCCCTATCTCAAAATAAATTTAAAGAAAAAGCTGGATGTGGTGGTACACGCCTGTAAATTCAGGAGGCAGAGGGGGCGGATCACAAGTTCAAGGTCAGCCTTAGCAACTTAGCATGGCCATAAGCAACTCAGTGAGACCCTGTTTCAAAATAAAAGGGGCTGGGAATGTGAGACTCAGTGGTTAGGCTCTCCTGAATTCAATCCTTAATACAAAAAAAAAAAAAAGAAAGAAAGAAAAGTGCTGAGTACATACCTCAGTGGTAGAGCACTTCTGAGTTCAAGTCGCAGTACACCTCCCAAAAAAAGATAAAGTGATGGGATTGGAGGGTCCTACCTGCATTCTTTGATCACTTGGTGGATGTCAAACTCAAAGGCCGCCATCAAGATGTTGTCCAGGGGCTCTGGGCTGCTCTCACCTCCCAGAAACATGTCCAGGCTGGACTGTGGAAAGGTGATGACCCACTCAATCCCCAGCATGGAAGCAGAGATTTAGGGGAGCAGTCAGGACTGCTATACAGGGACCCCTGGAGAGGGATGATGGGTTCCTTCAAAAAGGGCTAAAAGAGCCTTCCTTATTCCTGGAAAAGTTCAACTCAAAGAAAATACACAAATAGACCCCAGGACTACTGCCCCCCATGAAGAGCTCACTCACCTGGGCATAGAAGTGCAGATCAATGGGTTTCACTGTGGGATGAGAGTACAGAAGCCGAGTGACTAGGAAATGGTACCAATTACTCAGAAGTTCCTTCTGCTCTAACAAGGCGGCCTCATCTCCCAGCATGATCTGAGGAGAGAAATTCCCTGAGCTCCACTTCCTCTAGGGGCAGCTTCTCTATGGTTTTGCTAATCTCAGTTGGGGCCCAAGCTTTCAACTAGAAGCCAAAAGTTCCTTCTTTCCCAGCATAGTGAGGGACAGCCTTGTCCAGGGAGCCAGCTTCTGCTGTGGCTCCAGGGGATGCCACAGCCCTAGGGAAGGCCATCAGGACCCAACCAAACTGCTTCCCCCAGACCTTGCAGAGAGACTCTAGGCGTGGGCTGGAGGCAAACGTGCCATCCTGCAGGTGCCGCTCACACTCCTCTCGCCAGTGCTGCCACTTCAGCTCCAGCTCAGTCAGTGTCTGAGTGTTGCCAGGCTAAGGGGAAAGACCGCATGAGATGCCAAACCACCAACCCTTTATATTTCAAGAAATCATTCCCAATCCCATGACCCAGCAAGCAAGGCTAGTTCCACATACACTGAGAATAGGCATTGTCCTCATCAGGTCCCCCAGGATTCGACACATGCCTGCAGAGGTGGGGCTGGCATCTGCCTCCTTGGACAGCATCTGTCGGGCCTCATCTAGCCGACCCTGAAGCACCAAGACGGTCACCTGCAAGAAGATGGCACAGGTCTGGTCCTGAGAGGTTTTACAACTCCTTGGGCAGTTCTCTGCTCCATGGATGACTTTTTCCTTTTTTCTAACCCTGAGCCACATCCCCAGCCCTTTTTTTAAAATTTTGAGACAGGGTCTCCTTAAATTGCTGGGGCTGGCCTCAAACATGGGATACTCATGTCTCAGACTCCTGAGTTGCTGGGATTACAGGTGTGTGCCACTGCATTCAGTTCCATGGATGGCCCCCTTCAGAATCCATTTATCACACGAGTCTCATAGTTTTACCCTGACCATTTTTATCAAATTGCCAGTTATTGCCTATTGGTAGTGCACACCTATAATCCCAGCTACACTGGAGTCTGAGGTAGGAGGATCTCAATTTCAAAGCCAGCCTAGGCAATATAGTCAAACCTCGTGCCAAAAATAAAATAAAAGGGCTGAAGAGATAGCTCAGTGGTACAGCACTTACCTAGCATGTGCAAGACCACAGGTTCAGTCCCCAATATCACCAAAAAAGGAAAGAAATTGCAATTCAAGTACATTTATGTACATACACATACAATATAGCAGGTCCTCTACTTGTGAATTAACATTCTCATTAAAATTTACTTACAACCCCCAAATCAATATTCAGGCACTTTCACCACCATTCAAATGACAAATGCAGTTGAGCCCAGTGGCACACTCCTGTAATCCCAGTGACCCAGGAGGCTAAGGCAGGAGCATCATAAATTCAAATTCAGCCTCAGCAACTTGGCAAGACTGTCTCAAAATAAAAAATAAAAAGGGCTGGGGATGTCAACTGCTTTTGTATGATCTTCCTGTGTTTTCTTCCTTAGATCCAAAAAGAACTCAAATCCCTTTCCACTAGAATATCTATGAAGCTTTTTTTTAAGCTCTGCCCTAAAGCAGGGAAGGAAAAAGTATCTCCATGATCAGACTTGGGGAGCCAGGCAGGAGCTGAGGACAACCTCAGAATCACTCAAAAAGCATCCAGGCAGCAGAATGCAAGGCGGGAGGAAGGGGAGGCCAGCACAAGGTCCTTACCAAGTTCCAAAAGCTCTCGTGTTTGCTTGGATTCTCACTGCCCAGAACGTCTGCTGACAAACTGTCCACTTCACACACATGGAGTCGGACCCAGTCGAGGAGATGGAGGAGGAGAGGGCCAGCTGGGAGGAGAGAGTCTCATCATGCACGAAAACTTCACTTCACCTGCAGCAAGTTCTACTTTACCCCAGGTATGGAGAATGTGAAAGCGGACAAGATGGCATTCCAAGAGGGGCTCATCCCTCCTAAACAGGCACACATGGTGCTGCACCAAGTGCTATGCTAGGAAAAATCAAGTGGAACTTTTACAAAATCCTCCCTGTGCCAGTCAGCTTCATCTTTCACTGAATACTGGAAAGGGTTGAAGCTGGGATGCAGACCTCATCACCCCTAGCCAGATTATTCACAAAAATCTAATGGCTATGTGGTTAATGGCCATTTAGGGACTAGTACTGACTAGATGTTACATGCAGTGATGTGAAACTGCAATCTGCTCAAAATCTACTAGAGAAAGTAGGTATCTGACCAACTAATTTAACTTTCAGGTTGCTCAGTGCTTCAGCAGTAGAATGAATGAACTGCTATACTGCACAGAGGTCAATACTCATGTATGGATACTAGCAAACAAAACCATTTCAAGAAATTAAAAACAGTCAAGTGCAGTGGCACACACCTGTAGTTCCAGTGGCTTTGGAGGCTGAGGCAGGAGGATCGTGAATTCAAAGCCAGCCTCAGGGCTGGGGATATAGCTCAGTGGGTAGAGTGCTTGTCTCAATCCCTAACACTACCAAAAAAAAAAAAAAGGCAGCCTCAGCAAAAAACAAGGTGTTAAGCAACTCAGTGAGATTCTGTCTCTAAATAAAATACAAAATAGGGCTGGGGATGTAGCTCAGTGGTCAAGTGCCCCTGAGTTCAATCCCAAGTATCTCTCCGCCCCCCCCCACACACACACACACAAAAAGCCTACCACACTTCCACAGAGTACACATTCAAGCCAGGACACTATATGACATAATTCAAGATCAACAAAATAGGGCTGTAGATATAGCTCAATGGTAGAGTGCTTGTCTATCATGTGTGAGGCTCTGGGTTCAACTTCCAGCATATACAAAAAAGAAAAGGAAAAAAAAAAAAAACCCAAACAGAATAATCCCACCTAGACATGGATCAGATATAGGGTTGCCCTGACCCAATCATTAGCTATCAAATTCTCAAAGCAACTTTTAACTCTCACCACCTAACTCCTCTTCACATCTTTTTTTTTTTTTAATATTTATTCTTAAGTTTTAGATGTACACAGTATCCTTATTTTACATTTATGTGGTGCCAAGGCTCGAACCCAGTGCCTCGTGCATGTCAGGCGAGCACTCTACCACTGAGCCACACCCCAGCCCCCTCTTCACATCTTTAAAACTTTAAGCTTCACCTATCCATAACATAAATACTAACCACTACTCTCTGCACAACTTGAATATTTGTTTACTAAGTACTTGGGTGTTGGGGAACACCAGGGATTGAACTCAGGGGTGCTCTACCAATGAACTACATCTCCATCTCCAGTCATTTCATTTTTATTTTGAATCCAGGACTCACTAAGGTACCAGGCTAACCTCGAAATTGCAATCCTTCTGCCTCAGCCTCTGAAATGGCTAGAATCACAGGTGTTCACCACTGTACCCTGCCTGTTTGAGGGAAGGTGCTCCATATGACTGTTTTTTGCACATCTAACAAAATGACACATTTCTTGGGGTGTCTTATAATGACTTCTGATGGCTATTATGAAGAACACTGGAAAAAAACATTCCTAGCAGCAAAACATACTGATTCATAGGAAAGATGAGGGATGATCAGTGGAGGGCAGGGAGCTCTCTAATATGATAGGATTATTCCAGGCTCACCTGGGGCCACTTCAATAAAAAGAATCTCACACAGGTTCCATATGAGCTCCATTGCTGACAAAATGGAGACCTTAGGAAGAAACAGAAACAGGTTTTAATATTCCTCAGGTTTGTTCTCAGAAGAAAGAAAGAAGGGCTTGAATCCCATGAGGGTCCCTCACTAACCTAACAACTACTGGCATGTCTATGGCAGTATTTCCACAGGGCATTCCATATCAAAATTTTCAGTGATGATATTATTATTTTTTTAATTGAACTCAGGAGCACTCAACCACTGAGCCACATCCCCAGCCCTATTTTGTATTTTATTTAGAGACAGGGTCTCACTGAGCTGTTAGTCCCTCGCCATTGCTGAGGCTGGCTTTGAACTTGAGATCCTCCTGTCTCAGCCTCCCCAGCCACTGGGATTACAGGCGTGCACCACTGAGCCACGTGGTGGGGATATTATTTTAATGGTTGTGATTTTATTTTAATGTTCATTAGACAAATAAAACCAGCACATCATACTGATACTATTGAATTGTGACTTAGGAAGTGGTAGTATTTAAGTAAAAACGGAGAGACAATATTTAAAAAAGACTAAATAATAAAAATATACATTAGGCAAAAACTGTGAAGTTGGTATTTCAATGACTCAATTTTAAGAAATAGTGTACTAAAGGCAAATCTTAGGCTAGGGTGCAGCTCAGAGGTAAAGCATGTGCTGAGCATATACAAGGCTGAGTTGAATCACAAAACCGAAAAAAAAAGTGGGCATCAGGGTGTGGTGGTACACGCCTCTAATTCCAGTTACTTGGGAAGCTGAGGCAGGACGTTCACAAGATGTAAGCCAAAATGGGCAACTCAGTGAAACCCTGTCTCAAGACAAAATATAAAAACAGTAGGCGATATAGTTCAGTTGTAAAGCACCCCTGGGGTCATTTCCTAATACCAAAACAATAAAGCCCCACACAATACCTAAAAATAAATCAGACTTGGACCCTGCCCTTAAGAATACACAGGCTCAGGCTGGGGTTGTGGCTCAGCAGCAGAGCACTCACCTAGCATGTGCGAGGCCCTGGGTTTGATCCTCAGCACCACACAAAAATAAATAAATAAAGTGAAGGTATTGTGTCCAACTACAACTAAAATATATATATGAAATTAAAAAGAAAAGAATACACAGGCTCCTCTTCTCTACCACTCTTCCATCCAGATACCATCATCCCTTGTTCATAAGAGGAAAATAAACACTTTGTAGACGAGAGATAGGACACTTTTCCCTACTGACTACTGAATTTAAAAAATACCAAGAGTTGGGCTGGGGATGTGGCTCAAGAGGTAGCGCGCTCGCCTGGCATGCGTGCAGCCCAGGTTCGATCCTCAGCACCACATACAAACAAAGATGTTGGGTCCACCGAAAACTAAAAAATAAATATTAAAAAATTCTCTCTCTCTCTCTGTCTCTCTCTCTTTAAAAAATAAAAAATAAAAAATACCAAGAGTCTACCAAAGAAAGAAGATTTCGGCAAGTCATCTTCCAGCTCTAACTAAAGCATAACCATTTGCCACTTAGCAAAAATTCTGAGTTCGTGATTTGTTTTTATGATAATACGCACTGGTTCTGAACATACAACTATCCGTCTCAAGTGACAACTCATATACACTGTGTGTTTAGGATTTACAGTTCTTTGAAAACTCATATGGTATTTATCAAGGTGATCCTTGTGTTCCAATGTGCTAGACCTTGAAGGATGTCTAGCAGGATCTCTGTCGCCCCAAGTGGCTGCCCGTAGACCTGGAAAGAAAGGGTTCCACCCTAACAGTGACTGTAGAGCTATCCTAAGTGGGTCCTAGGACACAAATAGATAGTAGTGCCAATACGATAGGCAGCTCCCCCTTACCTGGCTGCTGAACTGGCGACCACTGGCTGGATCCTTTGCAGCAACTAACAAAACACAAAACATTTTAAACAAGCTATGGAAGTGAAATGTTATGCTATGGAAATGTTATTCCCATTGTTCTAACTTCATATGTCAGTTCTATAGCATGTGCCTTTGTTTCTCTTAATGACCATCATTTTCTAGATATTTTTTGGTACTAAAAATTGAACCCAGGGGTACTTTACCACCGAGCTACATCCCTACTCCTTGTTTATTTTTTATTTTGAGAGAGGGTTTCACTAATTCCTGAGGGCCTCACTAAAGTGCTGAGATTGCCCAGAATTATAGGCATGTGCCACTGTGTTCAGTTCTACATGTTTTTTGATGTCTCATATCCCTTTGTTGTACTTCAATGCCTCTCAAACAAAACTACTCAGGCTATAAACAGCACTTTCAACTATAATGCAGCCATCTTAAAGGCTTCTGATTCCAGTTGTGGTGGCACGCACTATAGACAGAGTACTTGCCTAGCACGTACCAGGCCCTGGGTGCCATCCCTAGCACTACAAAAAAAAAAAAAAAAATCCTCTGTGTTACGATTTGGATGTGAGGTGTCCCCCAGAAGCTTACATGTGAAACAATGCAAGAAAGTTCAAGAAAAAAATATTTGGGGGGCTGGGGATGTGGCTCAAGTGGTAGCGCGCTCACCTAGCATGTGTGAGGCACTGGGTTCGATTCTCAGCACCACATAAAAACAAAATAAAGATATTGTGTTCACCTAAAAAACTAAAAAATAAATATTAATAATAATAATAATTGGGTTACAAGAGTCTTAACCCAATCAGTGAATTAATCACCCAATGGGATTGAGTGGTTAGGAAGGCAAGTAGGGTGTGGCTGGACGAGATGGGGCATTCGGGATGTGTTTTGGGGGTATATATTTGTATCTGGCAGGTGGAGATCTCTCTTTGCTTTCTGATGAGCATGAGAGCTGCTTCCCTCCACCATACTATTCCACCATGTTGTTCTGCCTCACCTCAAGCCCTGAGGAATAAAGCCAGCTATCAGTGAACTGAGACCTCTGAAACCATGGGCCCTCAAGTAAACTTTTCCTCCTTTACAATTGCCCTGGTTGGGTCTTTCAGTTACAGCAGCAAAAAAGGTGACTAAAACACCCTGAAAAAGACTTTGTGTTATATAAAACTGAAGACTCATCCAATTGGGTGTGGTGTCACATGCCTAAAATCCTAGCATCTTGGGAGTCTGAGGCAGGAGGATTGCATGTTTGAGGTTAGCATCAGAAATTTAGCAAGACTCTGTCTCAAAATAAAAAATAAAATGCAGGTACAGTTACAATATAACTCAAAGAGTTTTATAGTAGTTTCCCCTTCTTAAAGCATTTGAAATATTACTATCTGTCTAGTTCCATTCCATAAGACAGAGGTTCTTGATATCAAATTTCTCCTTGAGTATTACCATGAAAATTGTGTTACCTACTTGTGTGACATTATGGTTTTTTCCAAGGAAAAATAAATAAAACTTTAAACAATTAAAATTTTAAAAAGGCCTGGGGATGTTGCTCAGTGGTTAGGTGCCCCTGGGAAAACAAACACTGATCCTGGTACCAATGAATCATGTAACTCTCATGGTTATGGTGACTTTAAATAAACAAGGTCAGAGAACTGGGAACGTAATTTTCAGAGAGGCTTAATTTTGTTTATTAGCCTGCCACCTTCAATAAGTAATTCACTGTCAATATGTTATAATTTGAAAAACATACTTTAGATTATTATCAAAAATTTAGGGATTAGCCGGGCCTGGTGGAGCAAGCCTGTAATCCTGGTGGCTGGGAGGCTTAGGCAGCAGGATCATGAGTTCAAAGCCAACTTCAGCAATGGCGAGGTGCTAAGCAACCAGTGAGACCCTATCTCTAAATAAAATACAAAATAGGGCTGCGGATGTGGCTCAGTAGTTGAGTGCCCCTGAGTTCAATCTGCAGTACCCAAAAAAAAAAAAAAAAAAATTAGGGATTGTGGTCTGGGGTTGTGGCTCAGCAGTAAAGTGCTTGCCTAGCACGTGTGAGGCACTAGGTTCGATTCTCAGCACCACATAAAAATAAATAAATAAAATAAAGGTATTATGCCCAACTACAACTAAAAAATCTTTTTTTTAAATTAGGAATTGTGTAAAATTGGAAAGAATTTGAAAATACGTCAGACTTTACTGTTTAGTATTTGTAGCCAAATAGATACCATGAATATGACCACACACATACACAACAAAATTCTTACTTGCAAATTGGTGCATTTCCTCCATACAGGCTCTTATGACTGATCGATAGTTTTTACTCACTCGAACCAATCTACAAAAAAATGAAATGACATATACAAGATGAGCTTGGAACATCTCATGATATCAGAAAGGGAACACTCAAATCACAAAGGAATTTGCTGAAAAAAAAAAAAAGTGGGGGGCATCAGCCAACCTGAAAGAGATTCACATGCTCCAAAGCTGGAACAATATGAATGACAAAATAAATAATTATGATAGAGGGGCTGGGGTTGTGGCTCAGTAGCAGAGCATTTGCCTAGCATGTGTGAGGCACTGGGTTCAATTCTCAGCACCACATATAAATAAATAAAGGTCTATTGACAACTAAAAAATATTTTTAAAATATTAATTATTAGGGTCTGGGGCTCAGTGGCAGAGCGCTTGCCTTGCATGTGTGAGGCACAGGGTTCAATCCTCAGGAACCCATAAAAATAAACAAAATAAAGACACTGTGTCCATGTATAACTAAAGAAAACAAATTTTTTAAAATAATAATTATTATTGTTATATAATCAGGATAAAACAAACATGAGGTTACACTAATGTTTATCACTGCAGATGATTTTAGGTGTTTTTGTTTTTGTACTGGGGATTAAACACAGGGGTGCTTTACCACTGACCCTCATCCTCAGCCCTTTTTATATTTTATTTTTAGACAAAGTCACACTAAGTTTCTTAAGGCCTCCTTAAATTACTGAGGCTATCCTGGAACAATTGCAAATCCTCCTGCCTCAGCCTCCCAAGTCTCTGAGATTACAGGAGGCACAATTGCACCTGGATATATTACTGCAGATGAGACACATTGATGGACACAAAAATTAGTGGGTGAAAAATATGAGGAGAAATAGGGGCCGGGGATGTGGCTCAAGCGGTAGCGCGCTCGCCTGGCATGCTTGCGGCCCAGGTTCGATCCTCAGCACCATATACAAAAACAAAGATGTTGTGTCTGCCGAAAACTAAAAAATAAATATTGAAAAATTCATTCTCTCTCTCTCTCTCTCTCTTTAAAAAAAAAAAAAAAGAAAGAAAAATATGAGGAGAAATAGGATTTATACAGTCTCAAACTTTCGCCCCTAATACACACACACACACACACACACACACACAAACACATATTAGCAGCAAGGGAAAAATGGAACTTGACAGCAGAGAAGCCCAACAGAAACCACATAATCAAGGTCAGCATCCTCAGTAATGAAACATCAGTATCATGAACCTGTGTGTAAAGACATATCTCCACTTCTGTGTTCTTCTTGGTAACAAATGCTATACATGCTTTGTCAATTAGGAGAAAACATCTGACAAAGCCAAACAGTCATCAATATTCTTCAAAAGTATGAAGGTCAAGAAAGAGACTAAGAAAAACACACACAAACTCACGGGCAAAATTATAATCTGTTATATTTTTAGTTGTAGAGGGACACATTACCTTTATTTTATTTATTTATTTTTATGTGGTGCTGAGGATTGAACCTAGTGCTTCACACATGCTAGGTAAGTGCTCCACGGCCAAGCCAGAATCCCAGCCCTCAAAATAAAATTTTTTTAAAAAGCTGGGGAGCCAGGCATGGTAGTGCATGTATGTAATCCCAGCAGCTCAGGAGGCTAAGACAGGAGGATTGAGAGTTCAAAGCCATCCTCAGCAACAGTGAGGAACTAAGCAACTCAGTGACACCCTGTCTCTAATCAAATACAAAATTGGGCTGTGGGGGCTGGGGTTGTAGCTCAATGGTAGAGTGCTCTCCTAGCACCAGTGAAGCACTGGGTTCAATCTTCAGTGCCACATAAAAGCGGGGGGTGGAGAGCTGGGTACAGTGACACATGCCTATAATGTCAGTGAATCAGGAGGCTAATGAGGGCCTCAACAACTTAACAAGACCCTGTCTTAAGATTTAAAAAAGTTTTAAAAAGGACTAGGGATGCACTGCAGTGGTAAAACACTCTAGGGTTCAATCCCCAATGCCTCCGAGAAATAATAATAAAGAATAAGACTTGGGGCTGGGATTGTGGCTCAGTGGTAGAGCGCTCACCTAGCACGAGTGAAGCCCTGGATTTGATCCTCAGCACCACATAAAAATAAATAAATAAAATAAAGATATTGTGTCCAACTACAACTGAAAAATAAATATTTTTTAAACTTTTTAGTTTGATTCCATCACATTTATTGATTCTCTTTATTTTATTATTATTTTGTGTGTGTGTGTGTGAGAGAGAGAGAGAGAGCGAGAGAGAGAATTTTAATATTTATTTTTTTTAGTTTTCGGCAGACACAACATGTTTATTTGTACGTGATGCTGAGGATCGAACCCAGGCCGCATGCACGCCAGGCGAGTGCGCTACCACTTGAGCCACATCCCCAGCCCTGAAAAATAAATATTAAAAAAAAAAAAAGAAGAAGAAGAAGATTTTAAAAGAGCTGTGTATGTAACTCAGTGTTAGAGCACTAGCCTAGCATGTGTGAGGTCCTAGGTGCAATCACCAGTACCATCCACATACAAAACAAAAATAGTACCTGTATTCTGCAAATGGTCTATACAGAGTAAAATAATTTCCCAATTATCTTCCCAATCCTCACTATTGCCCATTTTATAGTAAAGAGTATAAAGACTCAGGGGGCTGGGGATGGAGCTTGGTGGTACAGTGCTTGCTTAGCATACATAAGGCACTAGGTTTCATCTCCACCACAGAAGGAAGGAAGGAAAAGAAGAAAGGCAGACAAACAGACTCAGTAAAGGCTCAGACAAGACTAATTTACCTAGCCAAACAACAAGGTAATGGGCAAGCCCCTGTGAACAAAACTAACTTCTCACAATTAGAACATTCACATATATATTCGTTCATTGAACATACTATACAAAACACCAACTGTACTGACACACTGGAGATGAAGGAACAGATAATCCACAGAAGTTAAGACAAGGTCCCCTGCCATCAAGGACTTACAGGACTTTTAATATTTTTTCCTAGAAATAGTAACAGATTTCTCTGAATCATCATATTCCATATTACAGCCTCTTAAACCGGTGATATTTTCCCCTGCCACACATACACACAATTGATAAGGGTATTGCCCAGAATGACTCATTTGTGAAAAGCTTAGCTAGGAAGTAAGATACAAAAAATGCCCGTGCCCTAAGAATATGACCAGACATAATAAAAATCTAACACAGAAGTTCTCAAACTCCGGTGTGCTTAAGAATCACCTGGAGATTTTCAGAAACAACCCCAAAGATTTTCATTTTGATGATCTGAGGTGGGACCCAGAATTTGCAGTTAACAAGTTAACACCCTGATATTGAGAGAGTTAAGCCTTGAAACATGTTAAAAAATTCTTAATCTTGGAAAACAATAGTTTTCTTGTCTCAAATGTTAAGAAAAGTCTCAAAAGTAAAGACTAAACAAAGTAGGCGTGATGGTACATACCTACAATTCCAGCAACACTAGGAAGGCTGAGGCAGGACCATCACAAGGTCAGTCTGGCAAACTTAGTGAGACTGTCTCAATATAAAAATGTCTGGGGACAGAGCTCAGTGGTAGAGTATTACTTGCCTAGCACGTGTAAGGCCCTTGGTTTGACCCCCAGTAATGAAAAAAAAAAAAAAAAAAAAAAAACCCTGCCATTTGGATAACAAATCTTAAAACAACAGGACCTCATTCAATAATTCTCAAGGGCTGATTTGGCCCAACTGCCTTCTTTGGAGGGTAAATGAAGTGGGAATACAAACAGCAAAAGCATAGCAACTCAGAGTCAACCAACAGCATATGAACATTTCCTGTGAGACCTGTATTCTAGTGTATGGGGAGGCCATACACCAGAACCAGGAGTCACTCCTTTCTTTAGGCATCCCTTTCATCACTCAAAAGGATAAGAATGCATTTCATATGGCTTTTCACAATAAAGCTATAAACTTCAGCAGCCTACTTACTGAGCTTTTCTGGACTTTCCAGTCAATTCTTCTTCAATTCTCTGGAGACCCACAAAGATTCCATGGGATTCATTAAAGAGTTTTCTCAAAATTTGAGAGTAAACATCTACATCTTTCCGGATGATATAGATAAAGGGACAGTTTGGGGCTGTCTCTGATTTTTCTGGGGGAAAAAAAAAAAAAAACAGGAAAAAACATTAACATCATTACCACCTCCAAAAGAGAATCCATCCTAAAAATTTGAATTGAGTATTTAATTATAAATTAGCTTCTGTGCTACTGATTTCATTTATAAAAACTAAAGTGTGGGCTGGGGATGTGGCTCAAGTGGTAGCGTGCTCGCCTGGCATGCGTGCGGTCCAGGTTCGATCCTCAGCACCACATACAAACAAAGACGTTGTGTCTGCCGAGAACTAAAAAATAAATATTAAAAAATTCAAAAAAAAAAAAAAATTCTCTCTCTCTCTCTCTCTCTCGGGGTGTAGCTCAGTATTAGAATACTCACCTAGCATGTGTGGCTGTGGTTTTAATCTCCAACATTGGAAAACAACCAATGAAGCAAAATAAATAAAGTAATATGGATTACCATTTATAAATCATTCAGATATACAATCATACAAAGGGCTGTGGATATAGCTCAGTGGTAGAGCACTTGTCTACCATGTGTAAGGCCCTAGATTCAATTCCAGTACCATATAAGAAAGACTGGGGATGTAGCTCAATGGTAGAGCACTTGCCTAGCATGTGTAAGGGCCTGGGTTCGATTCCCAACATCACCGAAAAAAAAAAGCGTAGCAGGAAAAAAAGATCAGGGGCTGGAGTTGTGGCACGTGGTAGAGCACTTGCCTGGCATGTGCGAGGCCCTGGGTTTGATCCTCAGCACTTCACATAAATAAATAAATTAAATAAAAGACCCATTTACAACTAAAAAAATAAATAAATAATTTTAAAAAGATCCATGACCAGTCACTGACAGAAATTAGGAAAACCAAGCCAAGGATAAGCCATCTGCACCTCTTCTGCTGTGGATATAAACCACCATTTCTACAAAACCATCATTCAGTTCACACTGTGAATGCAAAAGTGATGGCCACAGGACCTAAGTTTCACAACAAGGGGACTTATATTTGCAAGGCCTTGGGTTTGACCCCCAGCACAAGATAGGAAAGAAAGGAAACGGAAAGGAAAAGGGGAAAAGAACAGTTGAGGTTTTAAAACATCAAGGAAATCCTTTCTGAGCTGGTGCATACTTGTAAGCCTATAATCTAAGCCTGTGACTAAGGAGGCTCAGGCAGGGTAAGTTCAAAGCCAGACTCAGTGAATTAGCTAAGTCATAAGCAACTCAGACCCTCTCTCTGAATAAAATCAAAACAGGGTTGGGGATGTGGTAGAGCACCCTGGGTTCAATCCCCAGTCCAAAAAAAAAACACCAACTTTCCCATAAAACAAGGAGACTTTTTTTTCCCTTGGACTTAACATCTTCCAGGTCTCATAAATCAATTAGTTTTAAAATGAAAATGGTGCAAAATAAGCACAATCGTTTCATGTCTCTGCTAGTCAAACATGAAAGAAAAACAACCAAATATGCCAAGAAAATCTAGTAGGAAAAAATGACTACCTTTTTTGTTGAAGGAGGTTTCGCACACCAACATCTCCCCAGGACCCCAGTCAAAACACATTTGCTTCTTCTTGGAATTCATACCTGGAATCAACTAGAGAAAAATAAGAGTAGAAAATGTTACTCCTACTGAAGGCTTTGCTTTTCAATTGATTTTTAAGTACAATCCTAGAAATCAGTGGTTATGAAAATTATGAAGTGTTAATCCACATGCCCAGCTTCAGGGACCACTGAGTCCCCGAACCTTGCTGGGCACCTCAACCCTGCCTGCCAAGCTATACACCAACTTGGTTTCTCCCCCATGCCCCCCCTACTGGAGTCAGTCATGCTCATGTAAGCTATTTCACCTACTCTTTTTAATTTGAGACAGGGTTTCAAGAAATTGCCCAGACTGGTCTCAAATCTGCCATCCTCCTGCCTCAGCCACTTCAGCAACTGGGAATACAGGCCTGCATCACTGTGTCCAGTTCACCCTCATCAACTCTTACTCTGTAATTAGCAATCTATGGTTTGGAAAAAGGAGTTCAAAAAATAAAAGGTCAGAAGCTGTGGCAAATGCCTATAATCTTAAGTACTCAGGAGGCTGAGGTAGAAGAATGGAAAGTCAAAGGCCCTGGGCAACTTAGTGAGACCCTGTGTCAAATCATTTAAAAATGAAGGGTTTTGTTTGTTTTTGGTGGGGGGTGAGGGGGAGTACTAGGGATTTAACCCAGAGCCTTGCACTTGCTAGGCAAGCCCTTAACCAGTGAGCTACATCCTCAGCCCTCAAATAAAATTTTTTGAAAGGTTAGGTGGGGCTTGGGGGTATAGCTCAGTGGTAAAGCACTTGCCTATCATGTTTAAGGCCCTGGTTTCAATCCCCAATAGCACAAAAATGATAAAAATGAAAAATAAGTAAATAACTGAACTGTTACTTAAAAAAAAAAAAAGAAAGAAAGAAACTTCCAATCCTATAGCTTCTGTGCCATCTCTGTAATGGTGATTTTCCCCCCCTCAGGCCAATCCCTTTGAGTGTCAGCTTCACACATGCAACTGCCTAATCCAAAAATTAATCTATAGAGCTATATCTATAACCAAAAGCGAAAAAGTAAATCTTTAAAAATTGTTTTTTAGTCATAGATGAACACAATGCCTTTATTTTACTTATTTTTATGTGGTATTCAAGATGAAACCCAGTGCCTCACACATGCTAAGCAAATGCTCTACCACTGAGCTACAACCCCAGCCCCAAAAGTAAACATATATAAGATGGGGGTCTTGCTGTTGCCCAGGTAGGTCTTGAACTTCTGGACTCAAGCAATTCTTCCACCTCAGCCTCTCCAACAGCTGGGACCACAGGTGTGTGCCACCATGCCCAGAATAAAAAAAAAAAAAAAAAAGGATCCCGTGATGTCCATCCTTAGCCCAGAACCTTTTTCCATACTCACAAATGAACAGTCTTCCCACTTATTAGAAATAATCTGTGCTTCTTCTCTTTCCCTCAGCACCAAAATCCAATCCACCAATGACTCCAGTTCTAACCACTTACCACCTCTATCTGTATAACCCAAGCTCTCATGAACTCTCCTCTGAACACTGCATCTCTGTCAGCATCCAAATGACTCTCTTACATGGTTATTATCTGTCCTGTAAGTAGACAAAAGCTCACAGGATCAGGGGACTCTAGGATCCTCATTCACTGCCTAAAAGAGACTGGTACAGATGGCATACCATAAATATTTTTGACAATGAATTTTGACTGCCAATAGTCTAGTCTTGATACAAGTATATTCAGTTCTTAGGAAGTTCTAATGCAGCCAAACAAAGCAAGAAGAGGCTGGGAGTAGTCGTGCACACCTATAATCCCAATTTAGGAGGCTGAGGCAAGAGGATCATAAGTTGGAGGCCAGCCTCAGTAACCCAGTGAGACCATCAGTGACCTGGAAAGATCTGTCTCAAAATAAAAATGTGGGAGCTGGGATTGTGGCTCAGCAGTAAAACGCTCATCTAGCTCATGTGAAACCCTGGTTTCGATCCTCAGCACTACATAAAATAAATAAATAAAACAAAATAAAGGTATTGTGTCCAACTACTTCTAAAAAATAAATATTTTTTTAAAATGTGGGGGCTGGAGATACAGTTCAGTTGGTAGAGTGCTTGCCTGGCATGCACAAGGCCTGGGTTCAATCTCCAGTACCATAAATAAATAAATGAATAAAAATGTGGCTCAGTGGTAAAGCACCCACGGGTTTTACCAGACTCAGTGGTTTAAAAAAAAAAAAAAAAAAGACTTCACAATATACACAAAAATGAACTAAAGCCTTTTGGGGGTGGGGGGAGTCTAGCTTAGTGATAGAATGCCTGCTTGTATGCACAAAGTCCTGGGTTCAATTCCCCAGCACCAAAACAGAAATTAACAAATAATTAGATCATAGACACAATGTAGAAAAGTATCTGTAAAACTTAAAGGCCAGGCACAGGGGCACCCTCCTGTAATTCCACCTACTTGGGAAGCTGAGGCAGAATTTTAATTATGAGGCATGTTTGGACAACTTAGTGAAATCCTTGTCTCAAAAGAGCCAGGCAAGGTCACAAGCACCTGTGATCCCAGCAGCTCGGGAGGCTGAGGCCGGAGGATCACAAATTCTAAGCCAGCCTCAGCAACTTTGCCATGCCCTAAGCAACTTAGCAGACCCTGTCTCAAAATAAAATACAAAAAGAGATGTGACTCAGAAGTTTAGCGCCCCTGCGTTCACTCCCCAGTACCAAAAAAATAAAATAAAATAGAACTTTTGAAAAGCTACAGTGAGCAGATATTTGACCTAGTCAAGGAGGTTAAGATAGGCTGCTGGAGCTTCCATTTGAAAAATGAGCAGCAAATAAAGCAGGGAAGAAACTAGCATTGCAGGAGTCGGAAATGGAAGGCATCTCCTACCTAAAGCTCAGGAATTTCTTTATTACAGATCATACACACTTGACATACTCTCTTGAGAGTTCAAGCGGAACTGAATAAAAACAGTCTTGCAAGAGAATAAATACGTTTCATAACCGTAGAACCCGCACAGCACCATAGGTGAAAGGCAAGTTCACGGCGCTGTGATGTGGAGCCTAGTTTGGCTGGAAAGTTTAAAGCCCCGGGTCCTCTGCTTGATCTGAGCTCGCTGGAATGCCCTCGAGGATACCAAGAAAATAGGTCGGAAAGATAAGGGAACAAGAGGCCTCCAGGCCGAGGCTTGTGAGTATACCAAGGCGCCCAAAGGCAGTGACCACTACCACCCGACCCTCTCCCTAATCAACGCAGGCCGCCTCCGCTCAGGACACTTGAGTCCAGGAGGCGGGCTGCGCCCGGCGGGGAGGTAGGCCAGCCTCAAGTGACAACGCAGACGCAGTCCTCGTGCCGAGCAAGCGAGCCCGTTCCGGGCGCTCTTACAGTGACTGTCGGCTCGCCGTCCAGCTCCTCCATGGTGCCACCTGGACCTCGCGGAGCCGCCAGCGCTGCCCGTTCCAGACTCCCGCTCAGAGCCGCCTGCGAGAGAGGACCCCGCCCGGGCGCCCCCTGCGACGCCTGCAGGCCGGGCGCGCCGGCGCTGCAGAGGCCTTTCGTCTCAGCCACGACCCGCTCCTTAGCGGCTTTCTAGGCGTCTTTCCTTCCCGGTCGCGACAGCTCGCCAAGAAAAACGGCGCCAGAGACCGCCAGTCCTCGCCGGAACGTTCTCGGCGGGTCAGGCGGCGCCGCGGACAGCCCCGCGCCGAGCAGCGGAAGGCCCCGGGGGCGGCGGGGCGCGTGTGGGTTAGCGCAGCCCGGCGGAGTCTCGGCCGTAGGTGTCCGCGGCTGCCTGGGCTCGCTGGGTCCTGGTCTGGGGCGTTAATCTCGTCGAAGCCGCTTCTTCAAACTCGGATCATGTAGCGGGGTTTGTGTTCAAAGGCAGCCGCCGCCACTCCCGCCTCAAAACGCAGGACGCACGCGGCCCAAATCGAGGCAGCTGGGCTTGCTGAATTAAACACCAAGACTGGTGTGGTTCCCTCTCCGTGGAGAAGCAGGCAAAGCTTGAAGTCGGGGAACCCTGGCGAATTGTGCAAAATTCGAAAGTTCCCAAAAACTTCAAGGAGTTAAATTTCTATTTTTTGAATAGTATGTAACACATCAAGCAAGAATAGTTCTGATTCTAAACTTCCAAACGACCCAACTTTAGTTAATTAGTGATTTAAAAGTAATTCTTAAGAAACAATACCAGAAAATGTAACAGCTTTTATTTCAGAACAAAATTTGGCCCCTGAAAACAAGACAAATGTATCCATGTTTTACCTGTGGGAACGTTTCCTTTCCCTGAGATTTTTCCAAATGACCTATAGGAATTGGCGAAAAGGAAATTAGTCAGAATGGATTAGTAAAATCCTGTCATTCTATAAAGAATTTGTTCATGTAGCTGGGCACAGTGGCTCTCACCTGTTAATTCCAACAATTTGGGAGGTTGAGACAGAAGGATCACCAGTTTGAGGCCAGCCTCAACAATTTAGCAAGAAACTTTCAAGGTGAAAAATAAAAAGGGCTGGGATGTAACTTGGTGGTTCAATCCCCAGTACCAAAAATTATAAATAAAAAATTCGTCCTTTTAAAACATAAATATGCCCGGCGTGTAGCGCTCACCTGTAATTCCAGAGCCTTGAAAATGACGGTTTGCCTTTGCTGAGGCAGGAGGATCCCAAGTTCAAAGCCAATAAGACCCTGTCTCTAAATTTGAAAAAAAAGGGCTGGAGGTGTGGCTCAGTGATTGAGGGCCCCTGAATTCAATCCCCGGAATGCCCCCGCCCCCCCCCCAAAAAAAAAAAAGTCCAAAGGCACGCCTGTAATCCCAGTGGCTGGGGAGGCAAGAGAATATTGAGTTCAAAGCCAACCTCAGCAAAAGGGCTGAGTCAGGACGATCTTGAGTTCCATGTCAACCTCAGCAACTTAGGCCCTAAGCAACCCAGGGAGACCCTGAATCTAAATAAAATATATATGAAAGGGCTGGGGATGTTGCTCAGTGGTTAGGCATCTCTAGGTTCAATCCCCTGTATCCCCCCCCCCCCGAAAAAATTAATTTTCTCTTCCCTTTCCTCCACCAGTGACTCCTTTCCCTCTCCTTCCCCCCACCCCTGGAATGGTTGGTTTAACTCTTAGATTGTATCTAATTTGGGAGAGTCTTCATTTATGCAAGCAATATAAACTCTTAGTAACACAAAAAAGAGAAAAATATTTCTGGAACCAAATAAAAATTACTTATAACAATACCTATTGCACAAGAGTCAAACCCAAAAATCACTTTTAAGTCATTCCAAGCTTAGAATCTGTCTCAGATCAAACCACATTAACTGTGCAAAATGTAGCTTGTGTAAAGTGCTAAGTAGATGTATTTTAATAAATCCTAATAAAAATAATGCTTCCTAATTCGCAGAAAAATAAATATATAACCATTTCAAGAGATAATTTAAACCAGATGTGGTAATGCAGGCCTGTAACCTCAGCTTTTTGTAAGACTGAGACAGAAGGATCTCAAGTTCAAGGCTAGCCTGGGCAACTCAGGCCTTAAGCAATTTATTGAGACCCTGTCTCAAAATAAAATTTAGGGGCTGTGGTTGTAGCCCAGTGGTAGAGTGCTTGTCTAACATGTGTGAGGCACTGGGTTCAGCCCTCAAAATAAATAAATGTATGTGTCCATCTATAACTAGATAAAAATCTTAGTTTTGGGGGGATATAGTTCAGTTGTAAAGCACTCTGGGTTAAATCTCCAGTACAAAAAATAAATAAATAATTTAAATAGAAATGAGTGGGGGGGGACCTGATTTTATATATATATATATATTCTGTCTCTAGTAATAGACATATATGTTAATATTTATATTACATATGAACAAAACATGTGTGTATATATATATATATATATTTTATTTATTTTATTTTATTTTTTTACTTGAGACAAGGTATCCCTGAGTTGCTAAGTGCCTTGCTAAATTGCTGAGACTGGCTTTGAACTTGCGATCCTCCTATCTCAACCTCTTGAACCGCTGGGATTACAGGCATGTACCACTGAACCTAGCCACAGCCCTTTTTATATTTTATTTACAGACAGGTTCAAAATTGCTTAGGGCCTCACTAAATTGCTGAGACTAACCTCAAACTTGGGATCCTCCTGCCTCAGCCTCCCAAACTGCTGGGAATATAGGTATGTGCCACCATGACTGGCTCCTTTTTCTTTTATTTTGGGACAGAGATTTCAGTAAATTGCTAGGCTGGCCTTGAACTTACTATCCTCCTGCCTCAATTCTGAGTAGTGGGAATTTCAGGCATGTAATATCACACCCAGATATTTCTGTTTATTTATGAAACAAACCACTTTGAGTCACTTAGCTCATTCCCACTGCCCTGCTAGAATTCAGTAATGAACAGAAAAGTAGGATTGGAACATTAATAGAATAAGAATAACTTGAAATTGTCATACTGCCGTCTATGACCCACGCAGACAGCTAACTAAAGGTTGCTGGAGGGAAATTCCCAAGGCATCAGAATAAAACACAGACACACAATTTACCTTTAAATCAAGCCCCAAGACAGCTCCTCTGGCTTCAGCCTCAAGCTCCCCAAACGGGAGAGCAAGGAAACACACCAGAGGCTGGTGAGAGAGAGTGAGCACATTTCTGAGTGGACTTTTATTGGGGGGACTCTAGATTCTTTAGGAATTTCCATCCAATGAAGGTCATGGGGGCCAGGGTTACAAGGACAGGTGAGGTAACTCGATCTCTGAGGATGAGGGAAGGCATGCCCATGCACAAAGACAATTTGTGTTTTCTGGTCCCTAAAGATCAGGGCTCCTGTCTGGGTTACCTGGGCAACCAGATCACAGAGTGACCGACCAATCAGAAGGGGAGACAAACGCTGGTCATGTACTCAGTGGGCCTCCCACATCATAATAATGGAAAGGCTATATAACTGAAAGATATTTTGAAACCCTTACTTAGGCATTTTTGGTATTCTCATGAAGAGTACTAAAATTTACTACTACAGCCAGGTGTAGTGAAATCCCAGCGATTCAGGATGCTAAGGCAGAAGGATCACAAGTTGGAGGCCAGATTCAGCAACTTAGCAAGACCCTGCCTCAAAATAAAAATTAGCCAGGTGCCATGGCGCATGCCTGTATAACCAGCAGCTTGAGAGGCTGAGGCAGTAGGATTGCAAGTTCAAAGCCAGCCTCAGCAACAGTAAGACACTAAGCAACTCAGTGAGATGCTATCTCTAAATAAAATACAAAATAGAGCTGGAGATGTGGCTCAGTGGCCAAGTGCCCCTGAGTTCAATCCCTGGTATCCCCTAAAAAATAATTTTAAAAGACTGGGGGTGCAACTCAGTGGTAAACTACCCCCGGGTTCAAACCCCAGTACCAAAAAAACAAACAAACAAACAAACAAACAAAAAAACAATTACTACTGCATTGATAAATCAATGGTCAATGTATTCATCATTGGCTCCCAGGACTTTGTTATTTGCAGAAACTACAAAGATAAAAGGTGATGGTACCTATACACAAAAGATTTACAGGACTATTCTCTTAAGTTATGTTTGTTCAATATACATAGCAATGGTCAGGTAATATTAAGTATATTACGAATGTACACATTAACATTCAGTGAAATGGGACTGGGGATATAGCTCAGTGCTAGAACTAGCATCTGTGAGGCCCTGAGTTCAACCCCCAGCACCACACACACACACACACACACACACACACACACACAATCAATAAATGTATACTATGTGAACTGGGACAATATTTCCCTGTATTCTATATCCCAGTTGATGTATTTATTTACTTAGGCAGTACTGAGATTGAACCCAGTGACTCTCTACCACTCAGCTACATCCCCAGACGTTTTTATTTTTTTATTTTGAGAGGACAGTCTCCCTAAATTGCTCAGGCTGACCTTGAACTTGCAATCCTCCTGCCTCAGCCTCCCATGTAGCTGAGATTACAGGCATGTGCCAGTATACCTGGCTCTTGGGGTGATGGATTTACAGAGGTGTATATATAGGTTTTTGGCATTGATGACTGATAGAATTATGGGTCCCATCTCCATTCCATGATCCAAGCTAGAAAGTTGAAAGGTTTCTACAACATTTACCATTATGTCTCCAGATTTTCTGCAGATTTGAGGAATTCAGTATTCTGTATTCCTGCAGTATTCACAGAGAAAGCAAGGACTTAACTGTTAGAGCAAGAAGGAAACAACATTTAAGTATGCACAGTTTAGTCATCTGTATCATAAATTTACATGCTTCTAATGCATTTCAGCAAGGATTTATTTTATTAATTTTTTTGTTTGTTTTTGTGGTGCTAGTGTTTGAACCCAGAACTTTGCACAATAGGCAAGTGCTCTATCTCTGGAGCTATAACCCAACCTTTTTATTTTTTTTAATATTTATTTTTTAGGTGTAGATGGACTCAACACAATGCCTTTATTTTTTTTTAAGTGGTGCTGAGG